CAAGAGCAGCAGCCTGACGTCCTGTTGAGTCTGAAGAGCACAAAGCAGGATCAGGATGTACTGCAGCCGACAAGTCCAACAACACAAGACCCCGAGGAGGTGAGTGATCCCAAGACCCTGTGACCTCTGACCTGCAGGCTCAAACAGAAATCACCCTGTGGACAGATGTAACACACTCAGCACAAAGAGGATCAGGACTTGAGACGGTTAAGACAGAGGACACTTTGATGAGCTGAGTGACAGGAAGTGGCTGGAGTTAGCAAGAGTAGAAAATAGACTACAGAAACTAAAGTAATTTAGTCAAAAAGGAAATATAGACGTAGGTGTTAAACTAAAAATATTTTAACATGTTGGGACGCATTTTACTGAGCTGAAAGTCCCTACACCTACTTGCTTTCAGTGGGTGACGATGTACTCTTAGTCTTAAATGTGGCTCAAATGTTGTGTATTTGTAAACCCAGAATTTAGCCAGATTTGTTTTCATACATAATTATTTAAAGGTACACTGTGCCACTTTTCTATCAGGCAAAGCTGTTATAAATACCAAACATAAATCTGACACAAAAGAATCACTGAGTCCCTTCTTTCAGTGATGGTGAGGTCATTTCGGGGAGTCCCCAGACTGTAACAGGAGAGGACAGTGGGGATTGTATTATTTCATGTCGATGCATAATTTATAACCCTTATTCAAGCAGGGAAAAGGTACATTAATCGAGGCTCCATCTCCCCAGACGCTTCCTCCAGTCTCAGTTGGTCAGCCAGAGAAGAGATTGTGTCCTTTTAGTCATTCACCTGGGGAATAGTTTTAGCAGAGTAATAATTCACTAATCTAAAATATCGATTTGTATTAAAAGGCCCATAATACGCTATTTACTGATCTATGTTATAATGTTATTTCATTATCACAAACAGACCTGGAGTTTTTGTTTTGTTTTATTCACACATGCTTAACACGCAAATCCTGCATATTTAGGCTGAGTTCATCGCTGAAATACAAAAAAAGCTCCATACACCTTCACTGGAATCATTTGAATGATTTCAGCTCTGGAATTGCCCACCTCCACTGTACAAAAGGTAAAAGGAATCTGTTAACTTGAAAACTACAGATAAATGACATCACAAGGTGGAACAGAGCCTTTTGAGGTTTGGAGATGTAGACGAGTGTTTACCAAACTTTTTTTCTAGGGACCCTTATTTTAAAAGTCACAAATCTTCGCAACCCAGGTCTGTAGAAATTATTCGTAAATCACAAAATACATTTGTGACCATTATTGAACATTATTGAGGATATTTTATTGTTGACTGAGTGATCACGTCTCTCTGAACAATTCGTTTTACTCACGTTTTAAATTATGAAAAACAGTAATCAGTGTTTCCAGAAAACTGGCCAGGCAAGGAGCTTGGGGGATTCCGATGTATGTATATTGCAGACCTACATGCAGATCATGACAAGGCGACCCAAAAAAAGTCTCTTGCAACCCACCAGTCTTTGGGAAACTATGGTGTAGACCGACTAATAATGCAGGGTTTCTCAAACGTGTGAATGAAACAAAACATAACTGTCTGTATGTTTTTAATGAGGAAACAGTATTCTTACATGGCTAAAAGCTGGTAAGAGTCACTTTGTGTAATATAGGACTTTTAAGACCACATTTTTCAGTCTCGCATCTAGCCACAACTAAGCAGCAGGGTTGGGTCTCATTAGTACTTGGTTGTGAGACTGCAAGGGAATACCAGGTGTTGCAGTGCGGAAGAAATGGCCTTAGTTCAACCTGCTGTTGTATCCTTAGGCAAGACATTTCAGCCATTTCACTGAATATGGTGTGTGAGTGATGGTGATGAGTCAGATTGGCAGTTTCTTCTGTCCGCTGTGACTACTAGTTGACCTCCATTGACTCTGGAATGGTTGGCAGCAGCTCAGTAGAGTGGGCATCCTTTTATCCGAAGGTCACCAGTGCAACTACCGCTTTCAACAGACATCACTGCTGGTCAAATCCACTGACTCACAGGTTGGAGATGTGATTCTAGCTCCAACAGATGGATACTGTTATTGAGTCCTTGGGCATGACACTTAACCTTCTTCGCCTCCAGTGTCTGCATACACTGATGTATGAATGCGTGTGAATGGGTGAGTGGTTCCTGGATGTAAAGTGCTTTGAGGGCCTTGAAGGTACAAAAGCGCTAGATAAATGTGAGGACTAAAAAAAGAGTCAATTTGCATTTTAAGCAATACTTGAAATTCAACCAAAATATTAACTGAGATTTTAGATTGCTAGATTTTACATTGTTTATGTATTTCTGTGATATTTTCTGAACATCAAAATCAGAAAAAAATACACCTATACCCCTGTTCACTATTCCAGCCTGGATGCCTTCCTTCCCTTCGCCAAAGAAAAGGAATCCCCTGTTAACTGGACAGTAGAACATAATGTATTTTCATCTCATTGCATAATTCATAAACCAGTTTTAACCTTTGAGAAACTGCACAGCCGAACATTTTCCCCAGAATTCATTTCCCCATTCCCTTTCCAAAGTCACATTGTAATTACCCTGTCCCTGTATTCCGCTGCTCCTTCCCAGTCTGGCCTGTGTCTTCCATAGATGTCCCCGGTGTCTGTGCTTCATTATGGCCCTCTGTATGCATGCTGTGTTAAGAAGGCTTTAATCTCTCTCGTTAGCCTTATTAACCGTAAATGTGGTGTTTTGATCGAATCCTCGCTGGGATTGAACAGTTTCCTAGCGCTTTAATTACTACAACACACACGCTGCTCTGTCCTTCATTACTAAAGGTCCTATATTACACAAAATGGATTCTTGTGAGCTTTTAGCCATGTTATAATGCTGTTCACTCATCAAAAACATACCTGGAGTTGTGTTTTGTTTCATTCATACATGTTTGAGTACTCCTGGATTACTCTGTTCCACCTTGTGATGTCATGAAAAGGTAGGTTTCAAGTTAACAGCTATTAACACCCTTAGTTTAGTAGAGAAAATTTAGTAGAAATCCAGGGCTTAAATGATCCAAATGATTCTAGTGAAGGTGTACGGAGTTTCAAAAACCAAATGGAGCACTTCCTGATCACAAGGTGGAAGAACTGAGCCTAAACATGCAGGGTTTGTATGTTAAACATGTGTGAATGAAACAAAACATAACTCCAGGTATGATTCTGATTATAGCACAGATGAGAAAACAAAGTAATATGGGCCCTTTAAGTGGAATTATCTGTGGTGAGAGGGTCAGGGGGGAGTTTTGGTAGTTATTGGTAGCCCAGCAAACGTATTCTGCTTTGCAAATATGTGAATGTTAAACTGACGCTGGCTGCCCTTGCTGAGTTTGAGAGAAAATGGCCAGTCAATTTTCTATGTAAAGTATAGGATTGATTAAATTGGTGTCAACAACTCTTGGAGAAAAAAACAAATACATAGTCTACATACATACGGCACTTCGAAGAACCTTTGTGCTACTACAGTAACTTTCTAAGAGTTCTATTATTGTAACATTATCTGGTTGGGACTATGCATGTTATTTATCATATCTTGCCCAAGGACACAACAACAGAAATCATCTATCAGTCTTATGTTTCATGGGCAAATTCTCTGTCACTGAGCCACTGCCGCCTTGCATTAAAACAAATGATTAAATCTCTTTTGAGTTATTGCACTAGACCATTTTACATATGCAAAAAAATAACAGTTCAAGTGTTTGAGTACACAAGCTTTGACGTTATTTATCTTTCCTGTGTCAAGTTAAACTGTGATTTAAAGGTCCTATATTACACAAAATGGATTCTTGTTAGCTACAAGCCATGTTTGAATTTTGTTACATCCTCAAAAATATACATGGAGTTGTGTTTTGTTTTATTTACACGTTTGAGGAAACATTTATTAGTCTGTCTATATCTCTAAAGCTCAAAATGCAAATTTACAGCTACTCTTTTTTTTTTTTTTTAGTAGAGATCAGAAATTCCATCCCTGAAAGGTCAGTGTTGCAACGAAATATAGTAAAATGGGAAAACAGTTTGTTGTTTCATTATTCCTTTTTAGTGTCAAACAAAAAAACATATTTCGACCTCTATTTCCAATATTTAATTCAAAGTTTAAAGTCCTGGTGACTATTTTAATTTTGATATTTTATTCTCTCTGGTTTATTTGCCCCGAAAGTTCTGCTGCTCAACTATGGATCTATAATAAAAAATATTTTTATTATAGTTCCATGGTGTCAACTGAACAAAGTTTATTGCTGCTACTTGTTTCTTGTCATGGAGTTCAACAATTACTTTTTGAGTCGCAAAAGTAAATGCATCGCTATAAAAGAAGAGGACATGTTTATCCACAAAATTGCAATGATTTTTCAGGTAAGTCCTTCTCACAGCAAAACTTCCGGGGCAAATAAACCGGAGAGAATAAAATATCAAAATTAAAATAGGCACAGAGGATGTTTTTTTATTTGTGTTATTCAAAATAAACATTAAACTAAATATTGGAAATAGAGATCGAAATCTGTTTTTTTTTTTACACTAAAATCAAATAATGAAACAACAAACTGTTTTCCCAAATTATCCTTTTTCATTCTTAATTGAAATTCAAAAGAACGAATGGTACACGGACCCTGAAATTCTCCAAATTATTTTAGTGAAGGTATATGGAGTCTAAAGACACAGTGGAGCATTTCCTGTATTACCACATGACATCACAAGGTAAAACAGAGTGTTTTTCATCTGAGAAAAGATCTTGGTAAATATGTAGGATGTGTGAATTAAACAACTCACAACTCCAGGTTTGTTTGCGATGAGGAAACGACATCATAACAGGTCAGAAAATTGCGTAATATGGGCCCTTTAATGTTTACGTGGGAGACTTCAGTGCAGGACCCTTTCATTAGGTCTGGACAGAGAAAAGAGTCTAGACGCTGATCACTGTAAACCAAACTGCTCCTCTGACATAGTTATAGCAGAGATCACCCAGAATACATAGAATTAAGACTAGAGACTACGGTGTGGTCCATTTGGTCGACATTTTATTTCATGGTGGTAGGAACACAAGACAAAGGTCATAAAGTTAGTAATGTTCAGGTCATGCCACTTGTACTGGAGCACGGGCCAATGAGAAGCCAGCGCTGCGGACAGTAGTTTACAGATGGAGGTATAACCCACATGAGACATAAATAACAGAACAGACTCCCAAAAAACAGTAAATACAGGATTCTTTTTGTAGAAAACCAGGTGCAACATTTTTATTGTCTCCTGGAATTTTGTGTGTATGTTTGCAATTACTAATTCATTATAACATGGTGGGGATGAGGCTAATATGCTGGCTATAGTAGAAAGATATGATCAGAGTCGCCTGTTCAGTTAAGGCGACCGGTTTAAGGCAATTAAAAGGTTTCACCCTAAATTTCTATTGTTCTATATAAGATGTATTTACTACCACCTGAATGGGAAAATTCAAAATATAATTTCTAAGAGAGTGCTAGAGTTTTTCATGTGATTTCTGCTCAGAGTTTGATAATACACAACATTGTTATAGCTTTAGCGCTATCCCTTCCCCGATTACACGTCACTGTGAGAAGACAGACATGTTCCAGTGTATCTTACTAAAAAAACAAAACATAAACCTCCACAGACCACACATTTTGCTAAATTTACATTTAAAAAATTGCAGGGCTGTACAAAAGAAAGGATGTGGGGAGGAAAAGTGAAATAAACCACAAAACAATAATAATGATTTTGAATATTGCCAAGGATTTCATATCAAAACCAAAGTCTTTGAGCTGTCGGAGCTTATTGCAGAGACAGCTTGCATCAGTTCAGCAAATGTAGAGGATACAAACCCATGCGGTAGGTAGGTAGGTAAGTAAGTAGTATTTTTGTTAGTCGGCTGTATTGTAGGGTTATGAGATCCGTTAGAATGGGCTGTTATGGCTTCGAAATACCAGTCTCTTTAGAATTAATCAACAGCCCGAGTAGTTGGAATGCAGAAACAGGACGGTCCCAAGAAGAAGAAGAGAAGCTTAGTCCATGATGTCCCTTTGAGCTTTCCTCCTGCCTTCAGCGCCTCCTTAAGGTCAAACGCGGTAACACCCTCATCCTGCAAACCTTCTCAACTGAATACTAGAAACATTTGTTGAATCACAAAAATTAAAGAAGAGGTTTTTAAAAAATTCCACAGTGACTTTTATATATTTTTTTCCAAACAGAAATCAATAAAAAGAACCCAAATTGCAGAAGTGCATGCATCTATAGTGGTCATCACCTGCTGATTGTAAAACAGAACACACAATAGTACAGGAGAAGAAGCCATCGGACATATTCACAGTTCCTGGTATTATAATATACTCTATATTTAGACATTTATTCATGACGTGATGAGGATGGATCGCTCCCTCTTTGTTAGTCATATTTCAAAACTAAATCCTCTGATAGGTTTGAGAGGAGAGCTGGAATTATTATCTTTTGATGGCGTGGCGTTGATGTCGTCAGGTGCTTTTCTCTCTGTAGCAGCTTGACTGTCCCATGGATATATTCTGAACACACAGTTTGGTAGAGTCTGCCTGTGTCCAGATGGGGGAGGAGGAGAGGGGGAATGTATGTATGTAGTCTGGCTATACTCGTGGAAGGCCATGCTTGGAGGGAATGTGGACGATAAATATGGCACCAAGACAAGGCTAGTAACCAGGAATAGTCAGCGCCGTCCACCAGTGTTCAAGTAACCAGCAAAAACAAAACAAAACCAAAAAAAAAGCAGGCTTGGGGAAAAAAGTTGGGTTTCAAAGAAGTGCCTGCTTTAGGGCTGAAAAAAATATTAATGGAAAAAAATATATATCAAACAAAAAAAAAAATCTTCCCATATAAAAAGCAATGAAAAGTATACAAAAATAGAAATAATTACAGCAGGAGACCGGGCGCTATGGAGGGAGCAGGGGAGAGTGGGAGCTTGAACTTGTCACTGGTTTCTCTCATTGTTTTGTCTCTGTGGGGACTTATTTGGCGGCAGAACAGTGTAGTATCTGGGGGCTGTTCAGGGCATCCTCCACCAGGTGGAGCTCTACTCCATCTACCACCACGTCTTTGATACAGCCCACAAAACCAGTGCTGTAGGCTTTGGGCAGGCGCCGGGCCACAGACAGCTCCTCCAGACCTCCTGCAACACAAACACACACACATACACAGGTAAGCATGGAGAGTACACGCAACACAATGAGATAAACACTTAAGTGACATTGGTTTGTTGCTAAGTTACTCAAAACAGTAGTATTAATCTGTATGGGAAATATATTTGATAATAGACTTGTCAATATTGTCAATGTTTAGCTGCAGATTGACTATTTTTTAGTAAGTAGTCTTTTTTCCAGTTTAAAGAAGACACATTATGTTTATTTCAGTTATATAGTATTGTGCTAAAATAGTTTAGTAATAGAAATGGCACCACTGACTTCCTCTTTATAGTGATATTTACCATACCAAGTAGCTTTGTCATTTACATGTTTTTATTTTTGAAAAGTTGCTGACATTTGTATCATTTGTGTGTCTTTAGTTATAGGGTGGCAGGGATAGGGGGTAGGTGAAAACAGGATTTTTTTGTACACTGAAACCTTGAATAGAGAGCACAACACAACTGCTGTGAATGAATCAATCTGAATTCAGCTTTGAGTAAGATAACGATGAAGAAGCACCAAATGCTCTTGAATATGTTCCCTTTAACTACACATCCATGGCTTAAGCTGGTGCACTGAACTCTTATTCTCTTTTAAAAACACTGCATAAAACAAGTCTTTATTCTGCAATTGTGAACCTAGACAGCGCAATTATTTCAGCAGCAGAACTTAAGCTACAAAAGTACGAAGAAACATCCCGAAAATAGTCTCCAAACAAAAAAGTTTGTCGCACCTAAGTTATAATTGTGCACTTCAAGATCACACTCGGCATCATATGATTCACAGCTTATTCCCAAAACACCTTCTCCTTTTATTTTTTTTATTTGACTATTTTAGTTTGGTTATAATTAGCGCGGGAGCTATTGCCGACATCACGCTGAGACTGGCACAGAGCTGGCTGCACTACTGACAACATGAAAGCTAGCGCGTATGGATCCACACTAAACATTTACACAGAGCTCCTCTTCTCCACACAACTTAAAGGAAAGAGTGAAGTACCTTAAACTTCAAAAGCCAGGAACAGTTTTACAATTTATTCTACTTAAAGCGACTTAAGACAGGCTTTGTCAACTGTATCCTTGATGACACTTGATGCACGTGACAGCGTCCAGCCTTATTTCTCAACTTCAAAAGCAGCTAAGCCAACGCAGATGGGTAAGGGAAGTAGTAGCTTTTAAATTGACATGCTGGTATAGTAGTGTATGGGGTGATTAATACCAAATGTGCTCATTAGATTTCATTTATATATTCCCAGACTGGGAGCTTGTGGCTGTCATGGACTTCATCTGACTGTCAGCCACACAGGTCTCAGTGCTGCAGAGAATACTGTACTAATATATTACCTCAGCACTGTGTCTGTGTAAGTATATTTATTATACCAGAATTAAAAAAGGTATCTGCAGTGCTGGGTAGAATACTTTGGAAATGTATTTATTTACAGAATACTCAAAACCTGAATTAAAATGTATTTTGTAATGTATTCCGATACATGGTCCAGTCAGAGTACTCTATTCTGAATACTTTGAATACTTTTACATCAAGTTGCAATTAAATTATGGTGTAAAGATGCAACTAGGGCTGAGTATCATTACGAAGATGTTGACATGATACATACTCAATACATAGGCCATGATATGATACATATCTCAATACAGTGCACTTTCGATATGATTCAATACAATATATTTCAAATTGATTCTATACGATTCAGTAAAAAATAAAGGCTAAATCATGGCTGTGATACTAAAAGTCTTTGTTAAATCATGTCTTGTGCTAAATTAATATGAAACGCACCAATTTTAATAATCAGAACAGTGAATATGTGAAATGTGCCGCATAAATCAGCTTCAAGTAACAAAACTGTAACGCTGTAACAAAATTAGTAAAATATACCAAAAAATACTCTTGGCGATGCATCGATCCGGCAGCATATCATCACTTGAAACTATACGATATATCAATATTTCAATATTTTTCACCCTTTGATGCAACATAAGATTATAAACAGCTTAATATTTGTTTGACTGCATTTATTTATCACTAACTGGAAATAGAAAAATCACACATCCATGCACCACAAAAGCAGCGTTTTCTATTTTTCTTTCCAATATCGAGCTGTTTGAAGCCTAAATTATGTAATCAAGCACTATAATGTACCCCTATGAATTAAGAAAAGTAACTGTATTCTGAACACCACCAAACTGTAAAAGTAAAAGCAACTGTACCCGAATACAATCAAAATGATTAGTCCAATAGTCTAAAGGATGTGATAATAGGGCAATAATTACAACTACAGTAATCGACTGATAAATAGCTTGCTAGTTTCTTATTTATTGCAACACAAAATTTAAAAACAGAGGGAACAACAGTCCATTTAAATGCAGCCCACATCTGCAGCTGTTTCACGTTCTAAATTATGTCTTTGGAATTTTACTGTAAACGTGACACAGAACATTATAAGAGTAAAATTTCTACAATGTTATATTTTTACTAGTATCGTACCCAAAATTTGAATATTGTGCAGTAAAAGATGTTCAAGCAAGTTCAAACATTTTTGCCCAAGATTCCAAATCATTACTGTACAAACTTGCCCCACGGCGTTGCCAGATTTTCAGAGAAAACAAGCGGCCAAGCCTTTGAAAAAAAAAGACCAAAACAAGCGATCCAAGACTCACAAAAATAAGCCAAGAAAACCCACCAAAAAACAAAAAACAGGTACAATGTCATGTGTATACTAATGGGATGTGCATAGTCTTAATCACATATTTAACATAACATAACTAACGTCTTTAATAGTATAACGTCTCTATAGTATATAAAATTGCCATAGCTTTTAGCCATGTTATAATATTGTTACCTCATCAAAAACATACCTGGAGTTGTGTTTTGTTTCAAACATGTTTGACTACTCCTTTATTATTAGTCTATCCAAGCTCAAAATGCAGCTACATTTTACCTTAAGTTCAGCAGAAATTAGAAATTCCAGCTCTGAAATCATCCAAATTATTCTAGTGAAGGTGTGCGGAGTTTAAAAACACAGTGAAGAACCTCCTGTATTACCACATGACATCACAAAATGGGACAGAGTGTTTTCCGTCTGACCTCACAGCATTAGGATTTGTTCACTCGACGGTAGGCGGGTTATTATTTAACCAATCGCTGTTATTTGGTTGTGACGTATGTAATGCGCCGCTAATGGGGCTAACTGGTATATTAAGCTTTTCCCAAAACCTGTAGGAAGAAGGGCAATAACGTCTTTCCCCTTGATAAAATTCACGGAACATTCTCTTTGTTGTGGCTTTAAATCCTCGGGAATCGTTGTCAACACAGAATATATGGCTCTTCGCTGATTGGCTGGTGCCCGGACTCGCACTTCCGGTGTTTTTGCAAACAGTCTAGTGTATTCTGATTCCTGATCTAGTTGCTAGGCACTAGGTGGTGCCAGCCTGGCTATAACATTCTAACATAGATCAGAAAATAACATAAAATGGGCTCTTTAACAAAAATTTCCCAAAAGCAGTTCATCACTAAAGACATAAAATATTCTCTCAGGAGCCATTTACGAACAGCTTTCCCAAAACAGTCCATATGAAAATGCAGATCTGGCAATTATGATTCCCTATACCTATATTACACTAAACTTCTAGACTCTTCTAAAGCAGCCCCAAACCTCAAAAACCAGTCTTCTGTGTGCGTACTGTCAGTGTTTGAGTTTACAACAATTAACTCCACTTGTTATTGAGCCCTGATATGTGACGGCACTTATTAGGAGCCTGTTCGGACTTCTACTCCGACTTCAAAGACAGTTATAAACTTGTCTCACCATTTTTTCTTTTGACTTTGTTGCTCTTCTTTCCTCCACGTTGCTTCATTTTTTGACCTAATTGCTGTCTGCCGCCTCACTCCTTTTGAAGATGTTTTGTGCTCGAGTTTTCCGGCCCGAGCAGTCATTAGTCTCTTTCTTAATGTGTCACTTTGAAAATTCTATTCAGCTTTTAACAGGTTTTCTTGTGAGCTTGACCCAAACGCTTTCTTTTCATATTTGTGTTTGGGCTTTTTGCTCTTTAATCTTTGCGATAGGGTGAACTAAAAGGAAACAATCTCTACAATTAAATGGCTAACTTTAAAATAACATCTGATAATTTCTTTAAAAAAAAAAAGTATTTGATATATTACTAGAGAAGATTAGTTCTACTACTACAGCTATTATGACAGTTATTGTTTGTATTACCAAATAGGCCTACTCCTTCTATTATATTTTAAAAGTAGCAATAGTAGAAATAGACAAAGATCCATATTTTTTAGGTAGTAGAGGTATTTTAAATTATTATGAATTATTATATAAGTGAAACTACTTTTTAAAGATCCCATATTGCACAAAATTGACTCATGTGAGAGTTAAGCCGTGAAGTTACATAATCAAGAACATACCATAAGTTGTGTTTTGTTTCATTCACACATTTTGATTAACCATGCATTACTAGATACTCTGTTCCACCTTGTGATGTCACGTAGTGGTAGTTTTCAAGTTAACACGTACCTTTTACCTTTCATTTTAGTAGAGATTGTCCAAATGTTTCTAGTGAAGCTGTGTGGAGTTTAAAAACACAGTAGAGCACTACCTGTATTACCACATGACATCACAAGGTGGAACAGAGTGTTTTCTGTTTGAGAGAAGAACACAGCCCAAAATATGCAGAATTTGTATCCAGGGTTCCCACTCTTTTTCAAAATTCTTCCATGACTTTTTCATGACCTACAGTGAATTTTCCATGACTTTACGATGCCTTGCATGTGTAGAATTGATCAGACTTTTAGGGCAAAATATGAAAAGTTAACTCTTTCCACTCACCTCATGGCTTGGGATTATAGTTTTTTAACACTGTCAGTGCATCTATTGTTGTCTCTTTAAAAAAAAAGGCGCACACATTTGGAAATAATCATAATAGCCTGATGAGAACTTAACAGAACGCTGTAGTTGCGTCAAAGAGATACTAAAACTCCATGACCTTTCCAAAACTTCCATTGAATCTACAAAATTCCATGACTTTTCCAGGATTTCCATGACCATGGGAACCCTGTGTTATGTAAAACTTGTGTAAATGAAAAGAAACACAACTCCAGGTCTGTTTGTGATGAGAAAACAATATTATAGATCAGAATACAGCATGTACTATATGACCTCTTAAAGAGAATCTAAGCTACTGTGAACATTGTTACTTTCTTTTAAGATTTTGTGTGAGCTACAAATTCAAATGTAATAGGTTGACAATATCAGTCAGCACTAACTGGATTGGCAATTCCAGGGCTGAAATCATCTTAATGATTCTAGTGAAGCTGTGTGTAATAAGGGCCCTTTAAGGTCTTACTCTCAGCCCCAAAAAGCACTTATTCAAATAGAGCTTTGACTGTTAAAAAATCCAATATTTTCAGCAGTATAGTAGAGAAAAGACTTCTGTCCTGAAAATGTTGGTTCCCACTGTGCTGTGTGTGTTCCTCTGAGCCAAATTGAAGTGGAACTAGATAAGGGCCAGACGCTGGTCATATGGAGAGCAGAGTTGTGCAGTTCGTCAGATAGGCTTTCTCTACTCCACATAATACCTGAATGGTCCCAGACACTTTTTCAAACCTACTGCAGTGCTCTGACTTCCTTATCCTCTGTATTACACTTGGGGAGTCACATTTGCTCTTCCCAACTCCAAACTTTTTCTTACACAAACTTGGCTTTGTTTGCTTTGTTTACAGTGCTATATTTCTGCAGTGTTTTCACTATTCAACCTCAGGACTTTAACGTAACAATATATAGAACTTGACAAAGGTATAAACAACCTCTGCTGAGCCCCGCGTTAAATGGAAATCAGAGGTAGTGTTCAGTTATGGAGTAACTTTTTAAAGAAATTGTACTTTTCAGGGTACTTTTCTAACAGCATATCTTTACTCTTACTTAGAAGTGTGCAAAAAATATCGATACGTCATATTGTTTAATGTGACGATACAGTATCGATATCGTGGACTGCTGTATCGATATATCGCCAAGAGTATTTTTTGGTAAATTATTTTGTTACAGCACTAGTTTTGTTGTTTGTTGTACGAAGGAAACTCGTTTATGCAACACATTTGACATATTCACTGTTCTGATGCTTAAAATGTTTGTGTTTCACATTAACTTTGCACAAGAAGGGGTTTAACAAAGACTTTTAGTATCACAGCCATGATTTAGCCATTATTTTTTATTGATCTGTATCGAATAATTTTGAACTGTATCGTATCAGATTGAAAGCTCAATGTATCGAGGTATGTATCGTACAGGCAACTTCTTAATGATACCCAGCTCTACTCTTACTCCTACAATTTTTTTTTAGTGAAGTGCCATTACTAACAATACTTGAGTAAACGGTTTTGGTTACTCTTTTTTTAAGAGACATAAGCCTGACAACATGATCTGAACATTTGTGTTTTTCACCGCTCCTACAGATATGATAAAATTTTTCTCATTTTTACATCTATCCTTTGAAAATAGCAGATTTGATTTTGTCCATTCACTTTAAATTAAAAATCAGATGTTTTGGGAAAAAAATGGAAAGAAAAAAGGAAAAAAAAAAAAAAAAAAAAGCTATAACTCAATTTTCTAACTCTGAGGTTGATCTGTCCTTGTTTTTGTTTTTTATTTGTTTTTCTGTGCACAACTGGCAAATAGCAAATAGTAATTATGCTTTCATAATGAACAAAATAAGTATAATATAATAAAAAATAAATAAAAACATTGTTATAAAAAAAATCTGATGTTTTGTCCTGACAGTTAGTCCAACTAATTTCTTGACTTACTACTTTCTATGACTTGAACTACTTCTACTTGAGTAATATTATTTTGTTGTTATTTTGTTTTTTATTTGTGTGTTTTTGTCTGCTCGAACTACAAACGTGTTAAAGATAACACCCTTACCTTTTCAGCAGGAAGTCTCAAACTATTAGAAAATACTTTAACTTTTCTAAACATATATATATATCTGGATCCCTTTCATTTCAATGAAAAATTTGGGAAACGTTTTGCAGTTAAAATATGACATAAAGTCAGTTTATTTGTGTAAAATGTTCAATGTTCATGTGCACTAACAAGTCAACACTGCACTGATTCTTATTCTTAGTCCGTATTGAACTTATTTGCTAAAGATCAGCAGCTCCATACTGAATAATACGACCCAAATAATGATAAGGTGAATAAAACATACAAAACATGTCATGGTTTAGAGACACATACCCAGCCAGAGTGCTCCGTCAGTGTCCAGTTGCGTTGCTGCCAGCGGTGACGATCCTGTTACCGGAGCTTCATTGCCCACCTGTAGTGACCCATCTCGAAGCGCTCTGAGAAAGAGAAAGCACAGATACACTTTTGACACACTGACGCATGTTCACAGTCACAGGCTTTAACTGGCACTTTGGGTTAATCGGAGACGTCACGACTCCCATAACTGCCTTCGCCAAACGCCTTTCTAAACGCAGCCTTCTAATAGATTTTTGCACTCGTCATTAGCCAAGAATAGTGACGACTGCTTAATTTGAATGTGTGCGAGCAGAATCCAGCAGCGAGCATCATTAAAGGCTAAGGGAGCACGTTGTCCCATTTACACCTACATCAATTAAACCTTCTCTATGTTGTCTTCCTGAGCTCGTGCGGCAGATGTGCAGTACTGGCTCCTCTCAGATCGATTATCCTCCCTTACGTGATGAAACCTAATCTAATTATCCCCCGTACTCCCATTCACGCGCTCTGACACAAATGTGGGGTGGCGATAAGGCTGACGTGACGCACGAGGAGGTAAATGGGTCGTTTTCAAAAGTTCACCAGTGAATTTGGGCCTAATGAGCAGATCCATTACTGTGACATCAACAAAAGACTTAAACCTTAGCTAATGCTCCGGTTCAATCTGCAGCTATTTGAAGTTACACAGATTAGGCAAAAATAGATATTGTTTGTTTTATTTTTTTTCTACTACTGCTCACTTGGATAATAGTTTCCAGTTGAAACTGTGATTTCTGTGACAACGAGCCCTATATTGTGGTTGTTGTGGCAATGCAGGTGAAGTATCTTGCCCAGGGACACAACAATTGTACTCAGGGTCTGATTCTGCGAGATCCTAGCTACAAAAAAAAACATACCTGGAGTTGTGTTTTGTTTCATTCACACTTGTGAACTAACCAAATATTATTAGTCACTCTACAGAGCTCAAAATGCTCTGTTTCACCTTGTGATGTCAAGATTAGGTAGTTTTCAATTTAACAGCAAATTTTTACCTTTTGACCTGTTTATTAGAGATTGAAAATTCCAGGCCTGAAATTTTCTGATACTAATACTAATACTAATACTAATACAATAATAATAATAATTTTCAGTGTTTTAAAAGTCTTTTCAATAAGTACTGTGGGACTTGAAAGACAGATATTTTGTTGTAATGCTTTGTAATGATACAAAGCATTACAACATATATTTCAATATAAATATTTCAATTCAACAGGGATATTTCAATAACATGGAATATGTTTTCTACATATCCCATGTTATTTTTTTCTCTTATGAGGTGGATTACCAAAAAACTCCTTCCATCTGCTCCTTGTTCGGCCCTTGTGTCAAAAAGTTTGCCCACCCCTGTTCTAGTGTGTGGAGTTTAAAAACACAGTGGAGCACTTCTTGTATTACCACATGACATTTTCTGTTTGAAATAATAACTCAGCCTAAATATGTAGGATTTGTGTGTTAAACATGAGGGAATAAAACAAAATACAACTCCAGGTCTGTTTTTGATGAGGAAACAACATTATAACATAAATCAGAAAATAGCGCAATATGGGGCCTTTAAATTACACAACAGAAATGTCTCAAAAGACCTTATGAACCATTTTAAATGTAAGCGCAAAGCACCTGTTTAATGTTATAGTCACGCTGATGTTGGATGAAGAGGAGACTGGGAGGGAAAGCACAAATATGACGGTGAATACCAATGTTCTGCTCCTATACGCCTGGATTATCGAATATTACGCCTCTACTCTTGAACATTGGACACATGTATGGTGTTAAATCCTGAATACACATTGGAAGTAGTACCATTACCGCGTTATTTATATCCACTGTGTGCCCTGCTTTCCTAATGTGCTGTTTAACGCTAAGAAGCTCAAGCATGTTCCTCCTTTTGAACATGTATTAATGCATCTAAGTGATCCGATGTGCGTCACGGTAACGCAAGAGCAGCCATAAAAAAAAATAACCTTTATGCGAAACTAATAGCCATCTTGGAGAGGGGAATACACCAGCACCCCATTCACGTTTCAGATCACACACATGCGCTACAGAGTATAATAGGTTTGGTCACGTGACATTACAGTATTCTAAAGGGCCTATAGTTTTAAAGGGGAAAGGAGGTTTGAATTTCATGGAAGAATTTTCTGTGTAAATGTCATATGGCAGATGTTTCAGTCTTAGATATGGTTTATAGCTCTGAGAAAAGTGGGACATCCAAAACAGAAACTGGCTCTGAAAATATTCTGCTTGCACGAATGAATTAAGGTCTGTGAAAAAATACAGAGATATCCATATATTCTGATACTAAATGTGGTACAGTATTGTTATCATAAATTGTGAGTATTTTTTGGGTATCTTTTAGCCATTTTTTTGTGATTGCATGACAGTTACTTTTGCCTATTTAGTGAAAGGAAACTTGCAATCCTTTTGACGTATTCACTGTTTTGATTATTAAAATAGATTGTAAATTGTAAATAGATTTAAAACGCACTTAAGCACTTTGGCTTTTGACACAGTTTGAGATGTTGACATTTTGTTAGTTGTTTTTATTATATTCTGGTTTTAGTCATATATTGTTTTATTGTTTTTATTGTTTCTTATTGTATGTTCTGTAGCACTTTGATCAAACTGTTATTTTTAAAGTGTGTTATAAATAAAGTCGGAGTTGCAGTTGCAGATCTCATTAACTTTTCACAAGTAGTGGTTTAACAAAAAATATTGTTGCTAAAATGTATTTGGTTCCTAAAAACAACAATATAGATTTCTGCATGTATCGCCATATAATGCTAATATTGCATTGTGAGCCATAATAATAATAATAATAATAATAATAATAATAATACATGGGTTTTGCATAGCTTTTCACAGCAACTCAAAGACACTTCACAAAATAAGGACAGGACAAACAAAAACAAGCAGTTTGGAAGCAGTTATTTGGGGGGTTATATGCTATGAGGAAAAGGTGAGTTTTGAGCTGTCTTTTGAAGGTGTTTAGTGAGCTTGATGTGAGCCTGATGTGTTTAGTGAGACTGATGTGGAGGAAGGGGAGTTCCAGAGGGTTGGGTACTTTTGGGACATTATGTTGATTAATTTGTATTTATTTTGACGTCCATTAGCTGTGGAAGCGTATATTTTCCAGGTGACAGATCCTAACCTTAACTATAGTCACAATTTGCTTAAATCTAAACATATCTGAACTTGACTATATGATATTATTGATGTAATAATAAAGGATTAGTGTCACTGTGACCAAATTTTTGTCCCCATACAGAAGGCTGGTGTCATAACTGCCCCAAATACAATTTCTCTCAATTTAAAGGAAAATTCCAATCATTTTCCAATATCTGTTTCAATCACCCATAGAGTTATCTTCCCTCCATCTAAGATTATGAAGTCATGAACTCAACCTGTATAGATTAAGCCTCACCTGCTGGCCTTGATGCGTATCCAGCGGTTGGTGTCCACGCGCACAGAGGATCGTAGCACCACGGGTTTGGAGCCCAGGTCATAGGTCATCTGGACATGGCCGTCCACTATAGCCAGGGCGATGTAGTCCGAGCGCTCCACACCTTTCCCGCTCCACAGAACCAAACCCTGGGTGGCCTCTGTCCGCAGGCTCAGCTCAAACTTGTTCACCAGCAGGGCCTTCTCACTACACAGGCAGAACAGAAACACAGTTTGAATCTAGAACAATACTTCAGAACCACAGAAGAGCTGTTTCTCCGCATATGGGAACAGTGAGTTTGAGTGGGAGCTGAATTCACAGTGTAGTTTTAGTTAACGTCATATATAGATGCAAGTGTGTTTGAGTGATCTTTAGTGTGCTGTACTAATGAATAAAAACTGACATATGGAGCTGTTTGCAAACTAAAGTGTCAGGGGATTTTAGCTGAACTGTCTTCAACAACAACAACACAGAACCAATATATGTGTCTATTGCAATTAATGACTTGTTCAGCTCTATCTTTTTGGGATGGTGGCAGTACTTTACCAAAGAAACATCCAGCTCAGTCCTTGTCCCTACAGAGACACTCAAGAAAGTGTTAAACTATCATGATTGGAACACATTCAGGAGATACATCTTACACTTTGACATTATATATTTTTATACTGAAATGCAGCTGCTTCATAGAAATCTTCACAATACTGCTCCACTTTAGGAGGCTTCTTTCAGCTACAATCAGAGCAGACAATTAGAACATCTTGTTCATCTTTAAGATCTGACCTGACCATTCCCTTTAAATGTACTGTGATGGGTCTATCTGCCTGCTCATCCACATCAGAATAAAACTGAAACATGCTTAAGCCGACCTTACACGTTGCACTAACTACCACACTTTTTCTCATGGACTAAAACAACCTGGCAGGCACTTCAAAATGAGGCCTCTTTTGACGTTTAAACCTTCTGACTGTACTGTAGATGCATTCTGTAGATGTATTCTGTAGATGTATTTTGTAGATGTGTTGCGTTTGGCTAATGAAATGTGTCTTGATGGTTATGTTGTTGATTAATTGTTTTTTAAAGGATAACAATACAGATTAATTTGAAACTGTTCATTTGTAGAAAATATTGGTAACAATTAATTGGATTTTGTGTATTTTAAAAGATAATGAAGACTTAGGAAATAGTGTGAATACATTTATAAATGCTTCAAATGTATGGTTGTGATTTTTGGGAGGCATTGCTATTGATGAAATGTTGTCAGAGGTGCTTCTATGTAAAGAAGCTCTTCTGTCTACACCTGCCTAAGAACTGTTTCAATTGTGGGGAGTATTATAACCACTAATGACGAAGGTTAGACAGCGCGCTCTGCAACAAATGTCCGCAAGGACTTAACTGGATGTGTCCTTGGTACAGTAGTGCAATTTCCCTCGCAAATATTGAGCTTGTAAAATAGTCTATGATAGAATTGAAGTCATTTGGGCTGGATCTGGCTGTTAGCTGAGTTCAGTAATAGCGGGGGGTGTTCTGCTGTTAGCCTCTTCTGTCCCGCTGATCCTGAACGCCTCACTGCTTCCTCTGCATGTCTTTGGGCTCCTGTTTGATCTGGTTGTCTTGACGTCTACGGCTGAGAGGCTGGATTTTGGGAGCTAACCCGGGAAGAGGTGAGGTTAGTGTGACTGCTCTGTCTGTGTGATGTGTCTCTGAATACAAATTCCCGAGAAAAATAGAAAAACGTCGGCAAACACACCCCTGTACACCTCACCTCTGTGCACCGGTGGGATTAGCAAAGTTCCATAATATACATACTTGACTGTGCATATTTAATAAGTTAGGTAAACAATGTCAGCTCAAGGCAATGGGAGAAGTTTGCCTTCAGGGCTTTATGCCAGACGTCCTTGAGTGGAAGTTCTATTTTATAAAGTTAGTGTTACCACCGATTATAATTTCTTTCTACATTTATTTGTAATTTACCTGACATAAAACTAACTCTTCAGTGTGCTGTCCTTCTTAAAGTTGCACAATGTAACTTTCCTTTAAAGGTCTTACATTACACAAAATGGACTCTCTTTGAGATTTATGCCATGGTATAAAGTTACCTCATCAAAAACATACCTGAAGTTGAGTTTTGTTTTGAGAAATCCTTTATTATTACTCTGTCTACAGCTCCAAATCTCAAATGCCACCTTGTGATGTCATGGAACAATAGTTTTCAAGTAAACAGCTACCTTTTACCTTTAGTTCAGTAGAAATTGGCAATTCAAGGGCTGATGAAAGTATCCAAATGATTCAAATGAAGGTATATGGCATTTAAAAACACAGTGGGCACTTCCTGTATTACCACATGACAGTTTGAGAAAAGAACTCAGCCTATATATGCAGGGTTTGTGTGTTAAACATGTGTGAATGAAATAATTATAACTCCAGGTATGTTTTTGATGAGGAAAGAACATAATAACATAGATCAGAAAATAGCGTAATAAGGGTCCTTTAACTACCTCTGTGTATTAGAGCATCTGTTAAACCTATGCATTTTATCACAGGCTTGGTCTCAGAATGGGCCTGAAGCAACTGACTGCACAAGGTCAGAGTTTATGTGGCCTGCAGCCTGCATCTGGGCATCTATTATGTATGACACATTTATATGGTCAGACAGAATTATTCATTTGTAGTGGAGGCCAATACTTCTTCTCATACAAGGCTTATGAAGATTTCAGTTAAAAATATGAAATATGTCCTGATGACTTGCTCATCTCTGCTGCCCTGATACAATTTTAAACAATGAATACTTTTTAGAGTCCAAAAGGAAAGTTTGGAAAAACTCCTAAATAACTGTAAATGAATATGTTATATCAAAATAGCCAAAAGCATTTTAAGCATTCTAAATAAAACCTTCTTAAATTTCTGCCTTACAGCTCAGATGGCATACTTCTCCCTAAACAACACATTTTGCACAAAAGTGAAATTCATACTACTCTAGATGATATCTTGGAAACTGCCACTGTTACCGTGGCAACATATTAGGATGAAGTGGCATTGTTAGTGCGTGCAGTGTGCATTAAAGTATCTACAGTATGGACATCTGTGCCCCTGAAAGCACTTCTGCCATCTACTCAACACAGGGAAAGACATACAACACGAAACAAGGACACGAGACAGGACAAAGGAGTACAAACAGAGAGCATCATGGGAGGACAGGCAGGACAGGAGTGGGCTGGGTGGGGCTGTTAGGACTATTCTGTGGCCATCCCGGTGGATAAAAAGAGAATCAATGAAATGAAATGTAAGTTGATTTTGCTCTGGCCTCAGGCGGGCTGACTCTAGGACAACAAAACAACTGCCTCGTCTCAGCAAAATGGGGAACAATTCCACAATCAAATGTGATTTTCTAAAATATGATTAGGCTGGAAACTTGGTCCCCCTTCATTAATTAAATGTGCTGAGGCCAACAAGAAAAAGTATGGTATAGTAAGAACATCATAAAGAAGACATGTGGAAAAAGGTGTAGTGAATCCTCGCCTGGCACAGACCTTACACAGGGACCAATAAATCTCCATGAGAGCGGCCTGTCACTGATAAGGTCAGGATTATTAAAAGTGCTGAATATGTTATGAATACAACACTCCAGAGCAGAGCGCTTCAAATCATCACACACAAGTGGTGCCAGAGATGACTGCTGTTGTTGCTCTCAGGTGCAAAGTTTGAGCTAAGAAATTCTTTTGATGAAGTTCTATTTTTTTTCTCACTAAAACAGAGTTAAAAAAGGCTAGCCACAATAGTAAGAAAGCAAGTACACTCACTTTCTTCTTATAAAGATTGCACAATATAAACCACTTTGCACAGTGAAAAAGTCCAGTAGAATTGAAAAATTAATGTGTATTTCTATTTTACAATGTGTTCCTTTAATCTGGTCAATACATCAGCACTAGCTTTGATGAATACATGTTTCTCTTCAGCCCTAGGTGGCAGTAGTGCTCAAATTTAGTGTTATACAAACCAGTGCCTGTATTAAGAGCAACATGAGCAGAGGCTATTTGGATTTAGGGAAGTGTGTCTCAATAATGGCCACAATGTGCTCCCAGTGGAGACGATGGCCCTGTGAGGGCCTGAGCTGCCAGGAGAGAGGACATTGATGGAGGAGAGGATGAGAGTACAGACTTACCTCTGGTCGGAGGGGTTCTCCAGAGATTCAGGGCTTAGGGGAGGAAGCAGGGAAGGAGTCAACGACATGCAAGAGCACAGAGGACAGGGGAGCTTGAGGAGGGGCTTCAGTATTCAGCAAGTCAACACTTCAGAACAATGCTTGTGAGGAGGCCTCACCTTTTCTCATTAGAAAGTATATGACGTATACAGAAGAGGTTTGTTGAACGCACTTATGACTATGTTCTCCACCCTAAAGAGCAAGTCTCCCACAGTCAGTACTACAGTACTTGCTGTATGTATTCATGTGGGTGGGCAGACCCCTCTACATGCTGTGAAATAATTAGGACTTTTATGTTTTCATGTACAATGAGATGTAATTGTAATGTTGGAACATTCCCATAGAGAGCTTGAGGTAAGCCACAGCATGTTATCTGCAGCTTTATTCGATTAAATTATAAAAACATATTAATCCCCTAGGGGGGAATTTTCAATACATGTAAAGCTATTTTCTGTTTCATTTGTCATTGGCCGTGGTGGTGTCGCGCTGCTGGTGGCACAAGGCACAAACCAGGCACATTTTGCACTCCATTATATTATATTTCTGTTCACTCTTTGGATGCTGCACTACAGTAAGCTGAATATGGCCTTTTGTTGTAGACACACACATCTATCAACAAGTATCTCTTTTTTAATCATGGATCCACTTGACAGCAGAATGCTTGGGTATCACTGCTTCTTAAACAAGAGTCAAACTATTAACAAGATTTAAGGTTGTCCATAATGGTACAAGGGCTACTTAAAGTCAATGTGCAATTATTGGCCCACTCTGAGTATTAAGGCAGCTGACCGCCGCAGTACAGCCTCAATTACCTTCTTGTGGTGAGTGAGAAAAATTGGTCAATTGTCAAAAAATGGGGTCAAGCACCACATCGGTGCAGTGCCAGGGCCGGATCTGATTTGTGGCAGAAATAATGTGCTGTGAGCGCATCGACCTGGGCTTTCATCCACGCGAACAGGAGGTGATCAAACAGTGGCGCAAACATTAACCCAAGGTGAGTGCTAGCTACTCATTGGCCTCAGCTGGGCCTTTAATGGCCTCTGGAGAAATGTATTCATCCTTTTAACTAAATCACAACAGAGAGGATCGATCGAGCAGTCGGGGGCTGGCCAGTTCTTGCTTTTGCTTAGCTTCCCGCTCATCGTGACTCGTAGTAAATGTGACATCTATTAAACTTTTGACAGTCTGGCTCCAAGGCCCGCTGCCCCCTCCCGCTAAGTGAGATTGATGCCCTTGGCTACACACAACGTCCAGATCTCGATCGGAGGTCTAATCTACACAGGGAGACCAATGTGTGATTAACATGTCAGAGCGGCGCGCTACGGACGGCTCTGTAATTATTCACAATTACAGTGAGAGATTGGGTAGACTGACACCAGGCCAGAATGTAGAGGGGAAACTCTGTGCTGTGCTGCTGCTTTGTGGGATTTTAAAAGAACTTAGTAATCGAGCTAATGAGCAGGAAAAAAAACTTTAATAATCAGGTCAGGTCTGAGGGCTTTCCTGTATATACTCACTATATACAAACTGGGTTAAGACTGTTTACAAGACACAATTACCCTTTACAAGTTGTTTGCTATCCACGCAGATGTACAGGCAGGTGCCCAATTTAAAGTAAAGATATTGTTAAAGTAGCAGATTACAAATTCCTGAGAAAGTGACACTAGGATAAGTCTTGGCATATAATTAAAAATACACTTGCTTCCTTCTACAGCTTAGATTGTGACATGATAAAATCCAATCTCTTAATAGCCGATAATACCTTTTAAGACCCCAAAGGGCCTGTGCGTTCAAAAGCTGATTGGTTTTGTCTATGAACAGTTACAAGCATGCATAAAATATGACACATTTCGTAGAAGAGCCTTTCCTCTGGGGCTGCAGCACAATGCGCCTCATGCACAGATTCATGCTTCCCTTTCACACCGGAATCAACAGAACATCTAATGACTGGGGGAGAGAATGAGATCTGCCAAATTAAATTACAGATATGGAACTCGGGTGTTAAGTCGTACTCAAAATGATTCCAGAAAAAAGATACCAATGAAATTATGGTGGGAGACGAAATGCGCTTTAATCTCATATAACGGGTTAACTGGAAACGATGGCTGGTTTTTAAAAGTGTTAGTGGGGCTTGAAGCTTATTGGCTAGAATTACTTACTCTGGGATCTCATTGTTCAGTTGGCTTGAGGGAGACAGTGAAGGACATTGAGATGAGACAGGACAAAACGTGGACAACATATAAGACAAGACAGACACACACTGTAACGTAGAGGCCTCTTAAAAACTGTGAGGATGTTTTTGACTGTGAAGTACTTGTGTGAAGAGTCTATATAGGACCATATGCCTGATTTCTTTTTCAGGTGAGCTACATAAACATTCCGCTCATGCCAAACCTGGAGGCACTGATCCAAACGCATTGATGGATGGATGGGGAGAGTCGACTCATCAGCAGCCTAAAGCCACCGTTCCTTTGGAGTTGTTTTCACACACTCCAGAGACACTGGCATCATCGACGTTTCCTCTCAAATTGCAGGTGGCTCATCTTCAGAAAGAGCAGTGTTGGCCATGTTTACAGTGTAGGCAAAGAGGCCTGGATTGGACTTTTTTTATGTTTGCCTCAGTGGCTATTACTCATCGGAAAGTAGCTGTTGTAAAAATAGCTTCATTTTAGAGTTTTGCTGAAGTATTAATAACTTGAAATGAAGAACAGGAAGAAGGTAGTAATGGAGTAAGGGAATAATAGAGGTCTTGTGGCAATGACTTATTCAGCTATATGGCAGAAAATGTAAATAAAGCATCAGGTATTCTTCTGTTTATATTAAGACTCATTTGAGCACCTTACCTTGTAGCTTCAACATGTGAAACAGGGCATATAATGTGCAAATAGGTAGCTACTACAGAGACATTTTTATGAAGCAATATATCATTCTCATACCATTAAAGGTGCACTACATAACTTTTTCTAACTTGCAATTATTTAATCATCCATGTTTATCATATATATGTATATTATTGCTCAAAAATACCTTGAAAAACTGGATTCTCACTTTAAACAGGCTTGAGACAGATTTGACCTGTAACTTGGCACGGTGGTGTCACCTGCTTGTGTACATGGATGTAGATAGAAAAAGTTTAAAGCCATACTGTGAGACATTGATAATATGTCCACTAGGAGTGTGCATAAATATCAAAATATCAATATATCGTATCATTTAATGTGATGATACAATATCGATATCGTGGGCTGCTGTATTGATATATCACCAAGAGTATTTTTTGGTATATTTTACTCATTAGTTTGTTACAGCGCTACAGTTTTGTTCAGAAGAAGGAAACTCGTTTATGCAACACATTTGACATTTTCACTGTTTTGAGGATTAAAATGTGTGTGTTTGGTATTAACTTTGAACAAGAAGTGGTTTAACTAAGACTTTCAGTGTCACAGTCTTAATTTAGCCTTTAATATTTATTGAATTGTATCGAATTGTTTTTGAAATATATTGTATCAAATCGAAAGTGCTGTATTGAGGTATGTATTGTATTGTGCCCTATGTATAGAGATATGTATCGTATCGTGACCTATGTACTGAGGTATGTATCGTTTCGGCAACTTCTTAATGATACCCAGCCCTAATCTCCACAGAGACAAGCCTTGACCAGAAAAGTTACACAGTGCACCTTTAAATAAATCCAGTCTCGGGAACTCTAACTGTAAACATGGCCTCTGGATCTAACTGTATGCAACTGTCCAGTGTGTGAGCTGGGAGTAGAGGATAAGTCCGGGGGCAGCGCTCTGATTATGTGGAGCATATCTCTAATTAGTGAAACCATGTCATGAGTCAAGTGCCACAGAGAGAGACAGAGGAGGCCCAGTCCACCCTGAGGCCCTGTTCTCATCCCACAACTGAACACAGTGTGAGGGTTATTGGCCTAATAGAGCCACATTTAGTATAGGAGTGTGGGTGTGTCCTCTCCTTTACCTCTTCGTAACCGCGTTGTGGTACTCGATGAACGTCCGCCCGTCAAAGGCAATGGCCTCCGTCTCCCCGGCAGACTTCTCGTAGATGGCTGTAAGGGAGGGAGATTTTTCAGGGAATGAGATCATAGCGATCAATAAAAGAGGCTTGAGATAGCAAAGCTCGAGTGGAAATGGGCCGCCGAGCAAATGGGCCAGAGGTTTGTAGTTTTAATTAACGTGAGAGGGGTTGGACCGTCACGCACAAGGTTAATGTAGGAGGCAGTAGAGGTATAAGGATGAGTGATGTGGGCCAGAGTCTCTAGATGTCTGCAGATGATGAAAAAGACAGCCAACTCTCCTTTACAAAGAACATTTCATGAATATGTAAATCATGTATTTCGTCATTTTCACTACAGCCTCTTTAGTCTGAAATCAATTCATAACAGCAGTGGCACAGCGGAGACAGCACTGGTCTAGTACTGGTATTCTAGTGAGAGAGAGCCCAGAGGAAGCAGGTCTGTACAGTAGGCACACAAAGACTCTCTCAGTTCACTGGGAAGGCAAGCCAAGAACTAGACTTACATAAAGCACCGCTGACTCCTGTCCCACTTAACTCTGAACAAGCCAAGCACATTATCATATTAAAAGCCAGCCAACTCAAATTGGCTGTGGAAGTGACTGTTCCCATTTTTAAGGACAGATAGAGGAGAGGGTCTTTAGCCAGAGCTTAACTTTTCACTCTAAATGTTTAATATCCAAACATGAACTGCATAATTGCTCGGAGAGATTTCAGACTGTGTATATAATCATAACAAATGGTTTCAAATCATTGCTTCAATTTCCATGAATACCAGGCAAGCTTAGTTACTTTTTTAAACTAGTTCTGAAACCTTTGCAATAGTTATGTAGATCCCAGGTTAAAATTTTCCCTAGTTAATTTGGCATAGTAATTTTAAAATGTATCCACTTATCTAGCAACAATTTTGGTACATAAAATTAAAACGGAAAGTAAATTAATTCAAAAGACTAACCAAACATTCAAACATGTATTGACACTTTGCAGATGATGATAATAATCAGAGCTTTGTTTTAACACAATCTGACCATAAAGAGCTGGCTTAGTTGGAGATAATTTGTGCTGTTAAACAAGTTCCTCTCAATTAACATTTCAGTTACAACCATTCAGTCAAAACAGCTAGCATTAGCAGTTTTCAGTAGTTCAGTCACTCTCACCTAAATTAGACCATCAACACTAGTTTTGATCACAGGCTGCATTTTCTATTTTTTCTTGACAAAAGGAAAAATTCAATTTGTCAACTGGACAAAAGTTTGTTTGGTTGAATACGTTTCACAGCTCATCCAAGTTGCTTCTTCAGTTCTGGTCAAAATGCTGGTGGACACTTATATCTGTCTGAAGGGAGGAGCTAACTACACTGAAACTACTCTGAAACTACTACTCTGAGTGTGGAGTCATATTAGCATAACCATTCAGAGCCATAATTGGTGCTTTCACACCTCTGGGTCTGACATGGCTCTCCCTATTGTTTTCTTTGTTTGTTTGCATATGAGCATTTAGACCAGAACTGAAGAAGCAGCTTGGATGAGCTGCGAAATGTATTCAACCAAAATAAACTTTTGTCCAGTTGACAAATTGAATTTCTCCTTTTGCAATGGATTCTACCTGGATGACAGGGATTTTACACATATTTTTTTTCTTGAGTTTCAGACTTAAAAAACTTTTTTTAGCTGTATTTTCTATAGTGTGCATTGTTTCACCATAGTCATTTCTGAACTTTCTGCCATATACAAGCATACAGAACCTCCCCAGCATGATGTCACTGCAAAGTATCAGTAGACAAAATGTGTGTATAAATGAAATGTTAAAAAGTAAGCAGAGGTAGACTCACTGTTCTGGCAGCGAATCCCAGAGAAGCCACTAAGACACACGCACTCGTATGCGTCGAGCTGGGGGCTACAGCGGCCCCCGTTGTGGCAGGGCTCATGGGAGCACGGGTGGTCCTGGAACATGGCTACATTACTGGAGCGAAGGGCATTCTCTTCTCGAAGGATAGGAGTCCCCATCAGAGTAATCTGTACGAAGGACAGACATTTTAGATAAAGCTCAGTATGCATGCAGTAATACTTATGGGGTAGTACTAGCTATTTTTACTTTATTTTTCTCTTTTTGAATGGTATTTCTAAAGTTCTGGTGGTAACCTTAACCCAACCTGAAGGTCAGCAGTTTGATACCAGCTCCATCATGTGCATATTGCCGTTGTGTCCTTTGGCAAGAATCTTCACCCACCTTGCCTGCAGTGTCCATGTGTGCACTCTCCCCACCAAATAAACAGAAACTTAAAAAGATTGATAGTACAAGTTTGGGGTTATAAGTATTTCTAGTTAATAATCCAGTGCTGTGGGGAGTGGGGGATGAAGAGCGGTGTCAGCTGTGATGGATGCTGTGTGATAAAATGTACTATAGTAAGAATGAAGGTAAAGGTGAACAGGATGGCGGCTAGATCACTTGTGTTGTATAGTTTATAGAGAATGGCATACTTGAGACTAAGACGTTCTAGTGAATAGAATTTGAAATGACAAAGCATATTCAAGTGCGAAAGTCAAAAAATACCAAGAAGGCATAGAAAATACAAAGTACTATGTAGGTATCTTAGAGCCTTAAGTACCTTGAGGATCTAACAAATCTTGGTTTTCCATAATCCATAGTAAAAAATAACACCTTCTCATCTCAAATTCTAATCACGCTTTGAATCCACCTTGATTGAAGCCTAAGCTTTTAACTGACAATAATACAATCTCTTCTTAAATCCTCTTTTCTCAAAGCATTGATTATGTAAAGCCGTTATTTTTGGACCTTTCCTTTGACTTTTATCTTTCCATCATTTGTTTTGTTATCTGATTTCATACCCTAGAACAAAACACGTAAGATTACCATGTTAATTGAGGTGGTTTGTTGTCTTGCTTTGTGCTTCCTTCAGAGTAATTCTCTTAAAACACTAGCAGGGTAATTTTGCAGATTTATAGAAAATACTCTCATATTCTTTTTTATGTAAACATATCAAGAGAATAAAACATGCATTCCAATAAATGCATAAAAATAAAAAACATAACACATCTTCAAACCATTGTACTCATAATGAACTAGTCCCTGTGGGCAGAAGCAGGCGTACTCCAAGTCTTTCTTTTGATTTGCTCTCAACTGTCGGGGGAAACTTTGTAGGAGAGGACTAATGACAAGTTTGTGCAAACAGCAACATCCTGCCTTTCTTCTCTTGGGTTATTTTTGGCACAAGGAGATGAGCTTTTTGCTGGAAAGAAGAGGAAATAAAAAAACCCTGGAAAGCTGTCATAGGGAGATGTGAAAGTGGTGAAATGGAGGGGCTTCGAATATATGCTCTATTAATAGTAAACAGTAATCCAAATAAGCTGAGCTACTGGTCAACACACAGAGAGCTTAATGTACTGGTCTTATGACAACTATTCACTCTCTTGGAATCTACTAAGACATCTTAGATATCTTATGGCATTTGGGGGAGGTATTTAGTATAAAAAACTATACATTTCATTCATTATTGATATAAAAGGGCTTGATAATAGAAATGGGTCCAGTGACTTCCTATTCAAAACTGCATTGTCGATGTTACATTTTTACCAAAACATGTATGGCCCAGTTTTCAGAGCACTCAAACCTCCACTATGTACAGGAGACTAAAGAAACCAATTACAAATTCACATACACATTTATACATCAGTGTACACAAACATTGGAGGCAAGGTTGGTTAAGTGTCTTGCCCAAGGACACACCAGTACAACTGGTGAGAGCTGGTACTGAACTGGCAGCCTTCACCATAACACTAATTAAGAAGGCTTACCTGTTGGATGGTACCCTTGAAGCCCTCAGTCAGTGCTGCTCCTCGGGCCAGGCGGCTGTAGTCCGGAGCTCCTCCCACAAACAGAGACTCCTTCAGGTTTAGATCAACGTGGAGGTTCTGACAGATGACAACAACACCAACAAATTATCTAACAACAGTTTCTTATGCAGCTTCATCTAATCAATAGAGAGCTTTATTGTATTCTTTTTATGTAATGCATTAATTTGTGTTTTTACATAACTAATACAATTTATATTAAAATGCTTTTTAAAGCATTCTATTATATAACTTCTAAATATCTATCACTTTGCATTATTTCTGCAGAAACTGGAGGCACAACAAATTACAAATTGTTTGTCATGGTTCTGTATTGTGTTGTGTTATTAGAACCATGTTCAATGAATGCTTACTAAAACACAGATTAACAACGGATGCATTTATATTCATAAACAGACGTGTTCTTCCACATCCTCCTCTTAGCTGTGGAGTTGATGGATTCTTGTTAATAATGTATCTCTTAGAGAAGCTAATAATGATCTCTGAGACTCTACAGAAGAACAGGGGCAGGCTGGAGTCAGGATACAAGCATCTCTTTACAGAAAACTCAAAATAATGGCCAATCATAAACAGTGACCTTTACACTGTTTAGTGCGTACACATTAAAAATAATTAATTTGCGTGGGAAAAGCAGGAGCAGCAATCCTTTCAGCTAGACCTTTGGGACAATTGCTGTTGGGTTAGCAAGGTGCTGCTTGCTCATTTTGCCTCAAAGTGCAAGCCCACTTAAGAGGGAAGAAATTAATTATATCAAATTTATGTAGGGCAGTAATTGCCACAGGGCTTAAGTGGAGTTAATTGCTATGAAAATGATGGAAAGGGTGAAATAAACAGGCTCTGTGCATAGAGGAGAAGAGCAGAGGCAGCAGAGCAGGGCTCAGACCTGGGGCTGTGTCACTGCTCCAACAGAGACAGACCTGGGTCGACACACTGGATACAGCTGTGCTGTAGTCTCCAAGCTCACACTTATGCTCTCCTGAACATTCTGCTATAGCTCAGGTTCTGGGAGATGAGGTTTTACTTTGAGTGATAGTGTTGTCACATGCAAACACTTCTGTATTATCGTGTTTAGTGCACTCTGAGCTGCCTGTATAGTTGTATGTGTGTGTGACACAGCGACATCATAGGACTGTTCCTGTTGGTAGTGATAGTAAATGATAAAAGAACAGCTCGGATTGGCTTGGCACCTCCCACTGTGCGCTTCCTGCAATGGGCATGGGCCCCCTGGTACTCTGCACTCTCACTTCGGGTGTTGATTGGCAGGATGCACTCGCCTACACCGCGCTCATGAAGACGTCTTATTGTGGAGCAAAACAATGGCTGCCGTGACGATGGCTTCTCCTTCCCTCCCACCTTCCCACCTTCTCCTGCCCACGCAGCAGATGGACCGAGGTGAAAGCCAAGCCGCCATCCCAACACTCTTGTCTTCTTGTGAAAATGTTCCTTGAAGCTAACTCAGTTTTTTTCCTTAATGTGCTTGTTGAGATGGGAGTGACAGTGGACAGTGAACAAGTGAAATATGGTGAAAGGTGTGACTGGGTCTGTCTCATTACCTTGCGTGATTTCTTATTTTCCAGACAGCACATCATAGAGAGGGGGAAAAATAGGGAGGAAGAGAGTTATTAGGGGAAGACTAGTAAGTGGCTGTGCACAGAGAGACATGCAGAAGCACTCAATGCATTCATAAGAGCATTATCCATACAGCAGCGACAGTGGAGGAGTACATTAAATAAAGAGACTCATGCACTATACACTGAACTAGACAGTAAACAACATCTACACTCAAGATGCACTAAAAACATGCATGAAGCAGATGGTGTCATTAAGAGAGAAGAAGGAAGAAGAAAGGCATCGCTGGTGTCAGGCTGTGCAAAGTGCTTTTAGCTAAACCTCATTTGTAGATTTCCAGCAGATTTCTTAATGTTAGACATATTTGAAACAGGGTGATTTGATTTCTATAACCCCAGATAAGGCTTGGTATAGAGATTCATAATGATGCAATTTAAGAATGTAATGTGTTGTGCAGACCTAAACAACAGCTACAAAACATCAGTCAAATAGATATCACAATTTGAGTTGGTGCAATTATCAAATTGCAAAGGGTGTATTTATATACATATATTAAAATGTCGTCTGCAAAGTCAAAAAGTCCTGTCTTTTAATAGAAAAAAAAAAGAGTGGCATCTGTAGTTTAGACCACTACAAACATGTTTAGAAATTTTCAGGATTCTTTATAGTAGTTATGGAGCTAATATAAATTCAGCTTAAAAGACCTAACTTCGCTCCAGTCTACCTCACTGCTTCTCCAGAGTTTACCAGCTCCTCAGCCTTCATCACCTCTCTCCAAATACTCCTCCTCACCACTCGACGTACCTCCTCGTTCAATCAGCACACAGTCTGCCCAATTTAAACCCCCAATGCAGATGCATGCCCTCTTTGGTTTGTGCCACGCCCCACCTTCCTCCCCAGCACCCTCTCGGCTTCTCATCACCTCACTGTCCCCTTCACGCTCCTCATCCTCTCATTGCCCCTTTCAGTCTCCTCATCCTCTCATTGTCTCCTTCAGTCTCCTTCACCTCACCTCTACCACCTCCAGTGTCCAGGCCCCAGGGGAAGACATCTCCTAAGCATCATCTAATCAGCCACACCCTTCATCACAATATCTTCTGCTAGGGTCCGAGCACCAAAGATAACTCATTAAATAAAACTACTAATACTTTCTATTTGTGTCTGAGCCCGTCCAGGTCGAATTTTCTCCCAAATGCTTCTATATCCCAGATCTATATCCCCCCCAAATCATGCAGTCCTACCATTTTTATTTGTGGATGGTTGGAATATTACGTTGTCTTGCTCGGGGTGACTGAATTTGGCAACTTGGTGCTTTTAAAATGAAGGGCAGCTTGTGTTGATTAAACTGGCAGAAAGCTTGACTTCTTTACTTCTACTTTTTTCTGCCTTGTGGGAATAACTACACCATCCGGCTCACCACCTGTGTACATGAGTGCCCTCGGGATACAATGCTGACGAATCAAGGCTGAGACAAGCTTTTCACCAAAACAGCAATCTTGCGTGCTTAACTCATGTTTTTATATTGATTTTACAGAATTTTGTGCAAGAACTGATTAGGAAGGTATTTGGTAGCTGTGGGCTTAAAAAGGTAGTACAGTGTTTTTATTTAGCACGAGTACTTTCAAATGCAGTCCATACTAACCCATAGCATACAACTTGACTGAAAACACACTATTCCAACCACTTTTATACCCAAGCTTCATCTACGCTCCATCTTCCATCATGGCGATGTCTTTGATATCCTCCAGCCTGCTCCCTCTGTGTCTGTAGATGTGACCGCCTTTGATGTGATGCAGTTCAGGCAGGGCAGGCTCCTTCAAACTTCCCCTTATAGGAGACTGGAGTAGGGAGCATTAGCTGGCTCATCCCTGTCCCTCCAGACCCCTCCAACGCACTTTCTCTCTCTTTGCTCTGCTCTCTTAATAAGATTTTCTGCTTCTCTTGCTACGGCGAAGCACAATTACCATAAATATGATGGGGGGGAGGGGGAGGGTTGAAGTGCGGAGATAAAAAAATTTAAAAATCGTGGAAGGGTTGACAGAGTGCACGTTCGTGGTTGCAAATTGCGTCGTTTCATATAATTGGATGACTTAAGGGCTTATCAAGCGATTAGATGCCTCTCATATAAAAGTATGTACCTATTGGCTGAGGAGCTTCATTATGCGTCCTTTTATCTGACTTTATCTCCCTACCTTAAAATTTATTGTAAAACACTTTCTTTATGCAACACTGAGTTTTATCTCGGGCGTGTCAGTAAGCGTAGAGACTGGGTTAAAAAACAGTGGAAAATTACAGGACTTCCAAAATTAAGACAGCTTGTCAAAGAGGCCCTCTACATCTGGAGCGCTCCCTCGTACCTTGACGGATGTCGGGAGATATCGGGGTATTTTCAGCAAATCAAGACAAGTGGTGTGAAACGGAGAGGAAACCCTCAAGCGATAGGGGAAGTTTGCTGAATCAACTATGGTAAAGTTGAAACACTGGAAGGCTGGATAAGGTCAGGCTCAGAGGTAAGAGCGAGGAAATGAGAAAGCAGTAGCAGCAGACAAATGCAGTTTAAGAAGCAGGCACGGCGGAGCATAGCATAGGTCGGTTAGCCCCTCATGCTAAAACTAAAGTACAAGATTAGCATTAGCAGGATGGAGTTAGCAGGAGCTCACCGGCGCCTCCCCTCGGACTGGGTCCTTCTTGTTGACCATGATTTCTCCTTTGCGGTTGGAGCGCTCCAGGTTGATGGTGTTCCACACGTTCAGCTGGATGGGTTGTTTACTCCTGCAGCAAACAGTCACAAATGTCAGTTAACAACTCACTATTTTGCCTTCACTAGATGGGAAGTGTGCCTATGTTCCCTCAGATTTCTAATTTTTGTTATTTTTTCTTTCTAAAATTAGGCCCTACATTCCCACATTTCCTTTATCATCACAGTTGACGATAGATGTAATGTAGATAGGGGATGTAACGATACCCAAGTCTCACGATACGATATCTTCACTGTATGAACCTCACGGTACAATATTTATTGCGATATCGTGGGAAAGCTCATGATATGGTGGGGAGGCTCACGATTAGGGATGTAACAATATCCAAATCTCTCTATACAATATTTTCACAATATACACCTCACAGTACAGTATTTATTGTGATATTGTATGAAGGCAAATATGCTACTTTTTGCTCTTAAAATGACTTCAAAAGACTTAATCCAACAAACTAAGACTTAAAAGTGCTTGGAACTGTTATATCTTCTTGTAGTCTATACTGAAATGGCGCAAAGGATCATGGTCTATGTAGTTCTCTGTCTTTTTTTGCTGCACCATTATTCTTAATTTAAGCAAAGTGACTTGTAATTCAATATATTGTGATGGTCCACAATATTATTGTGAGAACTTTGATGATGCAATATCATGATATTTTGGTTATGGTGGAGCAAAGGAGGTAGGTTGAAATTACTCTGAATCATCCCTTTAAAGGTGTTATAAAAATGTGTCTGTGTATATATGTATATATATATATATATATATATATATATATATATATATATATATATATATATAGAGAGAGAGAGAGAGAGAGAGAGAGAGAGAGAGAGAGAGAGAGAGAGAGAGAGAGAGAGAGAGAGATAGGGCTGACCCCCACTATAGATTATCTGGTCCGCTTTGTCCAATAAAGTTTAAATGCACAATATTTATATAGATTAGCCAAATATTATAAAATTATGATGAAGCTTTTTGCACATTTCAATTCTAATCTCTGTAGTATTCCTTAAAACAGGCCTATAAATAACATACAGAAACTGAAATCCACTGCCAATATCCAAGTCATGTAACATTTAAAATTTCAAACTGAATAGATATACTTCATTATCCACCCTCCTAGTTATCATGTATTAATCAGAATGCAAAGCCCTGTGGTGCACTAACCTGATGGTGGCTGGCCCTTTGCCCAGGTCATAGCGAAACTCCAGGATGCCATTGTTCAAGGCCAGAGAGATGAAGTCTCCTTTGCCGTCTGTCTTCTGGCCATTGTAGAAGATCAAACCGTTGGAGTCGTTGGCCATGAGCACCACAGTCATGCTGACCTTTTGACTGCAAACAAACCACAAGAGATTTTAGTGCACTTTGTCTTTGTGTTCCGGCGACTAGCAGGAGAACATATTTTGCATCCTGGAGGCCTGATGTTATTTGTGTAACCCTCATTGTCGATTCAGCTGGAGTGTAAAGTGGAAGCGCTGCCTTAGGCCTATGAAAACACCATCATCTCCAGTGTTAGTTTCCAGCAGAGACTCACTGCAGATTGTGCCCGTAGAGATGCAGCCCCTTCAGCTCCAGGAACGAATCCCCACTGAACAGCGGCATGTAAGCTCCCCGTCGCTCCGACACTACCAGAACAAAAACAGATAGTGTATAGTCAGTACCAGCATTTTCACTCATGGTAAAGGGCTCATATTATGCTTTCTTTCTGATCTACGTTATAATGTTGTTTTCTCATCACAAACTAACAAAAAAATTAAGATGAGTTGTTCTGAGATACAGAAAGTGCTCCTCTGTGATTTTAAATCCCATATATCTTCACTATAATCATTTGGATAATTTCAGCCTTGGAATTTCCGATCTCTGCTCAACAGTAAAAGGAGCTGTTAACTGAAACCTACATCTTCATGACATCACAAGGTGGAAGAGAGTATTTTGAGCTTTGGAGAGGTAGACAGAGTAATACTAAAGGGTAATTCAAACATGTGTGAATGAAACAAAACACAACTCTTGGTATGTTTTAGATGATATTTTGGTTCTTGAATAAAGGATGTAAAGTTGTTATTGTTTAAATCATACTATACACTGTACACCTCTGGATTAATTATAAAAAATCCAGTTTGTAAAGACTGCAGGTGGCTTACAATGATGCTTTGCGGGTGCTTTTGAGGAGGCCATGACGGACGAGTGCAACTGAGATGTTTGTTACTGCACGAGTGAACACTTTGCAAGCTTCACTAAGAATTTTAATGTACAGCTTTATCTGCAAACTGAACAAATTTGACAACAAAATAATAATGTCACTCACAAATATGAGATTCAGAGCATAAGATATCAGTCCAATATGTGGAGACACTGGTATGGTTGTCTCTTAAAAACATAAATGTTTGTTGTTTTGTAATATCGGACCTTTAAATGTACTACACACTGTACTATACTGATGTCACCAATGCATACAATGCAAAAAAGAACATCTACATTTGTTATAATGAAGCAAATTCTTCAGTTAGATGCACCTGACCAAGACTGTGGGTGTCTGAGCTGCACTATTATCCAGGTTTAACACCGGAGACACTGAAGAATGGGTTAGATCAAGGCTATACTTTTTTATTTGAATCAATACACTTCTACTTACTATAGTATATGCCAGTGGGGTAAGAAGCTGGACTGACCTCACTGGCAGATATATTTTCCAGCAAAAGGGTTAGCTATTATTTTTGTGCATATAAGACCAAGATACCAGTGAAGGACTAAAATACTGTTGTTTTTTTTCTAAAACGATTTTAGCAGTCAGGGATAAAGTGCAGACTTGTCACTCAATGGATCTGTGAGGAACTGTCACCATTATGTAAAAAAGATAGATTTGTTCTCGCGTAGCCTGTGGGATTTAAACTTCCCCGTGATAGAAATTCAAACACAAAAATGAGAAATTCTTATGTCAGCCTGATTACACAGACGCCAAAGACTCACAAAGAGGCTCTGCGGCAGTGTGGAGTTTAACACCACGACTGGGACCCATGAAATAATACCTCCATTGTGTTATGGCAGGGCCTTTTCTGCAAATTCATGTCCCTCCGACGCTTCTACATCTCTATGCCCTGGTATTCCTTTACTTTTGGCTTGTGCAGTGATTAGAGGAGGCTCAGTGCCATCATTCTGTTTCCTGACAAGAAATATCACCCAAAGCTGTGTGTTTATATAAACCTCAATTCCACAGATGTGAGGTGAAATGTGCAACAGAAATAAATTGATTTAAGAATGTAACTGGATTCATGTACTCATAGTCATACAAGAAAAATATTAATAGAAAGAGCAGATTTGAGAAATTAAATTTGCGTTCCCTTTTCCCATAGACAAATCACATACTGAGAGCAAAGGTTGGTCAGCTGGAAACTCATCACCATAATAAAACATTTCATTACAAATATAATTCTGAAAGTTTATAGTACACAAAGTTATAAAAACAGTTTGCTACATTTCCAATTTATTTTTAATGAATATACATAATCATGTTATGGTCATTAGCTCAAAGCTTATTAACCTCAGCAATGCCTAAAACGGCTAATTATTTGATTTTTTAAATATATGCACTTTTGAAGTAAGCAGGGGAAATTAATGTGCATTTTTATTTCACAGTCTTAAGTCCTTGACCTTTACTGAGCTCAAAGATAAACATACACATACTGAGAATACATATTGATTAAAAGTTTCTATATTGCACAAAATGGACTTTTAGCAATGTTAGAATGCTGTTACAAAACTTGGAGTTGTGTTTTGTTTCATTCACACGTTGCACATGCATAATTAGTCAGTTTACATCTCCAAATCTCCAAATAATCTATTCCAGCTTGTGATGTCACATTGTGGTAGTTTTCAAGTTAACAGCTATTTTTTACCTTTCGTTCAGCAGAGATTGGTAATTCCAGGGCTGAAATCACCCAAATGATTCTAGTGAAGCTGTATGGAGCCCTTCCTGTATTACCACATTACAACACCTAAATATGCAGAATTTGTGTGTTAAACGTGTGAATGAAATAAAAAACAACAACAACCCCAGGTATGTCTTTGATGAGGAAACAACAATACAACATAGATTTTAAAAATTGTGTAATATAGGCCCTTTAGTAAACTATTCATTCTATTCAAAATTTTTACTTTATATCATCATTATAGCACCATGGCTTGAAATTATCATCTTTACCACAAATAAAATGCAACAATGCAAATCTCATCTATATTTGGTGTTTTTGCAAGTGGCTTTGAATTGGTATCATCCCAGGTTGAAACAGGCAAACACCTTTTGATCTGCTAGGGAAAGTTGTAGCATTTGTAATTGACTGAGATTAGCGGAGCCACATCAGGATGGGGAAAGGCAGACGGAGATGAGAAAGCTAATTAGCTATTGTGCGGGAGACTGCTAATGATGATGGCACGCACCACAGAGAAGAGGGGAAAATAGAAGGGAATGTGCTAAAGTGGAGTGGGCTAGAATAATGGAGCTGCTGGGAATAGGGTTATGGAGGGGCTTTTCCACACTGTGACTCTGGGCGCTCCGGGATCAATAAGTCAGCAAGGATCCCAATGACCAGGAAAATCCCCCATCATGCATGTCGGATCAGGGAAAGTTTTCAAATTAAACTTTTATAGCCATCCCATGCTCTGGGTCGTTTAATTGTAATTGTGTTTATATAACAGTAATGCAGGCTAATTAGTACTTACTATAGAAACAATCCAATGAGTAGAGGCTGTGAGGAGGCAGCTAAAGGCCCTGAACCTGCCCAATTAACTCTGATCATACACAATAACTGTTTCTCTGATTAATGTAGCATTCTAACTAAGAAAAAATTAAACACCAGTAGAAGTTTCAAGGCTGCTCTTTCATCACTAAATTGTAATGATTTTTCCAAGCACTGGCCAAAAGCACAGAGATAAGTAGGCCATTCAATAGTACAGTCCCATCCTTGAGTAAGGTCCTTGATGGGGAATATTAGAGAAGTGTAGAGTGATAGAGATAGTGAGGTGCACCTGCAGCCTACAGATGAGTGGCTCTGAGTTAGCAGAGCCTTATCAGAGGTCTGTCTACAGCTGACACTGGGCTGACTGACGCACACATAAATCACCCTGGGCAGCAGGACTGATGCGATTAGTCATCTCATTGATTCAGAGAAAAAAATAGCCTTTTGGAAAAGGAGACGCTCTCGCTCACACTGCATTGATTTTATTTCACCTCAATTTATTTTAATCACCTGCTAACTAGGACTGGAGGATAGTCTTGTGTGTTTCCACTCCTTTCCACTAACACACTGTTAAAACACAGTTACTCACAGAGGTGAGAGGAAATAAGACTCAGCTTCCCATTTGAACGCAGTCACAGGTCTGCTCAGCTCAGCTCAGCACATCTACACTGACACACAGGATGGTAACAGAGACTGACAAGAAATACGACAATGGCAAAAGCTCTAATGATAAACTTCAAAAGGTCTGATGTGTTCACAGCCCTAAGCCCACACTGCCATGACGATCTGAGCGGCCACATGTTTGAACAGCGCACCTGTAGGCGGACAGCAGTAGCTAACAAGCTGAGCCAAGACCAGGCCCGATGGGGCCAATCATTCAGCTGCAGAGCAAAGCAACAAACTCCCATTTTAGCCTCCAACACCCTCACTTTGATTTACACAACACTCAGGGAGGAGACACGTCGCAAGGTGCAGAACACAGAAACGAGGGAAATGGAACAGTACAATTCAGAAGTCCATAATAAAGACCTAATGGCCTAAAGGACAAAGGACCACAGAGAAGGAAGTATAAGTGATGCTAGCATACCTTTCTCACAGTGCTTGCCCTCTCGGCCCATGGGGCATTCACACTTGTAACCTCCCTCGGGCTGAGGCTGGCATTGGGAGGAGGGGTGGCACCTGTTGGGCTCACAGGGGTCATGGACGTCAGCGCAGGTTGGACCTGGACAAACACAAAAGAGACACAATAGCTTTTACACCTGATTCTGTTTTTCACAGCAGTTGTCCTTTTGTAACAGTGGCCATTTTCTAATAGGATGTGTAAATATTAAAGTGAGCAGAGCATCCTGTTGTGCTGTCGTGTTCTTTGCCCTGCGCCTGGGCCCATCTGAACACTGCTGTCATTACTGCAGCACTCAGGGCCTTTAATGAAGCCTGTCCCGCTGAGCTCACACAACTAACACCTTTTTATTTCTTCACTCTAATCCAAAACACTGTCCCTACATGCGTGTCCCCCCTCCCTCACCCCCTCCTCTGTCTTCTGTAGCTTCTCGTCAGCCACAGTGCCTGTCCTGGCCACTTTATAAAATGACTAAATTAAGAGCCTGCGGGCGTCTGTCCAATTCTCATTATCTCCATTCATTCCTGTGCCTGGTGCCAAGAAGCTTTGATCACCGCAATGCTTCTTCAGAGTCGAGCCTTTCCTTAATGGCTTCTTAACCGAGCGCACCCCGAAAAAGTTATAGTGTCTTCTAAAATTTAGCCAGGAAAGTTTTGTAAAGAATCACTGTGCTGCCAGATGTGAGGATCAAACTACTGAGTATTTAAAAGTCCTATATTCTGCAAAATTGACTCCAGTGAATTTTAAGCCATGACAGAATATGTTACCTCATCACCAACATACCTGGATCTGGTTTTGTTTCATTCACGCATGTTTGAGCAACCTTTTATTACTAGTCTGTCTACATCTCCAAAAGCTCAAAATTCTCTTTGTCACCTTGTAATGTCATTAAGCAGTAGTTTTCAAGTTAACAGCTACTTCTACCTTTAGTCCAGCAGGGATTTGCAGTTCCATTGCTGAAATTATCCAAATGATGCTAATGAAGGTGTATAGGCCTTAAAAACAGTGGAGCACCTGTATTACCACATGACATCACAAGGTGGAACAAAGTGATCTGTTTGAGAGACGAACTAAAGTCAAAATATGCAGGGTTTGTTTGTTAAATATGTGTGAATGAAAAAAAAACACAGCAACTCTGGGTATGTTTGTGATGAGGAAACAACAATGTAACATAAATCATAAATAAGACATAATATGACTTGAAAACAAAAAGTGTAGACTGAGTAATGAAGTAGGTCAAAGTAGAACATAGTTTTGTGATATTTTTTTATGTGTATGCGTTTATTTTAGGAACACAGATTTGATGGTGTTTACAAAATGACTGGAAGCGCTCCTGCTGGGGACTAGAGCTGTAGTGTGAAATGAGGCTGTCATGACCACACTGAATACTGGGGAAAGAGCAAGAGGAGTTGGGGACAACGTATTTTTGGTAGTATAATATTCCTCTGAACGCAAATTCCGTTTAATTTAAAATAGATTTTACAGCTCAGTACTCAGTTGTGAACAATCACACTCTCATCAATAAACTAAAAGCACAATTTCACCCATTCAACTAGGTTTCCAATAATTACAATGTTTTCTCGTCAGTAAAGATGGATTGACCAGCTACACTAATTAATTAGTAATCAACAGTTCCAGAGGGTAGAACTGATGAATCATGACTAAAGAGAACCAGAGAATAGACATTTAACTCAAATAACAGGGTAAAGCCAGATACTGATAATGCTTAAAAGGGAACTGGGGAACTTCTTAGGTGGAGGGTCGGCCACTGACTTGTCTCCATGAAAATCTGTGGCACTAAACTAGACTTTAGATTTAGACATCAGAAGGTCAAATTTAAGGTAAGGTTAGATCTGTGCAGAGCCTCTATTTTATAGAATAATAATAATAATTCTATCTATTGTATTTTTCGGACTACAAGTCACACTTTTTTCATGGTTTGGGTGGTCCTGCGACATACTCCACTCTAGGCTTGTGTACTCCTGTACCACTGTCACTTCACACTCTACTGCGCATATCAGCTGCAGCAGAAAGAGAAAGAACCACTGTCCTGTCTGCATCGTGTCAGTCAATTGCACCATTACCTCTGTATCAATGACAATTTAAAATTCAAACAAATATAAAGACAACTGACCTCATCCTGTCGGGATTCAGAAAGACTGGAATAATTCTAAATAGAACTGATGCTTAGTCTGATGACAGCTACGCAGAAGAGGAAATGGCACTCCGTTTACCTCCAGAGGTCGCCGAGTTGCTTAGAAGTGACACCGAGGATGAATAATTCAGTGGATTTAGTGATTTGGAGTGAGATGGAGAGTTTGGTAAACTTGTTCTGTTCTGTTGTTTATGCTATAGTTATCTGAAGAACTGTTCCTATGTTACAACAGCCTGTTGTTATTCTAGTGTTATTACTATAACCTGCCTTCCAAGATTAAATGTCGGTTCCCGGTCTCTGATTTTATAAAATAAATTTCCCCCAAAAAGTGTGACAAAAGTGCGACTTATATGTTTTTTCCTTCTTCATTACACATTTTTTGGCTGGTCTGACTTACAGTATATTCCGAAAAATACAGTATATAAGTTAATATCATGCGCCGGAACATTCTAGGCAAAGCAGTAACATCTCCATACAGACAAGAATGTGGTGAACTCTCATCCAAAAAAATTGCGTAGTGCCACTTTAACTTAAGAATCAGATACCGCAAAATATTGATTAAATAATTCCATAAACACTGGTGAAAAGCTTTAATTGCACAGCTGTTATGTCAGTAAATCATTTTAAGGCAAGGTTAAAAAACTAAACTAAACATTGATCTATTCAAACTTGAAATATTATGGTATTTGTTGAAAGGTGTGGGTAGTTGTAGTCTCTTACCCCAGAAACCTCTGGTACATTTGCAGTGGAACATCTCCGCCTCTTTGACCTGGCAGGCGGCTCCGTTCCTGCAGGGGTTGGGCACACAGGGGTTGTTTCCGCACTCTCCCACTCCACTGCCAAACAGACTATCTCCTCCATTCTCCTGCAGATTCAGCACCCTGTTGTTTACGTCCAGCAGCCGAATACAGCCCACTAGACCTGTGTCCACTCCCGTCCTCTCCTTCACACTGGAAAACACAAAGGGATAGTGTGATGATTATGATTGTTGTGAGGTGTTGGTAGGGGTCAGCCAAAGTAAAATTAGTTTTAATCTAATTCAGAGCTCTACAGTATAAGAAAAAAATCCAATACATAATAACTTGAATATTGAATGTTGAAATGTAATATAAATAAAATTGTAATTTAATTCTATAGTTTAAAGTGGGAGTATTTTGGATTATGGGAGATTTTGATTTTAAATTTCATAAACATGACCTATTTATGTCTCCAGATAAGGCAGGCATGGACAATTCAAATACAGCTTTTATTGACAACAACGGTAAAACTGATTTATTCTTAATTAGAAACACAATTGACCATATTGTTGATGTTATAACAGTGTTTTGATTTTCAAGACGATTATTCAAGGAAAAAGCTAAATTAACATTTAAATTAAAAATTTAAGTCGCTGCAAAACTGAATTTGAAGCCCTAAAGACAAAAAGTTTAATGGAATATTACCATACCATTACCATATTTTTGGAAAGTTTGGCTACCCATTATTGATTTTTTACACTGTCTATGTGAGAAAAAACTCCTAAATCATCTCAGATACATGAACGTCCTCAAGCTGTTACTACACTTGATTTTAGTTCTGTGTGATTTATTTTAATTTTTTATATACAAAAAAAATGAATACCACATGAGTGAATATTGCAGAAACTCTAAAGTCTAAAGCATGTGTATATTGTGACACTTACTCCTGTTTCATGTCCAAAGGCACTCCTCCAATGAACAGGTTGGTGTCCAGGTTGAGTCCGTCAGTGCCGCGGGGGCTCTCTCCCTCCACGTGGTCCTCATGGTCCACACTCAGCATGGCATTACGGCGGTTACGGGTGACCACCAGCTGATGCCATCGGCCCTGCTCCACCTGCACCTTACTCACCAGAGTGCCAGTGCCAGAGCCTGTGTTGAACCTGAAGGCAGATACAAAACACATCATACAATCTGAAAGTGCACATGTGGGCAGAGTAATTTGAAACTATTGATGGTTTTTAGATTCTTGAATGTCCCGTATCTATACCATAGACAGTATAAAAAAGTGGACTAAGCGAGTGCGACATCACCTATACACTCAACAGTTACATTATAAGAGCAAATCTAATACAAACATTTTAAGACCAAAATGATGAGGCTCACAGCAGCAGTCACAGAGAGAGGGGTGACAATATTCTAATGGAAGTCAATGGGAGCCATGTTCAGTAGGAGCCAAGAGAGCTGCATGTGAACTTCCTATCTGGAACAGGGTGGCTAGTAGCCTGATTCATCAGCTGGTTTCACTTCATAGAAACTGTCTGACCTCGCAACATTAGAATTCATTCACTTGACAGTAGGTGGATACTTTTTTTATTTAACCAATTGCTGCTATTTGGTCGAGAAGTATGTAATACCCTGCTAACGGGGCTAACTGGTATATTAAGCTTTTCCCAAATCCCATAGGAAGAAGGACAATAACGTCTTTCCCCTTGATAAAATTCACTGAATATTCTCTTTGTTCTGGCTTTAAATCCTCGATCTTGGGAACTGTTGCCAACACAGAATGTATGGCTCTTCGCTGATTGGCTGGTGCCTGAACGCGCACTTCCAGGGTTTTTGTGAAACGCCTAGTGTATTCTGATTCCTGACCTAGTCCCTGGAGAGAAATGAAATTGAGCAGAGGCACCAGGTGGCTAGTGCGTTAGCTATGAATATATCCAAAAGGTAAATTCCCAAATGTTGAACACAATGATTTCTATTAGTGACTGGACCATTGAACTTGCCATATTACAACAAAAATATAAATTTTACATCTGTATTAAATATTATTGGCCTATATCATGTTTTGATGTGATTTGAAACACAGCAATTCAACAAATCCTTGATTTAAAAAAAACAACCAAAAAAAAACAGCGTTGCTTATTACAAGGTTATATATTGAACAAAAGTTAAATAACACATGAACAATTATATGTCATCAAGTATTTACTTTTTGTTTTTGATTATCTGAAATCTGACACTTATAAACCACTTCTGCTCATGTAAAACTTAACTAGTACCATATTCATTTTGACTGGTGCTTTGGGACATCTTGTTATAAAATATCCAGTAGAGCAAAAATTTCCAGTTATAGGACAAAATCAGGCTATGGGAATGTTCCGCCTTAGCTCTGCATGTACTAAGCCAAAGTGAGAAATAATTAGAGCGCCTCACTTTCATATCAAATTACAGCGGCCAGGATTTTTAGCACAAGATGTTTGTTCCTTATCTAGCAGTTTCTAATGACAGCAAAAATCCGCTCACATTGCTCAGTGAGACAGTGATGAAAGAATGGAGGTACAGTCTAAACTAACAGCTACTCACTCAGATATATTTCTTTCGCACTTTTTAATTCAGCGTTTTATCTAATGAGGAATAGAGGACACATCTCGCAAAAAAAAGAGTTGCCGTATGCGACCCACACATCTAGCATTGAGAGCAATTATCTCCCACAAATAATTAGTTCTTCTCTCCACGTCTTGGATTTGTGAAGCGGTGGGTGGTGATCCAACAGCGGTATTTCTGGAACTGAAAAAGAGCTTTATCTAAAAAAGCACAAATGACTAATGATCTCCGTGAATCCGCGATTGATTTCAAGCTGTATTTAGAAATGTAACCTGGCTCTGAGCGGGTCTGAGCAGGTCTGAGAAGGGGTCGGGATGTGATACAGTAGCCAAGAGATAAGAGAAGAAGTGTAACAGGCATAGAGCGGCAAGGCTAATTAGTTTTTTTCAGTCCTTTCGCTCATGATTTTTATACACAAGTCCACTGGGGAGGATCAGTGCTTACAGTTCGGGCAGGTTTAAGCAGTGTTATAATGATTTTTTTTGGCTATGTAATATACCACCTGAAATAAACAAAACTAGGCCAAGCAAGTGAGTAGCTAGTGGGTTGGATGCAGACTTAGCTAATTATTGTGTTTTTTAATATAGTGTGAAGATTGAATAGATGTAGAATGTCATAAAATGTCCAGGGTTCCCACTTTTTCACTGACAACATTTCAAAACTTCTCCATCACTTTTTCATGACCTAAAGTGAATTTTCCATGACTTTACGGCACCTACATGTGTAGAATTGATCATACTTTTAGGGCTAAATATGAAATGTTAACTCTTTCCACTCACCTTATGGTTTGATACTATAGTTTTTTAACATTCAAAATACTGTCAATGCATTTATTGTCGTCTCTTTTAAACAAAAGGCACATACATTCAGAAATAATCAGAATATCCTCATGAGAACAGAACGCTGTAGCTGTGTGAAAAAGATACTAAAATTCCATAACTTTTCCAAAACTTTCATTGATTTTACAAAATTCCATGACTTTTCCAGGCCTGGAAAATTACATTTTCAATTTCCGGGACTTTTCCACGATTTTAATGACTATGGGAACCCTGTATGTCAGTTTGGGTAGTATCATTTTAATTTTGTATGTCAAATGATCTTGTATTGCTAATTATTATGTAAATATTTTTAACTTTGACTTCTTTACTTGCTGTAGCACTTTGAGATTTCCTTGAAATCTTAAATGCAATATAAATAAAATTATTTAAAAGCAATGCTGACTTGTTTTTCAATCCCTTTGGTGAAAATCTGACTTTTTCATTTTCATGTTAATTTTCTCATTCATGTGACAGACAAGTTCACAACTACAGCTATGCATTGGAGAAAACAAATCTTTGGATGAAAATGTTTTGTATAGTTAAAAATACATTTTTTATTTTTTAAATCCATCTGAGCATGAGAAAATACTTAGACAGCAGTAACTCTTGCAACTCTGAACTTCCAAAGCTCAGATCATAAATACTTGAATGCACTTCCACTGCTGGCTTTAATGACACTATGTTTATGTGTTTACGTATTTGCCTGTGTAAATATATGATGTAATGAAGTGTAATGGTGGACTCTGCAGCACATGTCGGCTCCATCTGTAAACAGCCAAACCTCTGAGTTCAACCGTGGCGTCTGGATCTGATTTATTTCCTGCTGCTTCTATTTTAAACATGTTGACTCTGTGTAATTATTTGCCTCATTATGTTGAGCGCTCACCATTTGTTTTACTCTTATCTCCTGCCTCTTGCCGTCGCTGCTAAAATGGGCTAGTTCCCTTGTGGGTAGTATTAAATGTGTTTGGATTGTTCCTCCTCTCTCACCTTAGCTCCACCCGACCGTTGACCAGGGCGAGGGAGATGAAGTCCTTTTTGCCGTCCTGTCCGTTGTAAAGCAGGATTCCGGTCATTTCCGATGTTCTGAACTCCATGGCGATGCGCACTGTGTGGTAAGCGCTCATAGTTTGGAAGGCCAAGTATGATTCTCCGCCGAAGGATGGGAGGAAGTATTTGATAACTGGAAAAAAGGAAGAAGTCTTACAATGTCGTCACTATTGTTATGGTCGCAGTGAATGCAAAATGGTTAAAGTGGCATTATGGAAGTTTATACAGAAGGGATCAAAACCTTGTATATTCCAAGAAGATGTTGTGCTTGTAATGTTCTACAAAATGGCATACAATTTACCACTTTCCATGGAAAAAAAAAATGTTACCTGCAATTGAGTAAATGAAAGATAACTACATTTCTATCATAATGTGGAACACTCTAAATAAAACAATAACATTTTCATGAGATAAGCACTTAAGTTTTCCATCACAAAACTTAAATAGTATGAAAAGATAAACCTTGTCCCACAATGGGGAAAATGACAGTGTTGTGAACAGCAGGAGAATAAGAACATGAAATCAAGATCAAGATAAATTACAACTTTAATTTGTAAAAATAAAGAGAAAGGGAAAACATGATGGGATGACTCAGAAAATACTGAAACTGAATAACCTTGACAAGTGACTTTTGTTTGGAAATAAATGTCAAAATAGTGTCTGGTAATTTAGTGTAATTTTGATGTTAAGACGTTAATTATTTAGACTTTTTCCCTTTAAGATCTTATATTACGCAAACTTGACTCTTCTGAGCTTTAAGCCATGTTAGAATGTTTTACCTCTTCAAAAACATACCAGGAGTTGTGTTTTGTTTCATTCACACATGTTTGATTAAGCCTGGTTTATTAGTCCTTCTAAATCTCCAAAACTCAAAATGTTTTGTTCTAGCTTGTATTATCATGTAGTGGTAATTTTGAAGTTAACAGCTATCTTTTAGTTGAGTAAAGATGGGCAATTCCACGGCTAAAATTACTCAAATCATTCTAATGAAGGTGTAAGGAGCACTTCCTGTACTACCACATCAGAGTCCTCCACCGGGTCTAGTACCTGACAGGTACAGGCTGTTGTAGTTGCTGAAACGAGCGTGTTTTAACACTATGGAATTTTACAGGTGGATATGCAGGCGGGTAGTGATTACAGACGGGCTACACCAGGACTAAACCAGGTCTAAAATAGGTCTAAATCAGGACTAATCTTGGACTTAAGAGAGAACCCAGAGGCAGCGGAGCAGGGTGTCTGCACAACGCGATCGGGCGACTGCTGCGCTTACCTCCGTGGGGGCGGAGCTCTGAGCCGGTCCGTTCGCCTGCGGTCACCCGACAGTCTAGATGGGTGCACCTCCGAGCCCGTCCCAACAGTGAGTCCTGGTTCAGTTCTGGTTCAATTCTGGTTTAGTGCTGGTTTAGTCCAGTTTTAGTTCTGTTTTAGTCCTCCAAGTTCAGTCCTGGAATCAGTCCTAGGTTAGTCCTGGGTTAGTCCTGGGTTAGTCCTGGGTTAGTCCTGGGTTAGTCCTGGTTCAGACCGTGGCGTGTGGCGCAAAAGTGCGGCATCTCAATCAATGTTTCTTCTGCTCAGTAAATAATATCTGTGAAGTGATGACAGTCGAGTCGCGTCTGTGAATTCATATTCGTAACGAAGAAAGAGTGATCGTTTCATTTCATTTCGAAGAAGAAGGATGCTTCAGTTAGAATGATTTTAATCTGTGTGTGATTTATCACGGGCACGGGTGGGTAACGGGTGTAATGTTAACGGGTCCGGGCGGGTGCAGGTTTAACTTTGATATAATCACGGGTTAATGGTTGGGTGCGGTGCTGTACTGCGCGGGTGCAGTCTCCAAAAATGGACCCGTGCAGGACCACATGACATCACAAGGTAGAAAGGGTTTTTTGTTTGAGAAAACTCAGCCTAAATATGCAGGGTTAGTTTGTTAAAGATGTGTGAATGAAACAAAACACAACTCCAGGTATGTTTCTGATGAGGAAACTACATTATAACATAGATCAGACTATAGTGTAATATAGAGTGTGTAAAGAAATGTAGACAAAAACTTGACTAAAGGTGAAGAACAGAGAGATACAGTAGTTAATACCACAAATTTCTTGACACCTTAAAACGATAACATTTAAGCCACTTGTGTAAACGCTTGTGGTAACAACAGTATCTCTGCAGAGAAGCATGTAAATATTTTGCCACCGTCAGCTCCAATTAAATCTGAGATGTCGTGACAAGATGTGACAAGTTTATCAAGAGTCCCCGAGGCTACAGTGAAGAGAGTTAACAGACATCTTCACCGCGGATCCTTTTATTATTTTTTGACCACTTCACAATTATGATTATGATGTATTATCTCCCCTGTGTGCCCATCTCGGAGCAGAGAAAGGCAGCTGATGAGCTCTTTGTCGGAAATTGATCTGAAGGAGACTGTACTTTGGTTTACACAGCCTTCACTGCAGCCTCTCCCTAAGACTCTGCAGGTAATCCACATCAAACCAATTAGAGCCAGTTATTGTGGGAGAAAGCTGTGAGGTGGTTTCACAGAGCTAAGATCTTGTACTGTAAGAGGAAAGGGACAAAACTGTTACAAGTTGTCCCCAATTTATGCGATTTATAGTGAAGCTGATGGAAGACAATGTTGTAACACAGACACTGTCAACCATTATACATAGCAAAAGATACATTGTGTAATTCAGTGCATAAGAAGTGCAGATATTAGCGAGATATTTTGGCCTTGGTTACACCATAGCATGCCTTAAAAATAATATTGGTAATCTTAAAAACTGCGCTCTACACAAAATTACTGTTCAAAAACCATGCTACAAACCATTCTACTTTCAATAGAACAAATCTTTATGCAATAACAGATATGAAAGGGTCTAAAATTACACTTAATTGGAAACGTGTAGTAGTAGTATTATTAATAGTAATAACAGATTAACATAATCTAATATAATTTATAATCATGTACACTGAATAGCTCAGCACAAATGGGCCAGCAAATCCACTCATGTAACCACAGAAGATTTCAGTCAGAAGTCTGTTTCCTCAGTATATTTCTTCTTTGCGTTGCCAGGCTTTCTTGTCTGATAGTGTTACTGTATTACATACTGTGCCATTATCCAAATACAGTATATACTGCAGCCTTTAATGGTTAGCAGCCATTACAGAAAAGCTATGAAGCTGAGTGGAAGTGGAGAGCCTAAAGCTCTCTCACTAGTTTTACAGCCATTGTCAGCCTTCTGCGAAGACTATATAATTCACAACTGTTTGGTTCAGTGGTTTCAAAGCCCAATTGGAGCTCATTTTCTTGATTTTCACAAAAAGAAAATTTAACTGAAATTAGAGCGAGCTGTATACCCCCTGAGCAGTGAACCATAGCTAACACTCATGACTCAGAAGACACTGAAGACGGGTATAATAATAAGGTTAAGTAAAGTTTACCCAATTATATTTTGGTGGGATTCTCTCACTGTGTTGACAGACCGGAGTGATTTATAGTGAAAGCCGAGTTATTTCAAAAGAGAGAGACTTTGCTGAATATTACATGCAAATTTGAGTGATTCAACCTCTGGTTCAAGTAGGCACTTGTGCCAAATTACAGGCAATTTCCTCCATCATCTGGAAGAGATGTTTGATTATTACATGTAGAAAAGCCTTCAACCTTTTTGATATGTTTTTATCTTCATTATTTTATTTATAAGTTCAGTACAATTTGTGAAGAGGCCAAAATGCATTTTCTGAGGTCACAGTGCACATTTGTACACCAATTTAAAATCAGATGTTAGGGTGAATTATGTAGTTAAAATTATCTGATATCAGGAAGTTAAATGCAGAATTACTAAAAATAACGAAGATATAGTTATTGTTTCTCAATAATGTAGTATTTTCATGTTGGCTATATGAGATTGTACTGTGCTCTTTCGCTGTAGACTACTGAAGTACAGTTTAATTAGACTTGTCCCTTACCACATGCCCTGGTTGTACTCCTCTGACTCACCTTTCTCACAGACGGCGCCCCCTCTCCCTGCAGGACATTTACAGGTGAACTCTGCCCCCTGGTCCTCACAGGTGCCCCCGTGCAGACAGGGGTGTGAGTCACAGGGCTGGCCGGTGCTGTGGTGGTTCCGGCCCTTGCTTGAGCTCCTGGTGGTGCCTGGGAGAGTTGTGGTCGTGTGGGGTACGGCGGTGGTAGTGATATGGGCAGTAGTAGTAGCTGGTTGCGTTGTGGTTGTGCGTCTGGTGCTGAACGGCCTACGGGTGGTGCCGGGTGGGCGGCGGGTCACGTGGGTGGAGGTGGGGGGAGGCCTGGTGGTGGTGGTGGGGGCTGGGGTGGTCACTGAGGCTGTGGTGGTTGTGGTGGTGGTGAAGAAGGGGATGGACGGGAGGGCTGCAAGCACACAAGGTATTTATATTTATTGTGTTTTTCTATGAGACAGTTCATAACAGTTATTGGTACTGCAACAGTTAACTGATACTTTGAACAGCTAAAAGGAAACACATTAAACCTACATTTTCCAGGCACAATTTTATGGCATCAGTATAAAATTAAATATTACACAAGTTTATATTCAGTTCAGTTTCTTAAGATTATTGGTTCATCTGGCTTGGGAGTTAAAGGCTTTATATCTTGAACATTAAGTCAAAAATTAAAACTACCATCTAAAATTTTTGCAGTGCTCCAAATGACTAAATACATTACTCCTACTACTACTACTCCTCCCACTCCTTCTCCTCCTACTACTACTTCTCCTACTACTACTCCTCCTACTCCTACTTCTCAAACTACTCTTCCTACTCCTCCTCCTCCTACTACTACTACTCCAACTCCTACTCCTCCTACTCCTACGCCTACTTCTACTACTAATCCAACTACTCCTCCTCCTACTACTACTTGTACTACTCCTACTCCACTGCCTACTCCTCCTACTACTCCTACGCCTATTCTACTGCTACTCCAACTAATCCTCTTACTCCTACTCCAACTACTACTTCTTCTATTACTCCAACTACTTCTCCTCCTACTCTACTCCTACTCCTAATACTACTACTGTTACTACTACGACTACGACTATGGCTGTCACCACTAGATGCTTTCTACTGCAGTCTGATAGTGTGCCAGCTCTGGAAGACTAGAGACCACAGGTTAAACGTGGACACAGGCCAGGTGAGGTCTGTAATAGACTTGAATGGTAGCTTTAAGACTAAGAATGACTAAATATACTAATAAATCATTCTATATAACTGTTACCATCATATATTTTTGCCTTTCAAAACCATCCCCTATTGTATTTGCAAATCCATCCTGTACACAGCCCCTCGATTGACTTACTGTAATTAAATCGAATGTTCTGATCTTCTGGCTTCTTCACAGCGATGCTGGTTTCCCTGGAGGCCTTGAGCTGTTTGAGCAGGGCTTTCTCGATGTCCTCCACTGTATGCTTGGTACCTGTAAACAAACCAAGACATGCTCACAAGCAGGTCTCTGCGGACACTTCCTTCTTTCAGTGAGCCTTCAGGATGTACGAGAATGAGTGTGCGTGTGTGACAGGTGGGGGCTCTCCGGGGGCTCCTTGTCCTCCAGCCGCCACTTGGCCGTCTTTTTCCAGATGAATGTCTCTCATAACACGCGGCGCAGATGTTCACTTTACTGACCATAGAGGAGATGGGGGGACCAAGGACACTAAATGACGATCATAAAGGGGGAACGAAAAGAAGGCTGTGCTTATGGCAGGTAATGGAAGGAACTGTTCTGGGGAATTTGTCTGACTAAAGAAAATTATGAAATAGTAGTTTTGGGTTTGTGCTGTTCATGTAATTTATTATGTTTTTAATTAAAGATTTTTTTTCTTAATAAGAAGGCAAATTTTACAATACACATAGACAAATATTCAGTTTAAAATATTCATCTTGTTTTTTTTCTTTGAGTAAACCCCATCTTATGCTTTATAAGTGGTGTTTAATCTGCTCTGTGGCAATATTTTAAATGAATAAAGTGATGGTAAACATTTTTGGAGGCCCTTTCAACATTATGCCAAATGCTTTCCCAATTTGGTTTAATGATGTTAGTTGACATTTTTTCCTCCCACATTTTCATTTCCACTGAGGGTGTAATTAATCTCTTCTTAATTTTAGATAGTAATTATATATCTTACAATGTGTTAAGATTGTATTTAAAAGGACTATATGGAAGATTTGTAAGATTTAGATTTTAAATTTCATAAACCTGACCTATCTGTGTTTTCAGATATGAGGTAAACATGTTCAAATCAGATTTAGTCTTTACCACTAACAGTAATGTTGATTTGTTCTTGATTATAAAAACATTGAACATGATGTCCAACTTGTATGTGTCCTCTCTGGTTAAGGATCAGGAACCAAGGTTGAGTCATGAATGCAGTATCTTTTTTAAAAGTGTAAGAGCACAGGGTTGGAGTGTTCAGACCTTTGGGTTGCATCATGCTGTTTATATAAATGGACATAACTAACTCGCTGCCTGCCATGTTCCACATAGGAAGTGAGCATGGTGGAGCTTTTGGCTCTGTTTGACTTTACATAGAAAAACTGTCACCCTTTCTCTGTAACTGCTGCAGTGAGCCTCTTCATTTTGGTCTTAACATTTTCGTATTAACCTGCTCTACATGATCCTGGTGTTCTTATTTCGCTATTGTGTCTGTAAATCAATTCCTATTCCTAATATAGAAATCAGATCCAAATTCTCTTCTCTAACCTCGGCCCTGTGAGCTTCATTTGACTGGAGCCGAACACTATGGATAGTGTCACACTCCGTTAGTCCACTTCTTTATACAGTCTATTTGCATGTTACACTTATTGTCAATTACAGTTAATGAAGTATTGACTGTGGAATAGAAAGAAAAGAAAGGATTAAATGGGATTAATCTATTTGTAGTGGAAAACTTTTAAAACAACAGTAACATGTGCAATTGAGCTCGGGATCGAACGTGAAAAAACTTAGCATTACGACTCGCCAGAATGTTCAAAGAGATGCATATCACACTATATTATCTGAATACTTTTGAATGAAGATAGGTTTAGTATGAACACTGGATTTAGTGTTCACCATCTTAAAATCTCAAGCATACATTCACACAATACAGTGGAGCAAATAAAGTTTACACTAGAACAGCTCACAAAGCTCTGCACAATAGTCTGAATGAGATTTCTCAATAATAGAGAAGTCCTGCTTGTCAATTTGCATCAGAATATAAATGCAAACATGGGGATTTAGAGACACTTGGAAATCTGCTATTGTCATGGAAATCTATTATTGAAAATGGTTATGCAGCGGTGTTGCTTCTTTTGTGTTATTTGGAAAGACATGAAAATTAGTAGACTTTCAAGCAATTCATCAGATCCAGAAAACTTTCGAGATGTTTACACAACCTTTGCAAAGCAGAGGATCTATTAATATTCTTTTTCTTTTTATTATTATTATTTTTTTACTAGACCATTTTGGAAGATTGTTTATTCTGCATCAACTTTTCATTTTATTATTTTGAATTACTTTTTTTTTTTTTTTTTCAAAATAAAAACAAACAAAACAAAAAAACACACACAAATCTCCCGCTCTTCGGGGTGGGTACGTTGCTTCCCCCTCACAGAATGAAGTATCGAGTATGAATTCAGATTTGAAAGTGTCTCTCACCTGGTTTGAAGTGAGCCTCCACAAACGCGAGGATGGACCTGCTCGGGGCCAGGTTCCTCACACGCACGCTCATGAAGTCCTTGTGCACGTCAGACTTCCGGAACAACTCGTTCAGCTGTAGAGAGGGACACAGGAACTGATAAATGAGGCTAGTAATGCGCTCCACGCTATCATCTACACAAGCCCATAGCGGCGCGTGGACTCTATCTGCACACAGGAACCTGCCGGGCACAAGAGCACAAATTGACATTTAGCGGCGGCTGTGGCATTAATTATAGGAACAAGTTTAGGGGAGGGGCGCGGTAAATGTCGGGGTATTCTGACATGTGCTTCTGATTGGTTTTGCCTCTCTGCCCTCGAAGCTGTAGCCCGTGTGAGGACACTGAAGGTTTTCTGTCTTTAATGGACAAATGTGGGCCAATATTTCATCCTCAAGTGTTCCCTCGTAATTCTATTCTTGTCGGCCCGGCGGAGAATTAATGCAAGATAATTAATGAGAGTGATTCTCCACTCAATCAGAAACGCAACAAGGTTCCACTGCCGCACTAGCACAATTTTTGCAGCACACTGGTGGACTCACTGCAAAAAACATTAGAGAAAAAAGATTGCAAAAAAAATATCTAAAATGTTGCAGTTTAAGATTGGTTCACTTTAGATCAGAGGAGCAAACGGGAGCACATTCCTATTTTCTGGCTTCAGACATATTTTGATGATTGATGGTGGTGAATAAAATACTAAAAGTAACTGCATAACTGCACTGCATAACTAACATTTGGAAAAGTTTAATACATTGTCAAACTGGACCAGATGTTTCTTGCTTACTGAGCTGAACGAGGGTAAAGATGAAATATATTTTCTACTAAAACCTAAATGCGAAATGTAACTTAGACGTTAAGATATAGCAGAAAATGCAAAGGTCAAACTGCATTTAAAAAGAACTGGGCAGATTTCAATGAATTTGGATTTAAAGGGCCCATATTATGCAATTTTCTGATCTATGTTAATATACTGTATCCTCATCATAAACATACCTGGAGTTTTGCTTTGTTTCAGTCACAAATTTAACATAATAATGATGATTCTATATACTGTATTTACAATGTGTTCTTTTCTTAAACATGTCAGGTAATACAGGAAGTGCTCCTCTGTGTTGCCCTAAAATTGAAAATCTCTTCTAAATTAAAGGTAAAAGGTAGCTGTTAAAGGTAACTTAGAAACTACCACTATATGACATCACAAGGTGGAACAGAGCATTCTGAGCTTTGGAGATGTAAACAGACTAATAATAAAGGATTTTTCAAACTTGTGTGAAACAAAACAATTGCACATGTTTTTGAAATCTGTGTATCATTCGTTTTTCAAAATAAAACCAAAAATAAAAAAATGAAAAAACAACAATTTTCTTCATTATTTGTCTCCAAAACCAGTTTTCGATTTTGTGCTTAATTGAATAATGGACAAAACAGATAACGGTTTTGTGCCGCATATGGACTAAACCAGGACTGAACAGATAGGTCTAAACCAGGTTAAAACCACGTCTAAACCAGGTCTAAACCAGAAATGAACCAGGACTGAGTGTCAGGACGGGCCCAGATGTGTGCCCGTGTAGACTGTCGGGTAATCAAGACTGAGACCAGGACCAGACTGGGACCAGACCAGGACTGAGACTGGGACTGAGACCAAGACCAGACTGGGACTGAGACCGGGATCAGACCGGGACCAGACCAGGACCAGACCAGGACTGAGACCGGTTTAGTCCTCGTTCAGTCCTGGTCAAGACCTGGATTAAACCTGGTTTAGTCCTGGTTCAGTTCGGCATTGCAGTTTAAGCAATGTTTTTTTTCATTTAAACATAAAATCAAAAACTGAAAAAATGAATCGTTATCCATTTTATCATTTTGGTTTTCGAGACAAATAATGAAGAAACTAGTTGTTTTTTCATTTTCTTATTTTTGGTTTAATTTTGAAAAATGAATAAACTAATGATATAGAGATTTTTTGAGCAGGTAACAACATTATAACATGGCTTAAAGCTCACAAGAGTAAATTTTGCGTAATAGAGGACAGAAAAAGCAAAAGTGAAACTGCATTTAACAAGACTGGGCAGATTTCAGATATAATATTGAACACCAAAATTTGAAGTGATGGATCTCAGGAGGGTGAAGAAAAGTTTTTGACAGTCGTAGGGCCAAACATATTTCTAAGTCATGTGCATGATCCAGTGGACTTTAGCACCTGGAGGTTTTAATTAAAAGATCTAACACTAAGATGGCTAAAATAAAACTGAGATATTCAGGTGCGCGACTAATCACTCCAAATCTCAAATCAAATTATATCTCTCCAATCTATCCACAAGAAGCTGACTTTTTAAAATGATCTAAAAGTGTAATTAATCTCGAAAGATATTCTCTGAAGTGTTTGGAAAGCAATCGCCAATTTAATCTGTGTAGTCTACAGAAACCCTTCTCCTATTTCAAGTTAAATTGCAAGAAATATAAGTGTGAAGTGAATTGGCACATTTTCAGTTTGATCTGATGTATCATTATTCTACAGCAGCACCATCCGATCACTATTAATCCACAAGACATCACCTTCTGTTAGCAGGGCTGCCAATATTACGCTTTTATTAAAAATCAAATATCAGTGAGCATGATTCACTCATCCTGATATGATGTAGCGTATGTTCCGTCATGACCGAGGCTGGAAAATAACCTTTTTATCATTGTTATTTTTCAATCACATTCTGACCAGAGAAATGGGGCTGGCGCACTGTAGGAGACTATTATGAACTTGTTATGAGAAAAAGCTACAGTATCATGCTATCTTTCCCCATCAGGAGAAACTGTGTAATTTTTAATACTCTAATGTGATTCTTAAGATGTAAAATAAGTTGAATATATTTGGAATTTTGTCCATATTACGCTAGTTTCTGATGTATGTTATAATGCTGTTTCTTCGTCGAAAATACACATTCACACATGTTTAGCGCACAAATCCTGCATATTTAGGCATTCTTAGGAGTTCTTCTCTGAAATAGAAAGCACTCTGTTAAAGTTTATGACTGGATAATATTAGGGATGTAACAACAACTGAAATATCGTGATACTGTATCGTCAAAAGTCTCTCAATAGTATCGTGGACTATCACAATATATCAAATTATAAGTCTCATTGCTTAAATGAATAAGTATGGTGCAGCAATAGTTAAAAAACAGAGAAAACTACATAGACCATGATCCTTTGCTCTGTTTCAGTCCAGACTTGAAGAAATGAAGAAATAACTGTTCTAAGCACTTTTAAATTTTAGTTATGTTATGACAGAACCAAGGGCATTTTAAAAGCAAAAATTATTATTCACAGTCTCCAATTGCAATAAATATCGTACAGTAAGATGCAATATCGTGAAAATACTGTACCGAGAGATTTGGATATTCTTACATCCCTAGATAATATAATAAGTGCTCCACTGTGTTTTTAAACTCTCATACACCTTCGCTAGAATTATTTGGATAATTTCAGCACTGTAACTGTCCATCTCTACTCAACTAAAGGTAAAAAGTAGCTATTAACTTGAAAACTACCACTTTATGACATCACAAGGTGGAAAAATGTGGGAAATGTAGATACCCTCAAACCTCAAACCTGTGTGAATGAAACAAAACACAACTTTGCGAAATATAGGACCTGTAACAATTTCATTTTTTTGGACATTTATGCTTGCCCAGACATTCTGTTCTGGAGTTTATCACTGACAAAACAAAAAAATATAAGAAAAACAGTTAGTATCGCTGTAATTTGGCAATCATTAGTAAAGGCTGATTGAGCTGAGCGGTCATGTGACGTGGGCGGGGGTCACACGAACATCTGGCAGAGCCTTTTTGAAGAATGGCCTGCCAAAACTAATGCCGTGCTCAATCTTTGGGCTCCAGGGATCTAAGCGAGACAGCTAGCACTACGTCATTAAAGTTGTATACTTACATGGACTAGTGATCGACAAAAAGTTATGATAAGAGATCTTAACAGTTATACAATCCATCAGCTTTTCTGAACTATATGGCAGATGTTTAATATTATGCTGTTAGAGGTAATGGACAGAGGCTTAATGGTGCACAATGTAACTTTTGTTGTAGAGGATCCGTTACTTGTTTGTTTCCATTGAGCCGTTGTTGCACTGCCTGGAATCTTCCAATAAATTTATAAATTTAGCATTTACTCAATTGCAGTGCAGATCTATGGAGAAGTGACCACGCTCACAGTAAGAACGCAAATTTTTTGAGGTAATTTTGAGCAATAAAAACAACTTTAATTTAATGTTTGTTAGATGAATAAGTTAAATTGCATACTCTGGAATATTCCAGATGAAACAATAACGTCATCACAGAGATAAGCAGGTGGAAGACCCTCCTCATAAAAGTTACACAGAGCACCTTTAAGGCATCAAACTATGTGCCTGAAAGAATTGTAATTTTCACTCCCGCTCCCGCACACATCTGCGATATTTTGTCCCGCTCCCGCCCACAAGTCGCGCAAGATGGGGACGTTCACTTTTTTAAGCTCTATCAAACACAGAGAAGCAGAAAAAAATTGTCTAAAATGTACGCGACATTAGATCACATCCGCAACTTTAGGCTGCTTAAAATGTTTTTACTGTTAATGTTTTTTAACGCCAAATAAAATATCCAGCACAAATGATGTATGATAGGCATACATGAATCATTTGTATATTTTACTTTGCATTCATATTTAGTTTGCGGGACTGCAATTTATAATCCCAGCTGCCCGCTCCGGCCCATGCCCGCAAGGAGCTCAAAAATGTGTCCCGCGCCGCACTGTTTTGCGCGGGTCCAAGGCTCTACTGTAAACAGATACATAGATAAATAAAGTACTCACCGCGTTCTCGATGCTGCGGGCTGTCTCACCAAACAGCTCAGATTTGGGGTCTTCCATCTCAGGGGTATAGAAAACCTCCTGGCCCTCCACTTGGTCCAGGTGTAGGAAGCCGCTGAACTTGGTAGTAACTGTAAAAACACAGCACTATGTTAAAAGATACGACTATAAACTACCTCAACCTCTGCCTTCCCACGGTGCTCTGCTTGGACTCGTGCCAGTTAGTGATGGATTGTGCACATTGGACGAGAGAGGTTAGTACGTTGGGAGTTCAAGGGAGAAGGAGCAATGCTGATAGGGAAGTGGGCCATTTTTTTTTTTTTCTTTACCAGACCGAGAATCTTCCAAAAGGTTGGTTGAGGAACGGAGAGCTGTGCAGAGAGACAAGACAGTTAGACAGAACTCACAAATATGAAAGAACAGAGAGTGAAAGCCAGCCAGCGGCACCTCAAAAGTGCCTCCTTCAGCAAAGACTAAGCCTCCCTGAGCGACCTTGAGGGTTATGTTGTCAAACATCTATCAACCCTCTTATACGACTTGTGCTGCTGCTGCCAGGCTAGTGTGTATGCGCCCGCCGTAGTGAGGAGCTGATGCTAGGCCTTCCACAACGCTCGTAATCAGCTGAACAAATTGCCCAAATCAATCACGTCTATCCCTGCCAGAGAGACGCACGGAGGACGGAAAGACGCTCTTGTATGATTATCGTGAAAGATAGGCGTAATTGTCTCCTTAATGTCGCTGGCCTATGACTGACGCGGCCTGGTTAAAGTTGCATGAAAACGGATGGAGCACATGCACGCTCATTTTGACAGGAGAGACTTTTTATAGCAACGCCTGGCACACGTGGGTCGGGATGTGCGGCCATAAAACACTGGCAAATGGGCGAGGGCTGGCTTGATAAGAGAAGAGAGGAGGAGAGAGGGGGAGAGTGGCCAAATCGGGTGTTTGATCTGCAAAAGAAGGGAAACACAACAGAGAGACTGATTTTCCAGACCAGTGCCGTGACGGACGTAAAGAGAAAAGAGAGACGGCGATAAAAAGGAGGATGGAGTGATTGGACGCCGAGATGCTATCGACTGTAAAAAGTAATGGATTTGTCAGACTTCCAGCTGCACATGGGCGAGTTTACAGTAGCACCGCGCTGTGCTATTTAAACCTGGTATGAGTGTTTGTTTCCCATTATGTTCTATGGCAAAAGAGAGGTGCCACTTAAAATGTAACATAAGGAAATATGCTCTGCTCCACATTTTCCATAAAAACTAGTTGCTGACCATCTCTCCATGCTTGTAAAGGATAATGATTAAATTTTGGGTTACTAATGTGTTTAAAAAGGGTGAAATAAACCACAATTGACTATTTTCAAATCAAAACTATGTTCAAAATATATAATTTTTCTGGTGGAATTCGGCCACCTGTTTGCTTTTGCCTGACACCACCAGACCAAGGCTACGTTTAGACAGAAACGAATCACTGTATCACCGCATCAGAAACGATTTGCGTCCAGACACGTCGTTTCTGTGTCCGCAAGCCTTCCCTATCCACACAGCATATTTGTTTACGTTTTACAGAAATTAAACTTAAAACCGCATGGCAAATTTGCATAAACTGAGCACTCAAAAAACAGCTCGCTCCTTGTGCGCTGATGCAGTTCAGCTTCTGTCGGACTAAAGGACACGACTCAGTGGATTATATGTGTTCTCTCTGTGACAGAGGGGTGTTCTGCTAATGATGAGTCTGTTCTGTGCTTCTGTCGTGTTGGAGATGGTTCCTGTTAAACTTTTCCGAGATTATACGTCTGCAGGTCATACGCATAGACTGAATATATGAATGGACATATATTCTAGCCTCTTAGCGTTTTGGCGGTGAATTAGTTTGCGGCGCATAGACCTACATCGGTGTATCAGCGTTTTCAGGTGTCCACACAGAGCAGGATCAGATCCGTACTCAGATGAATTCATGAGAGCGGGCGGCACCAGATCATTCCGTCTCTGAAGCTGTTTTCCATCGGATTAGTGTGGACGAACGGTGCATCAGCAATGAAAATGACTTGAATACATACTAGTGGAGATGGGGCCCAAGTCACAGGTCAGATCTACAGAGAGCTAGCCCGCGCACAGTAACAATGCATGCTTTCCTAGGTATTTCTGAGAAATAAACACACACATAACTGAACGAATGCCAGAATGCCAGATACTCATAATAACATACTGTGTAACATTCTTAGCAAAGCAATAACATCTCCATGGAGACAAGTTGGCAGTGGTCCCTTAAACAGAAAAATTAGGCAGTGCACCTTCATGTCGTTCCACTGAAAATACAGCTTACTCTTTGTACCAAACTTGAATAGAGTGTTTTGAGCGATCTACTCCAGACTGTGTGGATTGGACTCAGCCTTGAGCCACTTCAACCTTTCACATCTCAATAAAACCCAGGGATGGTGAACAATCAGAGCGCATCAATAATGTGGCGGCGGATGGACACACTGGTTCTGGGGACGTGTCATTTCACTTCTAATGAGCGCGACGCTGGCTAAGTCCTCCTCGGGAGAAAAGAGATCCGGAATATCGACTTGGCTATTGTGCCGGGGCTTTTATTGGTAACACTTCAGCTGAATGAGGTATCGATCGCCTGTATGCCGACAATGTGTGCTGAGATAAATATTTACAGGCCCTGGCACATTTGTTACAACTGTTGTCTTGCAGATTAAACTTGTTCCGTGTGTTTATAGGGGGACAGTGCGTCATCAACCCCATTCGGAACCAATGGAGCATGCAGTGCTTTAATTATTTGTAAAGCGGAGCAAAGGAACTTTTAAACTAGTTTTCACTTTACATGTTTTATAGATGTTTTTTTTACCGGCACTACACTTGCAGAAATGTAACCATAATGGGACTGAGTATTCGCTTTTATTGGACTTTAAAATATACTATGTAATTTTTCTGGAGTGTTCACCATCTGTTATCTCCATGGCAACGTTATGCTCCACCGTATGGCAGGAATCTCAATAGACTCTATTCACGCTTATGTCACAAACCAGGAAGACGTTTGGAAATATACGATTACAACTTTCGGCAGGTTTTTTTCACGGTTGTAAGCCTGACAAAATATAGGAAAATGACAAAATGTCCCAGGTCTTCTTCATCTCCATGTCATTGTAGCGTTGTCCGTTGTCCGGCTAATCAACAATTACAACCATACCTTAGTTTTCATCATTGCCCCACTGACACACAACTCGCACTCTTCATTTTACCGCTGATCACATTTACTTTAGTGGGTTTGATCACAGTCGGTAGGCGAACTCCACCGTAAGTTGTAATCGCATGTTTCCAAACGTCTTCCTGGTTTGTGACGTAACGTGAAAAGATCCAATAGAGACAAGCAGGTAATGTCACCAGGCCAAGTTACAGGTCAGATCTATGTAGAGGCAATCCCTACTCACAGTAAGAATACATATTTTTAGGGTAAATTTGAGAATTAAAACATCTGTATTTGAATAAATATAAGATAGAAAAGTTAACTACCATACTGTGGAACATTCCAGGCAAAGCTAACATCCTGACTTAATAAAGATCTGTAGATCTGTAGATAGAGATGTCTGAGAGAAGAACACAGGCAAAATATGCAGGATTTGTGTGTTATGAAACAAAACACAACTCCAAGTATGTTTGTGATGAGGAAACAACATTATAACATACATTAGAAAACAGCATAATATGAGGTCTTTAGGCGTAGAGTATAAATTTCCTAATGAGAACAATAAACTCTACATATATATATATATCAGCATTAGTCACTGATTTTGTTGCTTTTTGCTGTTGCTAGAAGCTGCAGGTCTTATCCAAATTGAGTCACGGAGTTTGACAGCACTAATTGTATGGTTCAAAATAGCGCAGCGTGACACAAGCTTGTATGGCGGCACGAGCTGTTCTCTTCATTGTTTCCCACTGACACCTGAGTGAAAACAGCTCCTGCCAACCTGCGTGCTTGTTAAATCTGAACTGACACTCAACGGTTTGTTAGAAGTTGTAACATGATCCGTGGGTTTATTCTGCGTGGTGACCTGTAGCATCTAGAGCGCCCACACACACACATGCGTCGCTGCGGTGACACAAAGAGGGCCAAAAAACAGAGCGCGGACAGGGCCAGGACTGGCTTTTATCTCCACAGAGTGACAGGCGCGAGACTCTGATTGGTACACGACTTCGGTCACCCCCCGGTCGCCTGGCAGGTGCCCCCTTCCTCACTGCTTAGCTTCGAGTGAACTGATGCAAGACAGGATTGAGATTGACTGTGTGTAGGCAGGGAGAGGAGTGAGATATAGTGCATGGGGAGATATAGACCACTGAGGGTTAAGACACCAGTTTACAGTATGATTGTGAATGTGAAGGTTGAATAAACTGTGATGTAGAACCTTTTCAGACGTACAACTCAACTTAAACGTGCATTGTGTAACTTTTCTGGTGGAGGGTTTGTCAAATGTTTTTCTCCATAGAGATGTTATTACTTTGGAATATTTCACAGTATAGTATTGAACCTTTCTATCTTGATGCAGAGTAAACCAAGTTACAGGTCAGATCTGTGGAAAGGCAACCCCACTCCAGGGTTCCCACTCTTTTTAAAAAAAAAAAAAAAAATTTCAAAATTTTTCTATGACTTTTTCATGACCTAAAGTGAATTTTCCATGACTTTACGGCATTATACATGTGTAGGATTGAGCAGACTTTTAGAGCTAAATATGAAATGTTAACCCTTTCCACTCACTTTATGGTTTGATATTATTGTTTTTAATGAACATTTAAAATACTTTCAGTGCATTTATTGTCGTCTCTTTTAAACGAAAGGCGCATATGTTTAGAAATAATCATAATAGCCTAATGATAACTTAACAGAAAGCTGTAGTTGCGAAAAAGAGATAATAAAACTCCTTGACTTTTCCTGAATTTCCATGACCATGCGAACCCTACCACTCACAGTCAGAATGCTTGTTTTTCCAGGGATTTATGAGCTTTAACTCCACCTGTAATTGAATAAATGTAAGGTAGAGCTGTTTAATGTCATACTGTGGAACATTCTAAGCAGAGCAATGACATATCCAACCACAAAGTTACATGGTGCACCTTTAACACATTCTACAGGAGGTTTACACCGAATGACTCTGTGATATGACACACAACAGACTTTCAGGAGGTGTCAGAAATACAGATGAAGATTACTCAAGTTAGCCTGTATGTTGTATTTGTTTATCTACCACCACCTGCCAATAGAATCATTACCAAATGAGTGATGAGGCACCACCTGCTCCCGTTGGTCTTTTGGCACGGTGTTAACAACACATTTTTAACTTCCATAATAGGCTTGTATATTGAATTTTTATCAAGCTCCATAGAGACAAGCACGAGACACCTCTAGGCCAATTTACAGCAGAGATCTGTGGAGAGGTGATCCCACTCACAGTCAAAGGGAATGTTTTTTAAAGGTATTTTAAAGCAATAAAAACACTAATTGATGCATCTTACATACAAATTCATACAAATTGAATACCACATTGTGCAATAAGATCTCCATGGTGTCAGACCCCCAACCTGGAAAGTTACACAGCACTCCTTTAAATGAATGTGTAATTTCATTTAACATTGTGAGCGTAAAAAAAGTATTTGTCAAAAGAAGCTCTGGTAGTTCTAGTCTTAGAGCAGCACTAAAAGAATGCCTCGTATTGCTAGAGTTACACTGGGGCTGTTGTACTGCAATCGATTTGGTGGGGTTTAATTTTGGACTTTTACTGGATCAATGCAATCTTTTTACACAAAGTCAGTGATTAAACTTTGTATTTGCGGTTCAAACTTTAGAGACTAAAATGAGCAAAGTTAAAAAAGTATTTTGAGGATATGTGTAAAGGAGTGTTGACAAGCACAGCGGTGAAGGCATACAGTATTAAACAACTTGTGTGTTTATTGAAAACGTTTCTGCTTGAACGTATCAGTGAAGTGAACAAAAATGAAAAAATGATGTACATATCTGGTAGTAAAAGATAATGTAGCGCATAAAAGGAGTGGCTGAAGTTGAAAGAACACATAAAAGTTACAAGTACTGCTGAAAATGCGTTATCATCTACTATCACCTTTTATGCCTCATTGTTTTAAATATAACGTGTGCTCAATATGCTTGTTAATGATTTTTCTAGATGTGTAGAGATGGTACACAGCCCAGGGTCCCCAAATAAACTATAATATCTGCAGTAGCATATGCAGTTTGTGTGTAACTCAGGAACGCTCCTTTTGTTCATAAGAATTTAGTTCGAAAGGCCATACTTTTTTCATGTAACAAAATGTGATCTGATACATTGATCTAATTACCGTATTTTTCGGACTATAAGGTGCACTTAAAATCCTTAAATTTTCTCAAAAATCGACAGTGCGCCTTATGTATTAATTCTGGTTGTGCTTACTGTCCTCAAACTGATTTTATGTGGCGCTCAAAAATCTGTTAAAATGTTTTAGTACGACTTTAGTAAACTAAGGCAGAACTCAGGCAGAAGCTGACCACATCAATGCACAAGGAGCGAACTGTTTTTTTCAGCGTTAATAGTTTATGCAGATTAGCCATGTGGTTTTAAGTTTTGTTTCTGTAAAATTAAACAAATGTGTGCATAGCTGCATTAAACACATTATAACTCAATATATATTTGAGTCCTCCTCAGAGGAAATATAAAAACAAACTAAAATTATCCAACCACATTCAAATTCATAATACACATTCACCAAGACAGGGAGGCAACGCGGGGCGAATTACACTACAATCTGCCAATGGATCGTGGATGTCTGGGCTAAGGGATCAGTCTCAAAAGTCGTCCGATTGTTTTGTTTAATGCGCCTTATAATCCGGTGCACCTTATGTATGAAAATAGATGAGAGAACTCAACATTATTGATATTGCACCTTATAATCTGTAATCCTAATATGAGCATTTTTATCGTCCATAAACCGGGAAGTGTGATGTTAGCTAGCACACCTCTCACAGAACATTGCATGTGACCATAGTATTGTCTTTTTAATGTTGTGTTTTTTAATTATTACATAGTTTATGTATTTTATTGTTTTGTCTACAGCAACTACACTGCAAAAACTCAAATCTAGTCAAGTTAACACATCTTGCTACACTTAAGAAAAACAACGCTTAAAATAAGAAACCAAATCTAATGTTGCTTGAATTAAGAAAAACACAGTTATTCCATTGGTACATAATTTTACATGTCAAGTTGAATCTTCTCAAATCAAGTAAAATGTTCTGAATTTCAGTAAATTTGAACTTACCTAGATCTTGTTTTTTGCAGTGTATGCAGACTCTGGCCAAGACAAATGGCCTCTTGAGGACAGTAAAGTTTATTCTATTCTAGTTGTTGTTAGCGATACTGTGACGTGAAAAATACACAACGGTCTGTTTGAGATATGTTTATAAATTCATCATGGTGAATAATTTGGATGCTAAAAATGCATTAGGAAAGTGAGGAATATGTTTGTACTGCTGCAAAGTGTTTAAAATTAACTAGTTTTGCTATTAACATTTTTCAGACGATAAAAATAGGTACAGCGCATGTAAGAGCATTTACAAGTGGTGGTGGATGAAGTACTCAATTTTGTTATTTAAGTAAAAATATAGATACAGGGGCAAAAGATTACTCAAGTAAAAATAAATGTATCATATGAAAAAATCAACTTCACTAAAACTATTGGAGAACCTGTTTAAAAATGTACTTTAAGACAAGAAAGAAAGTAAAAAAGACTAAAACAGAAATAAATTAAAAAATGCAGACATTTTTAGAACAATTAAAACATCAAATCAATATATTTTCAAAAATGAAAATTGCTGGTTTTAAGTAATTTAATTATTTTTGTGTATTTGAGAATTTGTTTTGTTTTCAGTGACATATTCATAAAAACAAGCAGGTGCAAATACACAGTGCATCTTTGAGTAAAGTACAGATACCTAAAATTTGTACTTACCGTATTTTTTGGACTACAAGAAACACTTTTTTCATGGTTTTGGTGGTCCTTTGACTTATACTCCAGTGTGACTTATATATATCTTATACTTCTATTACTCTTGTACCACTGTCACTTGGTGCTCTACAGTGCATGTCTCCTACAGAAAAAGCTGCTGTCCTGCTGCCAATAGTGAAATATGCTGCCGAAAACGGTAATTGAGCAGCAGAAAGAAAGTTTGGTGTGCGCGAGAACACAGCTTCACGGCAACCGGGAGGGTGCACCATGCAACTTTCCTGGAAGTCATTGGATGGGTCAACAAAGCCTGGACTTCAGTGACAACCAAAACCATCCAGTCAGGATTGAGATAGGCCGGAGGAATAGGTGCTCCGTTTACCTCCGGCAGTCGTGGAGTTGCTCAGAAGTGACACAGAGGATGAATAATTCAATGGATTTAGTGATTTGGAGTGAGATCGAGAATTTGGTAAACTTATGTTCTGTTGTTTATGCTCTGAGTAACCGTTCATATGTTATGTTAACGTATCAGACGCCCATTCAGCCTGTTGTTCTCTGTTCTACTGTTGTTACTATAACTTGCCTTTCAGGACGAAATGTCGGTTCTTGGTCTCTGATTTTATAAAATAAATTTCCCCCAAAAAGTGCGGCTTATATATGTTTTTTCTTATTCATTACCCATTTTTTGGCTGGTGCAACTCATACTCTGAGGCGACTTATAGTCCGAAAAGAAAGGTAAGTATGGTACTTCGTTACCCTCCACCACTTGTTAGAAACAATAACTGGAACAGAGCAAAGTGCGTGACTTTACTTACATGGGCAGTTGGAGCCCTCTGGATTACTGGCCGCTGTAGTTCCATCAGGACAGCAGCCGAACTCAGAGTTGTCACAGGAGGATCTGTCTTCTGCTGTGGGGGTAGTGGTACTGGCCACAGTGGGACCTGGGGACAACGCAGAGGGACACAGAATTATTCATGAAGCTTGCAAATATTCATGCAGTCATCTGAGCTTATCTCACGAGCCCAGAAGAGCCTTTCATTTAGAGACTTTTGAGCTGTGACGGAGGGAGACGAGATTCTGGGGTCATCCAGCTTAACCTATGGCAGCTTCTTGTTTGCTCTGTCGTTTCCTCCTTGAAGATGGATTTTTCATTAGAAGCGTTTCGAAACTGTATGGCCTTACTTCCCTTACACTTGCGTCCTTTAAAGTACTTGTTACATCAGCAAGTACTGCGGTCAAGAAGCAGTAGTCATAGTAATAGTTGCAGTAGCATGGTTAGGACAAGTGAATTTCTCTACTGTGAAAAAATAAATCTTCGCTTATAACTTGAATCAGTAGAGCAGTAGATGCAGTAGTAGAAATTGTAGTTGCTGGTAAAGTAGAGGTAAACAGCAGTAAAAGAAATAGATTACATTCTGCTGCTGTGAAATAAATGCTGTTATGAAAAATGAATTGTTGTGCAGTTGTTGCGTTCAAACCTTTTTTAAATTTCTGTGTATTTTGATGCACTTTTCCTTCGTTTTTGATTTCAGCCATCAAGCTTTCCAACTCTGGCATTTTGAAACTTGGCGTCTGCTTGGAGTAATTACATGGCATCATTTTACACCTGGAACCCATTCTGTCAGCTGTAGACAGAGATAATAGCCAGTGTTACCAGCGGTGTCACATACAAAGCACTTTAAATGATATGGGGCGGCGATAAGAGCTCGGAGCTGATTGGACAGACAGTTAGGCTTCCTGGGTGCACGGTAAACACACCGGCGCTTCAGTTTGCCCAGGTTCACTGTATATCTCTCTATCTCTGGATATAAAAGACATAAAAGTGACTGGTCTTTCTGTGGGTGAAAAATGAGGACCTGTATCAGCACAGTCCTCTCTAATGACGCCGGCGGTGGTCAGAGCGGGGCACTTTATGGCTGCCGCGAGATTAGAAATGATCGCGGAGGCAAACAGCTAGCGGCTAAACAAGTCGTAAAGACGTCGGAGGCGAGGGACGTCCCGCTCAAGGACTCAGCCCGGTCACAGTATAGAGTGCAAGGATGGAGAGAGAAAAAGAGAGGGAGAGAGAGGGAGAGAGGTGACGGGAGAGGAAGAGAGGGCGTAAGAAGGAGAGAGAGAAGGAGAGGGAGAGAAGAGAGAGAAAGAGAGGAGAGAAAAGGAAAGGAGAGAGAGAAGGAGAGAGAAATAGAGGAAAGGAGAGAGAAAGAGAAGGAAAGAGAGCACAAGTGAAGAGAAGGAGAGACAGCGAAGAAGTGAGAGGGAGGGAAAGGGAGGGAGAGAGAGAGAGGGGAAGAGACAGAGAGAGAAAGAAAGAGGGGGAGAGAGAAAAAGAGAGATGAAGAAGAGAGAGAGGGAGAAAGAGGAGAAAGAGAGAGAAAGAGAAAAGGAAAACAGAGAAAGAGAGAGTGAGGGAGGGAGAGAGAGTGAAAAAGAGAGGGGTAGAGACAGAGAAAGAATGAAAAAAGAAAGAAAGGGGGAGAGAGAAAGAGAGAGAGAAAGTGAGAGAGAAAGAGAGACAGCAGGGTGGGTTTATGGGGCAAGTGTATGTGGTGTGGTTTGGAGATTTACACACAAGAGGTTGGAGAGGAAGGAGTCCGTGGGGAGCAGTGAGGGCTGTCAAATAAACACAGAGGCATACGGCACGCACGCTTTACAATGTGGACAGATATACGGCCTACTCAGACAGTGATGTGTGCACTGTGGATTGGAGAAACTCATAAGACGACAAGAAGAGGAGATAACGCACTTTTACACAACTGTATGCAGCCATTCTGAAGACTAAAATATTCAAATGGTAAAATCATATTTACAAGAATGCTGCTATGTTATGGCAAGTATAGAAAGTATATGCTGAGAAGAGCAGGTAAAAGTAGTTTGTTGACACTGAAACTTGATTTGATAAGTATTGTCAATTCGCCCTCTCCATATTGGTAAATAATTATGAATTAATTTATTTGGATTGTTAGTTATTAATTAGTTTTGAATTTAAAGCTTTGCCAGAAAGGATTGTTTAAATGGTACTGATTAGGGAAACAAAACTGTATACTTTCTAAGACTCAATGCTAATAAATTATAATAGTACTTCTCCCCATCTCAATGCACTTACTTTGCGAGGACCGCCGCCCCTTCCGTACTTTGCGAGGATCGTACCCCCCCGTACGCCACGCAAACTGTCCCCAATCCTGTATGTCACGCAGACGTCCCCCCTTCATACGTAGCGCAGACCGTCTCCCCTTCCGTATGGCGCGCAGACCGTCTACCCCCCTCCCGTATCCTACACGGGCCGCACCACTAAACTGGAACTAAACCCAAACTAAACCATTTCTAAACCAGGTCTAAACCAGGTCTACACCAGGACTAAACCAGGTCTAAACCAGGTCTAAACCAGGATCTAAACCAGGACTAAACCAGGGGGCAGGACTAAACCAGGGCAGGTCTAAACCAGGGATCTAAACCAGGTCTAAACCAGGTCTAAACCAGGACTAAATCAGGTCTAAACCAGGACTAAAATAGGTTTAAAAAGGGTCTAAAATCAGGTCTAAAACAGGTCTAAAACAGGATTTAGCCAGAACTTTACCATGCCGGGTGGACCATCTCCCCGTTCCCCCTTAACCCCCTCTGATCCTTGAAATACTGTCCGATATAAGACCGGTCCATGGCGCAAAAAATGTTGGGGACCACTGACTTAATAGACATGAAAACTGATGGAAGAAGGAAGAAGATGAACTGCTATGTTGCTATGTTTGTTTTGTTGCTGCTGCCAAAATTTGAATTTCCTTCGGGATCAATAAGGTATCTGTCTATCGCTGTATACATCCATGAAACTATTTCCATGTTTAGAAGTGTTTTAAATCTCCTCTCCTGAGTCCTCTCTCTTCATTCACTTGCACACATGTGTTGACTCGGACACAGGACACCGGTCTGGCTGACAGACAGTGAACAAGCTCCTCACGTCTGTGCCTCTGGTCAGCGGTTGACAGCAGCATAAATCTGCAGCACGCACTCACATGAAAACAAGAGATAGAGAAAGAAAGAGAGAGAAAGAGAAAAAGAGAGAAAGAGAGAGAGAGAGAGATGATAGAATGAGAAAGAGGGATGGAGAGGGGAGGACAACAACATGAACAGAGGAGGAACACATCAGGGCCACACAGTTACATCAATCCCATCCTGTTACTGCGAGCTGTCAGCCCAGGCCACATACACATGAAAAAACAGAAGAGAATAAAAAAAAAAAAAAAAAAAAAAAAAAAAAAAGATTTGATTGAAAAGTCTCAGTCAGTGTTTGTTTTGGTGTTTGTGAGTCAGGAGGGCATGTCGGGAGAGATTTCAGTCACACCTCCCTGCCTCATCTTTGGGGGGGCACTCTGACAGTCTGGCTCCAGAGAGATGCAGACGCGGACCACCAGTTTCATCTGGGCTGTGCAGTGGATTTTACACAGGCTGCCTCTGTTTGGACTGCTGTGGAGGGGGTGGAATAGAGGAGGGGCACTAGAGGATGCCTAGAAAGAGCATAGCAATGTACATGACACTGGACCATACTAATGTGTTTCATAACAGAGTCATATCCTCACCTCAATGACGCTGGGCAGGTTGTTATAGGCACATTTTACATAAACTAGCTTTGGATTTGGAACGTGTGCAAACTGAGCTATGAGTTATCTTGGCCTCTATTAACAATTCTGGGTAAAATTGGGCAAAGCAAATAGAAGTGAGACCCCTAAGGAGATGTGGTGATGGTGATTTGGGTTTGGTGCCAGTACTGCAGTTTTTCAAAAATCTGTCCACCTTTAATATTTTTCCACAAGGTCATAATCATCTCTTAAAATCTTGCAGCATCCCGTATTGAGAGGATGGCCTTTGCCCTGTCCATCTGGCATGTGTCAAATTAAACAGTTTATTTAAGAGTGTGAACACAAAAAACACACTTTTCACGCTTTTCACCAGCCCATGAGCCACATAGTGACTGGTATTGAAAAACTTTGGTCCAGTGATTACCCAAATACTACAGCCAGGGTAAACAGAAGATTAAAAATTGTTTTATGACTTTGTGTTGTAACACAGTGCTGATTATTAAAGATAAATAAAGATAAATATTAAAGAGAAGCTATTATTTAAAATCTGTTTTAAGCTTTTAACAGTGTTCCCTCATCATTAACTTGCACAATTTATTCATGGGATTTAGCCTTTGGTTATAATCTGGTGTGTTTACATTCATGTTGTATCATGTCTGTCCATTAACATGCACTGCCTTAATCAAATAAATATCAGAAAATAAAATAAAATTTTGAGTAATCCTGCATTTGAGGCTTAAGTGCTCAGAAATGTCCTACCCCCCCTATCTCTGCACTAGTTGATTTTATTTGCCCCAAAAATCTAACTCTGATTCATACATACATATTCGGTACAAAAATGCCACATGGCAATTTTTCAATAATAAAAAGATATAACTGAAAATCTGCTGTTTAATCAGCTTGAATGCCACAGTGAAGCACGGCCTGTCAGTCCTGTACTTTTGAGCACACTCAATGGACCACTTTCTATCATTAAATCAATATTGTGGATTACAATTAATAAAAGTTAATTAATGATCATCTTATGATCTACTTTGATTCTTATCCAAAAAGCATAATGCGTGTGCTGTAATAATACCATCATCAACCTGGAGGTATAATATCAAATGAACTATCATTTGTATATAGCTCATTTTAATACTTATACTTGTAATACCTCATTGAGTCATGTGAAAATAATTCACTAGATGATACTTTCAAAATCTGGCTGGTGTCTGACCACTGGTATTCTTCCCATTCTGCTCCATTCGCATCATAAAACCTTAGCTGCATGTTTCATGAAGCCATGGATGTGTTAATGAGCTCCTGTAAAAAAAGCATTATGGGTAATGAAGTGAAAGGCGGCTTTACCAGGCTCCTCTTCCTCATTGGCCTCTGTCGGGACCCCACTGCCAGTCTCGCCCTCCTCCTCTTCCTCGGTCTGGTCATCTCCGCTGGGCTCTCCGCTGCCTGACCCCTCGAAGTTGGCTGATGGCGGCTCGGGGCTGCTACGGGATGGGGAGATGGGTGCTGGGCTGGTGGGCTCGGGCTGGGGGTGCGTGTGGGGGGTAGCGGAGTGGCGGGTTGTGGGGAATGAACTTGGGGGGTTCTCGGTTGTAGCGTCCATGTCCTCGGTCCTCGGGGGTGGGATGCCATACACCAGGTTGGGAGAGATGGTGGCGAAGGTGGTAAGTGAGCTGAGGGTGGTGGCGGGAGGGTTTGGGGTGGGGCGCTCGGCCGGTTCGGAGATGGACTCTGGCGGAGGGAAAATGCAAGGAAGCAATGGATGAATGATTGAGACAAGGATGGAGATGTTTAATTGCAACTGATGATTATACTCTAATAAAACACGCCAATGCAATGTAATATAAAACTGATACATAACACTGTGTTTCCCATTAATATAACAGACTATGGTGGCCCCTCACAGTCTAAAATACTCCCCCATAGTCCAATTTATATTGTCAGTCACATTAAAAGTGGCTACACTGTTCAAAAATACTGCACAGGTAATAAGTGGCATTTAAAGTCCTATGCAAAATTGACTCTCGTGAGTATTAAGTCATTTTAGAATGTTGTTACATCCTCAAAAACATACCTGAAGTTGTGTTCTGTTACTTTTTCTGTCACACATGTTTGAGTAATCCTTTATGTTTGATCTGTCTCTCCAAAGCTCAAAATGCTCTGTTCCACCTCATGATGTCGTGAAGCTGTAGTTTTCAAGTTTTTTAAGTTAACATCTACTTTTACTTTTAGTTCAGTAGAGATAACAGCGTGATATGGAGCTTTAAAACTCTACAAACAACACTATGCCACTGTTAGGTCTTATAAGGGAGTATTCTATCTTGGAATGAACCGCCTACATTGTAAAGCTATGTCCAGTCACACATGCATATATTTATTTTGTGTTTTTCGATACAGTACAGATCAGAAAATGGGAGCTTGTTCGTCTAAATTCACTGCACCATAGCTGTATTCTAATCTCTTATCCATCTCTCTTAACCATTAACAATGTCATTATGAAAGATAATAGGCAAACACAAAGGCAGCCTCCATTATTAACAAAAGCTAATTAAAACACTCATTTGAAAAATTGATATGAAATTATCTTTTTTTCTATGCGAGTACCTAGAGGCGTAAAAGTCATAATAAACTGACATGTCATCCCATGCTGTTATACATTTGCGACGCTAACTTTGTCTTTGAAAAGTAAAAAGGCAGAAGTTCATACATATTTAAAGGTCATACATTATGCAAAATTGACTCTCAAAATTGTGTGCTTTTAGACACGTTAGAAGGTTGTTACCTCATCAAAAACATACCTTTAGTTGTGTTTTGTTTCATTCACACATTTGAATAACGCTTTTTTTACTAGTCTGTCTACATCTCCAAAACTCAAAATGCTCCTTGTGACGTCATGAAGCAGTAGTTTTGATGTTAACAGCTACCCTTGAGCTTTAATTCATTAGAGATTGGCAATTCCAGAGTTGAAATCATCCAAACGATTCTAGTGAAAGTGTATGGAGTGTATAAACACAGTTTAGGTCGCAAGGTTTTTCTGTTGGAGAGAAGAACTCAGCCTAAATATGCAGGGTTTGTGTGTTAAATATGCGCGAATGAAACTCCAGGCATGTTTTTGATGAAGAAACATTATAACATAGATCAGAAAATATCATAATATGGGCTCTTTCATTGGTGTGTATGTATGTTAGCTCTATATATAGAAGATAATGTGTCACAGTTTGAAGTCGTTCTTTAGCAAACTAGTGCATCTCAGAGAAAAAAGCTGATTGTGTATGTCATCTGAAACAGTGTGCTACTTCTCTGCTCTTTACTTTGGAGCTGAGCAGAAGAAAGTAGTCAGACCTCATGGGAACAAAGGTAGATCTTGTATTTAGTGTTAACATTTCTGTTGTAGCGTTTTAATGTTAGTGCAAAGTTCTTCAGAAATAAAGAATCCCTGTTTGTGCTACCCGAAAACAAACAAAACTGTGTGGAAACAGGAAGAGGTAGCAGCAGGTTCTGGGGCCAATTATGCACTGTTTGGCTGCAGGAGCTGGCATATTCCTTTACTACATTAAACAGGCCTGAATCACTGCCTCATTTATGTGTGAAAAGTAATGAATTGTACCCATATGTGAGATGAGTACGAAAAATACTGTAAGCTGCTGGTGAGTTATATAGCATTATGGGTTAGCACTCTCCAGTCCCTGCTGAGGGCTTTGCTTGAATCCTTCAGAGTATGCACATGCCCAGTGTACATGTTTGTGTGCTTCCGATGCCCATGAATTATATATCCATATTCAAATGCTGCCCCTCCAGTCGCGAAGCTTTAATCACCAACAGCCAGTGCCTCCGGTGATGAATGATTGATAGAAACGGGGCAAAAAAGCCGCTTTAACTCCAGCTTCAAAGACTGCACGCGGCTCGCTTGTGGGGAGTGCATCCGTCATCGGCACCACAAAAAACACACACACTCAAACCAGGAGAGGCTCTACAGAGACTGTCATTACCAATGCAAAAAGCTCCGGTGCAAAAGGACAAACCGTCTGCAATAAGAGGACGATAAATAGGACAAAACTCCTGAGTATCTGGATTGGGGAGCATAAGCCGAGGCAAGCAGGCGTAGCTATGCTGTCAGCTTACTTCACAGCGCATCCCACGAGAGGTCCTCAGTGTGTGGGAGAAAGATAAAAGCATATACTCTGTCTCTGCCTCATTAGGATTCACCTAACAGTATGTGTAGGACTTAATGACACTGTAATAATCGCTATTATATCTGCAATTATTCACCAAGTGTGAAATGCAGAGTCTCTTGTGACTGGGGACAGCAGCAGAGACATGTGGGTGTCAGATTAAAGACTCAATATATATTTGTTTAGAGAGGGGTGGTCTGACCACTGAACTGGAATACAGGTATTTTGAGACAATGTCAAGTTTGAAATAAAAGTAATAATAATATCACTGTGAGACATAAAATTATAACTAGACTAATTATTAATATATGTAATTAAGTTTCCATGAAATCATTGGTACATATATTTTTAAATCTATGTTGGACCAGGTCTTGTGTTCTACTTTAGATCTAGTCTCACCTGGTTTAGATCTGGTGGTACCAGGTATTCTGGTAAGTGGTACTTGATTGAAAAGTTTAAGAACCACTGCACAAAACGATTTAGCTCTCAAAGGTCACGGAGTTTAAGGTAAGCCCTAAATTTCTAGTGTAATGACTTCTAATGTAACTAAGCCTATAGCATTTTGTGAAGATTTAATGACACTGTAATAATCCCTTATTATGACTGCAGTTATGCACTAAAGTGTGAAATGTGATGCCCCCTGAGGGTACAGATAGTGTCAGATTTGTATTGAGGCTGTAGGATGAAGCAGCATGTGCTGATGCTATCACTGTGAATGGTATCTGCACAGGCTTTCCTCTTGGCTGCACCTGCCAGTCAGGTGAAGGCTTAGCGTCAGGAGGCCGGTGCCCTCAGACGTCTGTGTGTTTCTGTGCCAGTGAGTTGCGAGACGTGGAGAAGGTGAGAATAAACTTTGAGTGAGTGTGTTTGGCTACATGGGTTCTAATCAGGTTTAACACTCGATTTGGCTTTAGCTGTGTTTCCTCCAGCTGGATGGACAGTATGTCAGTGGGTGGAGAAGCAAAGAGAAAACACTGTCATTTTCTCTGAGCTCTGTCTTATGAAAGGTGCTTATTAGATCAGTTGCTGGTGGCAGGTTTATTGAAAGGGCTACATGAAATAATAACAACAAAAAAAAACTTTTGTCACAACTTATGAACGAAAATTAAGGCATGTGACATCATGTTACCTCTGCTTCAAAGTGTAATGAACAAACTCAAAAATCAAATGTTTCAAATTATGTTGTTGAAATGTTTGAATCGAATGTCTAAAATGTGGTGAATACCACACCGACAATCAGACTGCCTTTATTGTCTTTGCACAAACAAAAAGCAAAATTTTAAAAACAAACAAGGATTTGTAACAAGGCACTGAAGCAGGCAGCCCTGACAAACACACTGGCAGAGGCTTGGTGGTGCCATATGCCGCCATGCGATGCCAATTTGCGACAAACCTACAGGTGATAACACCATATGGGAGAGGCAAGTCACAGCCAACTCTAGGGCCATTTCCCTGAGAGCTAGAATAGAGACGACAGTGGCAACAACTAAAGCCGGTGCACATGCGTTTTACATGTGTTCTGCTCCATAATAGCAGCTGTCTCCCTGTGAAATATAGCAGCAGCTGCACTAAACCAATACTGTAGCAGAATAATGGTTAAAATCAATGGCGGCTCATTAGGCTGCATTGTGCTTTAGCTTGAACACTAGCATGTGCATTAGCATGCCTGAGTGCTGCCTGTGCACATGGAGGTGAAAGCGGCGGTGGGCAGGACTGTGCTTGGCGAGGGGTCTAGGCAGAGAAAATGCTAATTCGCACCCAGCCACACGTGAAATGAGCTGAAGATCTAACCCTGCATTGAGAGCTGCTACCCGCCGTGCCACCGCATCCAGAGAGAGAAATGAAAAGATGGTCTGGTCTGTGGGGTGGCCCTGTGCAGAGGCATGTGTACTCCTCCCTGGGGCCTCCACACTGAAGTAGGCACGACTCGCCGTCTTCCTGCTCTGTGTGAGAACTCACACTAGGTGAGGCTTAGGAATAAGCCGCCTCTCTATCGCCAGGCAACACAAGAATTTGTCTGGCTTTTGGCTCACTTTGCAGGGAACCCACAGCTCTGAATTTGTAATTACCAGATGTTCAGAGAGTTATCAAAGCCTCACCAATCTCTTCTATGCATATCTGTCTTTTCAAATGTGCGCAAATAAACAGAGAGTCTCCAGTCTGTTCTTTGAGAGGTGGCCTATTTCAGCTTTAACACAAACCAGTGTTCCCACTGTGTTCAGGAGATTACTTTTCCAGGGGTGAGCAGATTATCTGTGATGATACACTTGCAAAAACAACAACCCTTAGGAAGATGAAAATGCATCATTTCAACCACATTGCTTCAAATTGGATTGCTAATGGTTTGGAGAAATTACTCTCAGGGCAACAAACTCCTGTGACGTTTGTTTCTTTCCCATGACTATAAAATCAGATGTAGATAGCTCAGATACTCCAGGTGTGTGGGCCCCTGCTGCCTGGTAAAGCCTGCAGACTGCTGTCCCAGTTTGTGCTAACATTTGGTCACTGCTCTGTGCATCAGTGGAGAGTCCCTCTGTGCTGTGCTGAGTGTCTGAGGCTGATAAGGTGATCTCACATGTGCAGACACCTGGCAGAGCGTGGCTGGGAGCCAGACTCTCACAGCTGGGTTCCTCTCCTCTTGTACGTGCCTTGAGTGTCTGTGGACCTCCAGTGGTGATGCAAGCTGGCAGTCGGCGCGACGACTTCACTGAACATGAAAGCTTTGGGTCTGGCGTGTATCCCGACGCCTATTACACCCATCCAGAGCATGTCCATCAGCGCACAGGCTGGGGGCACGGCTACACATGTCCTCCACTATGCCACCACACTAAACCTGAGCAGGGCTGCCACACAATGGAACAAGAAGCCAAGAAACAAGAAATGCTACTAAACTTCAATAATTTCTGTCTGAATTACACTTTGTTTTGATAATGATGGATTGAAACAGCAAGCATTTCTTTTTATCAAGTAAGAGGAAGCAGAAATAGGGCATTCTCCACACAATCTGCACTGAACAGAGACCCACTCTTGCTTGTACAAATATTCTCCTTGTCATTTTCTTTATTTTCTTAGATTTGTCATAATGTCAAACAACAAGCTGTGTTTATTTTTTCACAAGGAACCGAACACCTGAACCCCGAATATGACCCTTCAACGCATCTGGTTTTGCAATACACCAGTTGTTAGTTTCATAAAGCAGATCTTCCCAAGTCCACATTACCCAGTGACAGAGACAGATCACCTGTAAGCAGCAGCCAGCAGGAGGGTCTAAGCTCATAACATAGTGATGGGGGCCCTGACAGCAGTTGGCCCGGTGAGCTCTTGTATGATTCATGGGGGCTTTTGGGGGCCTCACCTGTGCACTGTCCGAAGTGTTGCACCGTGATGTCCTTGTCCTGCCTACAGGCGATGGTCCGCAGCTGGCACTGGTCGGCATAGGTCACCCCGTCAGATCCACACACCTGCTCCATGGAGAATGGGAGAGTGGGGGGCACACATTAGTGTTAAATTGCAAACAGTGTCACAACAAAAATAACATCACTGCGTAAACAAACCTTAGTCTTGTTTCTCTCGTCGCAGTCCGGAGAGGGGCACTCACAGTGGGCTTGGTCGTTCACCTCGATGCACGTAGCACCGTAACTACACACTAAATCATCACAGGAAGTGGGAGCCTCGGGACCTGGGGGAGAGACCGGTTTAAGTGAGTGATTTCCAGAAGTGTTTGTATATTTGTTTTGCAAAGGTTAAGCTAATTAAGGCTGTCTAGAGAATGTAACGCAACCTGCTGACAGAAATTATTGCTTGAAATAATGTTGTTTTCTAATAGTATTTAGCACAGATAATATCCCATGCTGAGATGAAGATGAAAGTTTATGACTTGGAGAGAATGGCACAGGTGTATAACATGATTTTAAATAAAGTTAGGCCTAATAACAGTATTGTGCAGTATAATTCCTCCTCTTTCTGAAATGACCAGGTGTATTTATTCATACCATCTGTTGAAGTGCACTGCAAAACTTACAGGTTACAATTTGACTGATTTGGCACCTTTTTTACTATTATGTTTCTAAATTTGAAATTGTGTTCTTCTTATTATAAAAGTATCTATTATGTATTTAACTTGAGGTGTTCCAAACAATTTATAATTGCACGGAAAGAGCAGAGTCACTCCCTCAGATCTGGTTGCTAAAGGTGTATTGGATTATCCTGCTTGCCTCTCCAAAGCATTGTTTGATGGTTTGAAGTTGCCTCAGCAGGCCTCCCCACCATGCTACCACCAAGCCCCCACCATGCGCCCTGTGTCTCCTCCCAGGCCTGCACCCATGGGCTCTGTGCAATGGTGCTGCTTTCATGTAAGAGCACATGGTCTCTTGTCTTTGAGCGTGTGGCGTCGTGTGTGGCTCTAACTGCGCTGAGACCACTGGCTTCATTAAGTATTTGACTTCCAGTCGATATCTGCTGTTGCATCTTAATCAAGGAGCTGCAGGCCTCCACAGCAGGGGCTAACCTTTGCTTCAAATGGCATTTTAGCAAGCGCAATCATAGGGGTTGTTTTCTTTAATATGCCCTCTAATCAATAGCCCTTATGCAGGGACATAAACATGCACATATGGACAATGTGAATCCTCCACAGTAAGAAACGATGAAGAGGAAATCAAATATCAATAAAGATGTTTGATGCGCATGCCGTTGGCTCGATGCAGTATTTGGCTAATAAGCATTGATCAAATGCCTGCAGCTATCAAAGCAGACAGATGTGGAGAGCAGATACAGACTGGGCTGGCTGTATTATCTACACTGATTACTGACAGACTGCTGGAGTGCTTTATCAAATCAGATATCAATTATTTCCAATTATGCCGTATTGTTTATTCGGTTAATGAATGTACCGAATCTCCAATGCTATCTTGCCAAGCATTTTGACACAGATAAACATTTGCTGGTACATAGTGTATTTGAGCAGTCAGTATGAGGCATTATGGATAATCTCTGCATACTAAGCGATAAAAAGTAAACTGACAAAAGAACCAAGTGGCTTTCAATAATTTTGTTTCTGTAAATGCATTTCTCACAGTTCAATCATATTTAATAGTGCAATCAAAGACCACGGGTCTTTTCAGCCACTGCCTGGGGCCTGCGATCACCTTGTGTGAGTGGAGAAAGGGTTTCTCAGTAAATCATGAAAAAGCTTTGGTACAATAGGCCGTAGCAAGAATTTTAATAAATACAAGACCATTGCAATTCATTAAACAGTCTTATTTTGAACTATTTTATAACTAACACATACTCCCTGTGTGATATGATTTAACCTTGAAACCCTACATGCGGCTCACTTTCTCCTAATGACATTAAAAGGACATCAGTTAGATTATAATACAGAATTCAAGGCACTATATACTGTATATACTAAATATAATTTAATGAATGCCATTTCTCTTTTTCACCCATTGCCATTTAAGTGACGCAAAGGTTTTTAATTGAGACAAATAATTATTTAATTCATGCACATAAATTTAAATAAATATGCACTTTTTCTAATTAGTATTGATGCAGCCGTGGAATGTGGCATGGATTCTTCTGGGAGACCTCATAAAGCCCATAAACTATTCTCTATCATGTCCCTACATAATTATGATTAATACATTTGTGCCCTGGTTGGCGGGGGCATGTGTTGTACAGTGTGTAGGTACAGTGTGTAAGTACAGCGGGGCTTGTTACCGTGGTCACAGCCGCTCATGCCCATCTTGCTTCCATCTGGACACACGTTACACTTCATGCCCTTCACCCCGGTCTTACAGGAGCACAGGCCAGACATCTGCTCACAGTCGTCCCTCACAGAGCCCGCCGGGTCGCAATTACACGCTGCAGTGTACAAGCAAAACAAACACACAGTAAGTGAAGGAAGGGCAGCTCTGCGGTTACATTTAAAAAGCTATTATTATGCCAATTATGTATAATGTTATGTTATTTATCTCCTTGCAAATATTTTACAGTGACTCCTTCAGCACTCATTATTTACCATACAATATAGTTTTTGTGCCTGATATTTTAAAATAGTATAATATAGTTTTGGATGTAGTGGATGGGCCTGTACTAGTACAACCGTTATGGGGGATTCATGATAGTTAGATAGTTAGAACAATTAAAGCAGTGTGAGTGAATAGTGGTACCATATTTTGAAGCTAAAGTAAAGATAAATAAAAAAAACTCTTTGAACATGTAATTTTATATAAACTATAAACAAGGAATCTGCAGTCTGATATTTGACCTGTCCCACCACCGCAATCGACAGCTATCTTTTTATATGTTGTGATGCCCTATGGACCCAACTTAAACATATACAGGAAATAAACAGATCAAAGTCTATGAAAATCATTCCTGAAAGAAGCTCTAGCCACTACAGGTAATTACTGTGGATAGTAGAGAGTGTCTATAATTCCCTGTGTCTCTGCAGTGATGAATATTGGCAATACACTTAGGGTTGTTTAACGAGATGGTGAGGAGTGGAGAATTACACTGGTGCAATGCTCAACTTGAATAGAGAAGCTGTAAACTGCTGATAAGATTCCAACTTGGTCCATTTCCTCACTTTTTAATGAAGGTAAAAGCAAAACAATATATAGTATGTCATGTACACCATTTTTTACCATATATTTGCGCAAAATCTGTCTTCATATCTGTCATAATAAGCCCACTCTGCGCTGTTAGCAACTAATTCAAATTGTATTTTTTTTATTGTATTGTCTAATAAGTAGGAAATGCATGTTTGAATACTAGTTGTTGTTGCTTTTAACGTGATGGCAAAACTCTGCACTGTTCTCGTAAAGTTGTGCACTGTTTGCATCTAATAACAAGCATGTTATTGTCCGATAAGTTGGAAGTGCGCGTTAGCATGCTCAGAATCAAAATCAGAATCAGAATGTATTTGTCATTTCAGTATAAAAATACACAGAAATGAAATACTGCACTCAGGTCCAGGTCAACAGCAGCATAAATAATAATAAGAAAAAACAGTTTAAAATATTGTATGTCAAATACAGTCTTTAAAAACAGCCACCACCCGCCCCCATTTTCTAAAGTGCGTTCCAAGTCAGCGCTATCTTGTAAGCTGCATTAGTGTCCGGGCTTTCTGACAGAACTGATCTACCTAACGGCATTCAGGGAAAAAGCTGTTTCGGAGTTAGTAGTTATGCTAGTTGTTCTGTGATGGCAAAATAATGCACTGGTCTCTGAGAGTTGTGTGCTGTTTGCATTGAATTAGAAAGCAGTTTATTGTTCGATTAGCTGCATTGGTTGTGAGAGTTATAAAAAGCTCTTATTGACTCATTGCAGGGAATAATTAAGATGTTCAGAATGCATACTGTAAGTAAAAACAAACTAGTCTTTATCACGTTTTGAAGGAGGACAAAATGGCTTGTAAAGTAGACAAAGAGAGTTCCATAAGAGTTCTGTATTTGCTTGGTGTGCCTAGGGAATGTTACAAAATGAGCATGCAAGAAGTAAACAGCCCTAGGGAAGGACATCAGGCCCATCATGTTCGTAAAATTGATCATGTGTGTGTGTTCCTGGCTGCCCCCCGCTGGAGCTGGTATTGGCGTCTGTAGAGCGGGCAAAGGCTGGTGTAAACCTTGTTAAGGTCATGGTCGGCGAAGGCTCCTGGCCGCTTCCTGCTGTGGACTGAAACTGCTCTGAGGCTGTGGGAGTGCGCGTCCTCCCACACCTATGGGCCAGCCACCATATTGCATTACAGCGAGATAAACAAGAGGCCGTGACCCTGGCTCCCACTGAATACAAATACATACTGCTCATTCAATTCAGACATCCCTGTGTGTCTATCGGGAGAAATATAAAGTTTTTATGTGCATATTACATGGTTCATAATGCTGCTTTTGGTTTGTGTGGTCTCAAGAGAAAAGAGTCAAGGAAATCTAATTTAATCTACCTACATTTGAGTTTTTGACACCAGATACCACGCAAGGGAAGTCTATAATGTTTGAAGAAAACCAATATCTACACTGTAAAATCAATCGACCATGCTCCTGAGTGTTTGCAAAGTTCTGCACTGGAAACTGAGAGGTTTTGCACATGTGAGAGACACTGTTTTGAATGATTCCAAAGCTGTGTATTTACTACCACCATGTGACTAACACCTCCGTGTACCGGTACATGACTTGGCAAAAAATTCGCTTCTTGTTTTGAGAAGGAATCATGTTAAATAATGTTGATATTTTAGAGATTAGATGTATAAACCTTGAAAATATTGGAGAGCTGACACTCGCTTTCATGCAATACAGAGAAAGCATATTCAGACTATAATTAAAATCCCAAAAATTAAAGTCCATCCCAAATCCAATTTCAATCTAGTTGGACACCCTGGTAGTCGGCGAGATGTGCAAAAACAGAATTTAAATTTGGCAGTTGACAAAGTTTTTCTGTCGACTGGTACATTGATTTTGTCTTTTTTGCTACAGTCAATATTTGGTCTCAGAAACAATGGGTGAGTGCATGTGTCCAGTAGTTTCCATTTTTTATTTGTCTGTGAGAATTGTTGAAGGAGTATACTGAAAGTAAAAAAATAATGGAAATTCAGAGCAAAACTTGTTGTAGTGTGAAAAACTGATCTTAAAATAGTAACGTTCACAAAAAGTCTAAAAGTTTACATAACCCACCAGTGTATGGATTATGAATTATTATCATTATGAGCCTTACGTGTGCAGCCGCTCATATTCTCTGTGACGATCCCTCTGAAATTCCAGAATCCCGGCTCACAGCGATCACACTTGAGCCCGCCCACTCCAGGTTTACACGAGCACTGTCCGGAGGCTGGGTCGCATGTCCCCTTGTACGAACCATACACATTACACTGACACGTGCCTGCAAAAATACAACTCATTAAATACTTTTACAACTTGAAATAAGAGGAAATCATTTCAGTACAACAGATACTTTCTCAAAAATGTCCTTTACAAATACAAGATGAACATGTTCACAGGTACAATCCCTTCACATTGCTATGCTGTCCTGTTTGTGTGTGTGTGTGTATTTCCAGGGAGCTTGGAATTGCATTTTCCCTCCATCTGTGTGTTCCCTATCATTCCTGAAGATCATCACATGAAGAGATTTTTCCTGTCGATACACAACAACATTATCATAATTATTCCTTGGATTAAGATGAAACATTTGCTGCTTCACAACTCTGGCTGTGTAATTACAGTCAAGGACAGTAGGCTCCATATGCTGAAGCAGCCTGATGGAATCTTGTGCCTTCTTTTCTGCTGTGCCCAACAAACTTGAGCGAAAACTGCATTCACATGTAACCAATTTGCACTGGTTAATATCTTATATGGTAAAAGGCAAGTCACCTACGGTACGGCACAGTTTATCCCCCAAGAGTGAAACTGTATTTCTCTCATAATAGTGGTTGCCAATACAAGTCTATTTTGAGTGCTTGTGCTTATCTTCACAAACCGATCCTTTAGGACCTTCACAGGGCAAAATATCATACCATCAATTTGTAAAGATGATGAGAAAGAAAAAGGGTTGTAAATGTAAATGCAAAGAGCTTTTGCTAAGGATCCTACGTAGAAGACTGAGGGGTTACAGAAGACATAGTGAGATATGAGTTGAATTTGTATGCAGGCCATACAGCAGTTTTTCTGCTTATAAATAAACATTTTTTTACCACCTTTGTACTTTTATCCCAACAATTCACCTTGGCACCACTGTTTTCTCAAAATGCTCTTTTTAACTTCATAATTACTCAACAGTTTGCAAAGTACCGTACTCTATAAAGGTCAGGGACTCATTTAAAAGCATTAATCAAGGCTCAATGCACCTCAATTGAGAAAGTTATAAATGGGTGTAACTACTCAAAGTACGGAGTGCTTGTAAATCTATTATGAGATTATAATAAGACAATTGAGCCAAAGGCAAATTAGAACAAACAATGGTGTCATTGTTTTTATAGTCTGAGTATAATTTCAGACTACAATGTCCAGTGTATATTTATAACATTATTATTCTATTGATACTTCCCAGCTGATCATTACCATTCCCTGGGGGTGTGAGGCTAACTGTAAGATCTGCTCTGACTAAAGCTCTGTTATTCAAGTTACACTTCAATCTGAGCTTTGTTTTAACACAATCTGACCAGAAGAGCCAATTTAGATGGAACTACAACAGGTGAGATGATTTAAACAAGTCTGTTGCACATAATCATAAGATAACTAGCAGTTTCTCAGTTAGTCAGTCTCACCTTTTTTGTTGAAAATCAATCCCCTAAACATGGCCATGAACACTCATACTGACCACAGACTCCTAAAATGTTTTGTTTAAATCTATTTGTATGTCTTGAGTTTTCAGACAATCTAAAATGTGTGCATTGTGTCATGATAACAGCCCACCATAGAGCTACATACAAATGCACCCCCCACGTGGTGTCACTGCAAAGTATAAAAATTTGCACTGTTGCTTTCAGATACAGTGTAGTTTTAGTGTTCATACTGTATCATCCAAGTTTATGTAAAATTAATAAAAAGTAAATAATCAAATGTGAGTACGCGTTGTACTTACTGGGGCATCCGGCCTGTCCGACCCCCATAGCGGCGGTCATATTGTCGGAGCAGCAGCCGTACACAGACAGGCTGCAGTGCTGGAGCTCTGCCAGCGCCGGAGCAGGAGACGCTGATACGACTGAGGAGCACACAACACCAACATGTGAGCCATTATGTGGGAAGAGGCGCGAATTAGACAACACAATCTCCGGGCAACATGGAACTTTTTCGCCAACAATGAGATTGGCTGGAGGGGCAGAGGTGGAGAGGCTGGCAGCCAACTACAAGATAACAATTCTATTTGCGATTTCTTCCACAATGGCTCAAATTCAGGGAAAATGATGCTATTAGCTCCAATGGAAATAAACAATAGGCTTGTGCTGAATGCGCAGCTGACATTTACCACCTACAAGCGGCCATGCTCCTTTCATTTGTTCTGGTCTAATACTATGGAACTGTCCGGCCACCCTACAAGCCCGCAAAATAAATATACTACTAAAGCAAACTCCATATGAGCAGAGGTTTGTTTTGCCTCAGTTGTATAGAAAAATATGGTGATCAGCAACGTTATTTAAACACTTTTCAATTATTTGTAATTATTAATAATTCATTTATGAAGTGCAGCCAAAATATTGTTTTCAAAACAAAATTACACTAAAAGCTTACACATTAAGGTTTTACATCATACTACACTACTTCTTTAAGTATGCCTTCAATTATAAAGTGTCTCCTTTTGTTCTAACTCTGCCTGCTAAGTATGCTTTACCCTCTTCCATTTTTAATTTTCACTTCATAATGACTCTAATTTGTGAATAATAAAGGTCAGGCTCCCATTTATGAATGCTAATCAAGTTTATATCTTGTAATAATTCTCACCTCATACAATTATGTTTGGAATCATTTGAATGGTTTTATAAAAGCTGTTAAATGCAACACTAGTGAAAAACACACTTAAATGCAAACACTGAATGTACATTCATTATCTTGTTCCAGCGCCCTCCCTTTGCTGTAAAAGTTGCAAACTGAAGCAGTGAAAAATGTGTTCTCCAGACCTGGGACATGTCCAGAGATTTGAACGGAACAAGAACAGTTTGGCGCAGAGGTAAGGTTGAATGGACAGGGGAGAAAAATAGTTGAAGTTGAGCCCGTACTTTGTCTGAAAAGTAAAGTTGTACAGTCAGACGCTCTCCTCTCTATTCCCTCCCGATCTCTTTTTCTTGTGTTGCTCATTTGGAGTTTGGAGGCTGGAGATCCGGGGGCCATAAATCACGCTGTTACTGGTGTGGATATGAGCCGGGCCTAATGGTGATGACTGGGCTGGCTCCAGAGATGGGCTTTGGACACACTTCATTTAACTTGCCACTTTCTGCCGCGCTGTTGGCCTATCTGTTCTGAGCCTATTAGGATCAGCAGAACTTTTAATTTCATATGTTCTTTCATTCTACAAAGGTTTTTCCTCTTGAGTGGCTACTGTCCAGCGCAATGTGGCGACTCAGAACAAAATATGGCTTTTGGAGCTCCTCTGCTGTGCTCTCTCGGCTGTGATGATTGTAGATTGTGTTGTATTTCCCTGGGAGGCAGATGTACATGTGTTTGCTTGCTTTCTAAACCAACTGCAACTGTCCCTGACCATGGGGGTTGGTCCAGAGAGCCGGTGGCTGTATAAGATGAATTTGATAGGTTATAAAAGGAAACTACAACATGTGTTTGAAGCACATGTAATATGGAAGAAATATTGCTATAACGCTATATAAGGCAGAAGCGTTATTATTATTGATGTCACAGGGTTATGTTTGGCTTTTGACATATATTTCTGCAACCTCACATTGCTATTATTACTGAAATTCAAGTGATCCAATCAGAAGACAGAATTATTGGTGCAACAGACCTTCTGACCGGTAAACTGCTTCCAAGCCAAAATTCAATCTGTATTTTTTGTCAATATTTCTGAATTTCTCTTTTTTTTTTCTTTTTCTTTTTTTTTTTTTATTTGTGAACTATGTAACATTAACTGTAAATCTCCAAAGAGGTAGTGCCACCAGACCAAGTTACAGGTCAGAAGATAGAGGCATTTAACACCATAACTTCGAACATTTGAGAAAAAGTGATAAGATCTCTATGGAGACAAGCAGGTGGAGTGCTCAGAAATATTACATAGTGCAACTTAATGAATACATCTGTATATCCGTAGAACACAAAATACTACACTTCAGCAGAGAATGTAAAATATTATGGAAAGGGACAAATGTTAAATCAAATATTCCTCAGCTGTAGTCCCCATCTGGCCAGTGGTTCAAACTACACAACTCTTTGGCCCTAAATTAATCTTAAGAGAAAAGTGTATCTTGTTAAAACTATCTTAAAGTCTTCCCCCATGCTCCTCCTAACTTTGAGGTCAAATTCAGTTTCCCTTTCCAATCAGAAGTCAAGTGGAAAAGTAAAATTCCCTAAGAGCCTGGTCTAGGTTAGCCAATAAGGGAGCAGTAGCCTCAGAGGACTCCTGAAAAAGTGATTGATTATCCATGGATGGTATGGGAGCGTGACAGCCGGTGCCCAAGGAAGAATCTTTGGGGAATGGTTGAAAACAGTAGCAGTAGCCCTTCTTCTCCACCTCATCCACGTGCCCACTGGGAATCAAACTGGCTGGAATGACGGCTCCAAATCCCTTAAGTGCATTTTACTCCGCTCCGAGCCCTGGGCGAGAAAAGCTCTTCATTTAACATGGTCAAGGAGAGGAAAGGAAAAGAGTATAACCTTTGCTGCGTAGCCAGTGATATGACAACTATTAAAGCTGATAAATGTCATTCATTTATGTGCAAAGTGGACCTTTTATACTTAAGTGAGTGGGACAAAATGGTGTCCCAGAGGAGCCTGGAGCAGACCTATGAGCGCAGGTTTAATACATTCAATTGTGGGATGAAGTGAGTCATCCTTTTCGGAGCCTGGGCCGGGCCGATACCTCTCCGAGATGAACGAGCGGGCTGCTGGGAAGTGGCAAAGCCCGGTAGTGGATTTACATCATATTTAAGCTGCTGGTGCGTAGTAGTTACAGTAGGGAGACAATAGCAATGTGGTCACAGTATGTTCCAGTCAATGGGTGGAATGAGGGATGGGATGGGGTGACGGGTGAAGGTGACGTGGAATAGACTCACCGGTGCACGGGCCCTGGCTCTGGATCTGTAGGTGCTCCTGTTTTTCACATCGAGTCTTCTTCAGCTCGCACTCGTTACTGTAGTTTTTACCGTCAGAGCCACAAACCTGAGAATGGTAGTTTGCCTTTACTCACTATACTAACTCTATGTTTTAAAAGAGTAGCAGAGAGATGAGGTTTAACAGCCAGACTGTAGGAAAAAATACACGTAAATATAAAAAAAAAATTACTAATATTAATGTGCACTATTTAACTCCCAAACAATTTTGAAGATGTTTTCTAAATAGCACTGTATATGTATATGGAAATGTGTGACAACTTTAGATTTTTCCAACTCAGGTCCTACAATGGGTTTTAAACAGTAAATGTAAAATATACAATGTGCAGTTTAACTTAATAAAAAAAATATTCTTTCACACAACTTTAGTGTTAAATTGCTGCCTAGCTAAAAAAATATTGCATTGCTATATTTAGTGATTCGATAAATTACAGTATATGTAATTAAACTTCAGAACTTATACATTTCCACACCATTGTAATTTGAGAAGCTCGCTCATGGAGCCATTTTAACTTAAAATAGGGCACAGTCACTTTTATTTACACAATAAATAAGATATATATTGTATACAGGTGATCTTTAAGCCATGTTAGAATGTTGTTACCTCATCAAAAACATCCCTTTTCTTATGTTTCATTCACATGTTTAAGTAAATATGCAGGATTTGTGTGTTAAATGTGTGAATGAAACAAAACACAACTCCGGGTATATTTTTGATGTGGAAACAACAAAGATGGGCACTTTAAAGGGACAGTTTGCAATTTTGGACATAGGGGCTCATTCCCTAGTGAGTCAGAGTGTTTGAGACGTGTGGAGACACTTTTTAAAATATTCCATCCAGTCCTCGTATTTGCAGAGGGCGCTGGCGCCAGGCTAGAGCATGTCTATGGTCATAGTTATCCTGCCACTAAAAACAGTCTTACCCACTCCACAAAACACCCAAAGCAAATCTATTATTACGCCAGACTGTTGATTTAAAAGTTTGTGTTGATAGAATAATGTTTGAAATAAAACTAACCTTGCATCGCATGAATCGTCGAATGTTGAGGGATTATTTTCTCATATATCAGTCTGCTGCTGCCAAACTTTATATCAGGAAGTACAACTTGCTGCTGCTGCTCAGATATAAATCCTTCAAATGCAAGGTTGGTTTTACTTCTGAAATTATTCTATTGACACAGACATTCACAGTTGACAGTCTGGCGTAATAATAGATTTGCTTTGGGTGCTTTGTGGAGTGGGTAAGACTGTTTTTAGTGGCAGACTAACTATGGCCGTTGACATGCGCTAGCCTAGCACCAGCGACCTCTGCAAATACAAGGACTGGATGGAATATTTAAAAAAGTGTCTCCACACATCTCCAACACTCTGGCTCACTAGGAAATGAGCCCCTATGTCCAAAATTCTGGACTGTCCCTTAAAAAAGGGAAAAAAGTAGCAAATAAGTAGAAAGAGATGATATCCAATAAGTTTCACTGCGTACACATTCTAATGTAAACCTTCAGATATGTGCTTGTTCTAAATCTTGTACAGATATGTGAATGACTTACCGGACTGTGAGGGACACTTTCACAGATGAAGTCGCACACACAGCGGTCCTCTTCAGCATCCTCGTCCCAAGATCCACCAAACATTCGACACTTGTCCAGCTCACAGCTCTCCACTCCAGACCCAGAGCCCCCAGAACCACAGTCTGCAACACAAGGCGCAAGTGCGCAAAGAGCCATTCATCAAACATGGCAACACCCAAGAGAGATAACCCCCAGGTCAGGCCAAAAACTATGTCCTACTTCCTGTTCTGTTATGACAAAAATCACATCATTAAGATTTGGCTCACGCTGGTGTCTGGAACTGTGGGCACTGCTAGAACAAGATAATAAGGTTGAACGATTTGGGAAAAATATCTCATTTGCGATTTTTCTGACAAGCATTGCGATTTTAATAATAGGATTTTGTTCGAACTTTGCATTTTAAGCGCTTCCAGCAAAACTGATAAAAAGACTGAAATATGAACTGACAAACTAATATAAGAATCACATTTCAGAACTACAGAGTTTTATGCAGAATAAGACAGGATATTTTGTTCTTTGTGGAGGAAATTATAGTATGTCAAAAGTAGACTAGACTTAGACAAACTTTATTGATCCAGAAGGGAAATTATTTGGACATAGTAGCTCACACATCACAATAAATATAAGAACAAAGAGGAACAATATAAATGGTAATAACTTCAAAATAAGTAGCAAAAATACCAAGAAACTGGTGTTGAATAAGGCATAATTATAAAAGTGTATATGCAATACAACACATTAAAAAAAAAAAGTATTTTGATTTGACTCCGATTAATCTGCAGCCCTATAAGTATAATAATGGCCGACTGTAGCGAGGCTGAAGCATTGACTAAATAAATTAGTGTCAACGTTTGAGCACCATCACCAAGGCATCATTTTCATTTCAATTAAATTTAGAGACAAAAAAGTGAGGTAATTATTAACTGCGGCATCCAAGTGTGCAGAGGAGATTGGTGGAGAGGGCTGCTTTATGGGTCCGTGCCTCCTAAGAATACAAGTAATTGCAAAGTGTTGTGTAAAATCTAATTATCTCCGATGACTTTAAAGGCACTTGTCCCAGACACTTTATCTACGGCCCTTAATGGCGTTTTATCAGTTAAAAAGTCCCATTCCTGCTGACCTAATGCTGCTGACCAATGATGAGGCCAGACAAAGAGAAATGAAGGAGAAAGGAAGTAATGACTATGCAAAAACAAGCTTTCACACTGACATTATGCTTTGGCATATTGTATAATGTATACTGGATTGAAGTCTGTTCCCAAAAAAAAGTTGCATTAAAAGTTCTAAGGTAGGTGGGAGGGGGGTAAGTCTACATGGACCCATTGTTTGTAGATACATTTCTTAAAGAAGACATATTGTGTCTGCTATATTGTTATTATCTATGACACCCATGGATCATTATGTTATATTTTGGACACTGTGATATTCATCTCAGTGAAACAAGTCAGGTGACTTCGGTGTTAGAACTGTGGTACCCAATGGACAGAAACTTCTCTGTAAACAGCATCTCACACTTGCAAGTTGTGGATTCTTTCATTTGTACCAAAAATGACTATGCGATGCTGCAGAATCTTACACGTATCACTGATTAAGAAAATAAAGTTGGAGAACGAAGTATACGAGCGGTGGGCATATAACGGTGGCAATACGCTGCTGATCTGCAATATGGCGCCTTGAAAATAAACAATTAAAGATTGCTCAAATATGCACAAATAACTCCAAATACAACTTCTGGTCTGTAAATGGCGAGAGGAAACAACTATAACATGGTTAAAAGTTCTGAAAAGCTGATTTTGCTAAATAGATCTACTTTAAATTAGTTGGCTGCATAAACCATACACAGAATCTGCATTTAAATACTTCTCTAACAAATCATTAGTCATCAAACAATACTATAATTAAGGAAATACACTAAATTATACTATGTGCACACCAATGTTTGTAATTCATGAAGTGTAAAATTAAAACTGACTCATTCATTTAACTCGAGAATAAAAGAGCTGGGAGGCTGCCATGCCAACTGTATAACTGTTTAGTATTTACAAATAAATTTACCCAACCCAAGGGTCTTTGTGCAAGGCTGTAATTGTTTGTTTACGTTTATCACAGAACTTATTGCAAAGATACACATTATCTACAAGTTCTAATAAAAGGCACCATTACCATTGACCTAATGATCCACAAATAGATAATAGAGCAAAAACAAGAAACAAAACTTTCGACAAAAAAGCAATGAACCCACACTGAAAACTTTCCCTCAAGGACTCTTTCACCGAAAACAGACTGTGGGCTGTGTAGAACGCAGCTAAATGATGTTCTGGGAATCTGGGTTTTGAAGATGCAAATGCTACCTACAGTGGAAGTCCTCAGGGAGATTAGGTGCGAGTTTGCAGGGAAGAAACACAGAAAAGATGGAGAGAATGTCAGACAGTGAGCACAGCACCGCAGGGGTTGGCAAAAGTTCATTTAAAACTAATTTGCGATTCCGAACGGAGGCACTGTCGGACTAAAAGCTCCCAGCACAGCAACAGCAAAGACAACAAAACATCAAGTGATCAAAAGCGCTTCGCCGTGTTATGCTTGGTCCGAGACTTATTCAACGTCTTGTATTGATGGGACAACTGTAATGGTGGAATCAATATGAGAGGAGGAAGAGGCACTTATCATAAGGTATGTTTTAAAGTGGATTAAGGGGAAGGGAGGGGCCAGAGCGCACAGTCTGTGGACTCTATTTGAAACAGGTCACCAGCAATGGCCAGTGACAGCTTGTGTGGTCGATACACTAAAGAGGCTCACTTTATTAACTTTGGGCACAATAGGAGCTTTGTGTCCAGTCCTAAACACCAGGGCTACTTAAGGACACGCTCCCTCTCCATCTAAACCCGCCTCCGACCTTGTTGTTTTTGCCTGAATTTACCTCTGCGTCTCCATATTGATCTTGGATAAAGGTCTGTGTTAAAGACAACGTTTTGTGACAAGGCTAATGGCTATGTGAACAGCTTTCAACTAAGGCATTATGACAAACACTGGGCTTTGTCTCTGAGGTGAGCTGACTGCTAAGGAGGAATAAAAGGTAGGATAAGTAAAAGCTTCTTAGTTCGGGACATTTTTCTTTTGTTTGATTTTACTGGCGTCAGCGAAGTCAGAAATTAAAAAAAAGATGAAACATGCAAGTATTTCAGAATGCGAAGAACTTTGGTCAGTAAGATGTAATTGATATTTGGCATCATGCTGTGGGTGTTCTTCATGTATGTCTATGGCCAAATGTTCAGCAGTTACCACGGGAACACAGCGAAAAGAGTCTTCTGAAAGCTGAAAACGACAACACATTTCAGGAGCCTGTGATAGGCATGAGCGTTCATCATGGTCCTGTTGAAGTGTTTATCAAAAAAGATGAGTGAATAAAGCTCAGATTAAAGTATAACAGTGCTTCAGACAGAGCAGTGACACTAGTTAGCATTACACCCCCATGGACTGTTGATGGACAGGTTCAAAGTGTAAATAAATTACTTAAAATTGCTACACATTTATATAGTGTACATTTCTCTGTATTCAAATTGTTAATATTCCCCTGGTTTTCTTTAGGGAAAAAAAATAAGAAAAAAAAAAATCTGAAAATTGTCTAAAATTGTCTATGTCAGTTTCACAACGTTAAGGCCAAAAAGAAGCTCTTAACAATCCTTTAGTCCTTCAATTCGGCCATGGCTCTGAACAACGCCACAAAACTTTCCAACTTAGCCCCATTGACAACTTTTAGAGATCTGTATAGTTTTTGTTTCTTTTTCTGGCAGACATTTTTTAAAATGTAAAAAATACTATAATAAAATAATAAAGCAGACCCACAGCCAATTGATATTCAGGCCTTCAGCTTCTTTCAACCAGCAAGATAAATAAATAAAAGCACTAAGACATCAAAATGGAATAAATAAAGCAAAGGGTGAAGGGGGTCCTAATTAACTGTTGCTCTTTGATGGGAACACCACAAGCACTGGCTGTGAACCTTTCAATTAATGCATGCCCAGCTAAGAAGGCTGCATCAGCTATTCTCTCAGTCTATACACTGCTTCACAGAGCCTAGTCTGTTTAGCCCATAGAGCTCCATTAACAAGGAGGACTCAGCAGCTTGACATATGAAGAACGTCAGACAGAAAGCAGGTTTGATAGAGGAAATAATGGAGGAGTGGGTGTGAACATACTATTGTGAACAGTGTCTGGGAATGTCTGTGATGAAAACGCTATGGAAAACATATGTATACTGGATTGTGTCAAATCACGTGTGACAACCCCAGAGTATAGCAGTAGTCCTAAACAGTAGTGCTAAATTCAGCTAAGCCATTTCAGAACAAACAAAGCGGAAGATTTTTACTGATTTACAACGTGAAAAACAGAACTAGTTTATCTTAAATGGTTTGAAGTGGTCGAGATGTATTCCTCTGTATTCTGAGCATCCTAATGATACACTCGTGAGTTTCTAAGTGCTTTTAGGCCAACACACACTTCCTGATTATCAAATTATAAAACGCTTTATAAGTTGACACAGATAGTACATAGCAGACTTATTTTGACCTCAAGAGCTGCTTCTACAATACACCTGTACTGGGGCGAGACAAAGTATGCTCAAAAACATGGGGATAAACGTGGTACAGGCTCTTTAAATGGAGACCACTACACAGTGACATCTGGGCGGTGAGAGGGTTGGAGTGACCTGTAGCATGTGGGACATCTTTGGTTCCAAAACAATCCTCCCAGTGTGTGACCTGTCAGAGCAGACAGGTGAAACGACAGGGACGATGCATAAGGATGCGGTGTGGCTCCATCTACCAGTGCTTCTGCTCCATCTATCAGTCAGTGAGCCTGGCTGCTCCTGACGGATGTGACAGCGCATTAGTCCAAATAAAGTTCTGTGGGATAAAGAGGAATGGGCTGGCATGGAAGAGTGGAAAGAGGGATGGGGTTCTGGCTGGTTTGCAAAAGGAGAAAATGCATTTTGCTGCATAAACAGAAGGTTACAAGAGCTGTGATTGATGGCCTGTGAAGGGAAAATCTGCTGATTTCATTCAGCTCTTTTGCCTTCCAAACACCTAAATTGCTTTTATTTTGCCAGGCTGTTGTTGTGTTTGGTGCTGTCTGCTCCAATCTGTGCAGGATGGAGAGCAGGTCATAGATGGTGCATCCAAGTGTGTTCCTGCACTCGTAATCTTGTTTATTAAATGTCTATTCAATTAAAAAAGAGCGGCCCCTCGGGCTCATACACACTTCTCACTTGCCACTTTGTCAGTGTCCAGAGAAGGAGCGGAGGCCAGGCGTACCCGTGTGTGAAATTAAACAGGTGATAAATTTCCCTGTATGGCCAACGCTGTGAACACTGTCATTTTTCATTACTGCTAAATAAAAGGCAGCAGAAAACAACTTCCATTCTTATGCTTCACGCCCCTCCCTCCTCCCATAAGACTAATGAGGATGGTTTTTAGTCAGGCCTATGTTTTACAATAAATCACATTCCTTTTCATTTCAGCCAAGCAGGGAGCTGAGATGTGGTCACTGTGATGTGCAGCTTTACTCTGAGCTAGAATAGGGACCCAGAACACTTTATACCACTATTCTCTGACAGGAAACTAAAATGTTTGACATAAAGCTCTAATTTTGGGACAAACTACCTCTCATCCATCCGAGCACCGCATGTAACCTCACAGAATCTCTCTGAGTGAGACGTGATAGGGAGTAACAGCTTCTTGGTTTTGATCATTTTACAATTTGAGCAGACCCCTGCTGAGGTCTGGGTCACTTCTGAGGTCTGAATGGAATGGGGACAGTGCCGGTGGGAGAGCGGCTGGACGTACAGCCACCCTAGGGTGAAACGTATCGATTTCAGAGCAGCCCATCTCCAACCCATCTGTGAAAGTGTCCATGCCCCTTTTGTGGAGAAGCACAATTTCAGAAAAGGACGCAAGCAAAATGGAGAGAGACGCGAGTGGGAGGGATGGCAAACAGCAGAGAGGAGCAGAGGGGAAAAGATTCTATTGTGTCAGTCTGATGGTTTTCTCTGAAGCAAAAAGAGCAGGATGTTGGGAGACAGTCCAAGGTAGAGAAAGAGTAAAACAGGAAAATGAAGCCTTGCAGCTGCTATACCTTAGTATAACTAATGTCCCTCAGGAAATACAACAGGTTTTAGCCTGAACAGACAATGTGTGCTAGGAGCCATCTGCATCACTTTCCTTCATGCTCTACATATAAAGCAGGTCAGTGTTATGATGTTAAATCGACCACAAGAGGCTTTAGAGGCTTGATTTGCCACGCAGGCCGCGGGACATGGGGGTAGACAATGATGCGATGAAAAGAGGAAGGACAAATGCAGAGACAGACTGCTGGCTGGAGGGGCAGCAGAGGCCTGCTGCTGCAGCTGTAATCTGGCTCACTTCACACCTCGTCAGGGGAGAATATCTCCAGCGTGACCACACAGCAGCCGGTCTGCATCACAACCACAGCCCGGTGCTCTCCCTCCAGAGGTGCCCCCAGACAGGCACAGGGAGGGGCTGTGACGAGCTGCTGTGCTCTGTCAACGCTCATCGAGATATGATTTGCACAGGGAATTGGATCTCATTTAGTCATAATGTGGAGAGACGACCACGCCGTACAAATCAGACATCCCACACTACCATGGTCACGCTTCTGAAACATACACAGGGCAGTGTCTAATACTGGTAATAATTTGTAAAAGTGATTGTCAAAAAAGTTAACTTTATCATAAAAAAAAGAAATAGGCCTATCGTTTTACTCTCTACATGAAATGTTTCCATTGGGAGTCCTTTATACTAGACAGAAAAACAGTCTCATGTGGAGGTTAGGCAAGGTAAGTACATCCTGTCTCTTTTATTTCTAAAACGATAGAGCAAATGAAACCGTATGTTATTATCCGCCATGAGGTGAATGTTAAGAAGCCGCATTAGGGCTACTAAAAGCGGTGATGTTTGAAAAGCACAAATGAACAGTCTGTGCGTGGCGATGTGTTGACCTGGTCTTAATGACCCGGCAGTGATTGGTGCTTGGAAACAGGTTGTGCGCAGACCTGCTCACCTCTCAATAGCTTGTTGGCACTGTTGGCTGTGCGCATAGGCTGATAGTGTACACAAGCTCTATGAAAATGCACAGCTGACTGGGTAGTGTAGTGCAGGTCGGCAGATAAAGATAATGGCAACATCTGAATGGCTGGTTGGTTAACATAATTACTCCATTTCAAAGTCCATTTCCTCTCGTCCGGTCAAAAACTTTTAGCATTTCCATGAATACATTCCCATTGTGGCAAGGATGTTTTCATGTACTCTCTTTTTCTTTCTTTTTGCTTGTTTCAATGGAGATTATATTGCTTTGCCTGTAATGTTCCAGGGTATAACGTGTGTCTATACTGGTCAAAACGTGATCTCATCAGGTTTCAGAAAGCCGGGCAGTACTTGGATGGGAGACCGCTGGAAATACCAGGTGTCACACTGCGGGTCTAGTGGAAATACTGTTGTTGTGCCCTTAGTGCCTAGTATGAAAGTGGTGTGTGGCAAGTGTGGGTGGTGGTCAGATGGACCAATTGCACAGATTTGCATCCTAATTTCAGGGCAGCTGTGGCTACACTGAATGTGGAGTGAATGAATAATGCACTGTAAAGAGCTTTGGGTGTCTTAAAAAGCACTATACAAATCCAATGGTTGATTAACTAATCAGCATTAAAATATGGCTTTAAAAACAGGCATTCTTACTCTCAAGGGTCGCCTCTCCACACACCTGATTCCTGGCAAAGCACTAACATTTCCATGGAGACAAGTAGCTGGCACACTTACAATCACATAGTTACACAGTGCATTTTATCGCACCAAGTCTTACATAATTTATACAGTTACTATAATTTCTTACCTTCATCACAGCTACCAGCTTTGGCCACGTCGATCCTTCTCTTCTGTAAGCAGGAGGCCATGCGTAGGAGGCATTCGCTGTCGTATGTGGTGCCGTCACTGCCACACACTGGCGATGGGGGCTCGTCGGGGCACTGGGAACACTCACACTTGTTCTGGACACAGCGGGCCCCCCAGGCACACACAGAGCTACCACAAGTCTCTGTAATAAACATATCAGTCATGAGCCCAGGGCAGGGTTAGGCTACTGCGTCTAAGCACTAAAATATATATGTGCTGCCTGTTCGGATAAAACTCATTTGCATTGTGAATTAATTACATACATATTCAATAGAGCAGTTCAGCGGAGCCACTTGCTTGTGCTAATGTGATACCCAGAACTTGCTGCCCGGAGATAACGATTACTGTTATAGTCTTACTGATTAATTTTATTTAAATGTGTAAGAGGGCCCACTTGAATTCTCAATATGAACATAGCAACATTTAGGTACTTAACGTGTCGTTTTGGTGCAGACAATGGCGTAGAAAGTGCTCTACTAGGGGAAGCATGGTAACTTACATTCTATTTTACTTCATTTGACTATGCATATCATGTTTTTATTATTAATAGCAACTGTTATACATTTTCACTTTTCACCAAAGGGCTGAAGAACATTCTCAGTATGTGAATTGTATTTTGATTTCTGGCTAGTAATGAGTAATAGGCAGTAACTTAGGTGTTGTATTTTCAAATATGAATAAATCTCAAATATGAGTCACTGAGAATCCGCTTTTCCATTTAGTGTTCCTTACAATGTTAGTGAAACCAACTCTAACACTAGTGGTGAGTGGAAATATGCACTGGACTTACTGCACTCTCCCTGGCTGACCACTCGTAGTTCCATCTGTGCCGTGCAGGCTCGGACATGTAGTTCACACTCGCTGCTATAGGTGGTGCCATCACTGCCACACACAGGCTGGTGGGACTCCACGCACTCGGATGGACACAAGCACTGACCGCTCTGGGCGTCACAGATTGCACCAAAAGAGCAGTTGGCACAAGTCTTGTCTAGAGGGAAGTAAAGAAAATTGTTAAATGAGTTAGAGATAATAGTTCTGAATTGCAATAATAAATGATTGTTCCATTCGAGGTACATAGAGCAAACATTAAAATCTGGTATGGTACAATTTGAACTTTTGAGCTTTTTCATCCATAGGTGCACATTTGATAAAGCTTAAAGGTGTACCATGCAACTTTTTTCTGGTGGAGGTGCTCTCTCTAGCAATTAGCAGTGCTGGGAGTAACGCATTATAAACGTAACAAATTACTGTAATCCATTGCTTTTTGCAATTTTTAACGCAGTAATGTAAGACATTACAGGGGAAATAAAAGGGTAATATTTTCATCGGTACAAATGTCAGTAACATGCGTTACAATGTTTTTTTTAACCTGGATTGAAGTGGTGGGTTTTTTGTTTCTCTTCATACAAATTTGCTAAAATCACCGCGATATCAGCAGAGGTGAAACGCCATCGTTACGGCTCTGAATCTCGGGACATGCACAGAGGTGTGCCCGCATAGACCATCGGGTGACCACGGGTGAAAGGGCTGCTTAGCTCCACAGGGCTACGCACAGCTGACGCCTGATCGTGTTTTGTGGACACCCTGCTCCATGGGCTTGGGGTTCTCTCAGGGACAGGCCTAAATTCCAAGTCCTTGTCCAGTATTAGTCCTGGTTTGGTCCTGGTTTAGTCCTGATTTAGACTTGGTTTAGTCCTGGTTCAGTTCTGGTTTAGTCCTGATTTAGTCCTGCTTCAGTTCTGGTTTAGACATGGTTCAGTCCTGGTTCAGTCCATATAAAGCGCAAAGGTTCAGCATCTTCGCACAGTTATTTTGGTGATAGAAACTTAAAAGTAATGCAGTAGTTGTGTAATGCCTTACATTTTAATTACAGTAATATTGTAATATAACGAATTAGATTAAAAATAATACAGTAACAAGAAATAAATAACGCATTACAGTTTTGAAGTAACTCACCCAACAGTGGAAAGTAGTAAGTAATGCCACCAGGTCAAGTTACATGTCAGATCTGTGGAATGTGTCCCTGCCTATATTATGTGTGTGCAATAAAAATCTGTTATGCATTTACCTAATCATCTCAAAACTGCATCTCTTATTTTTAAAAATACAATTATTTTTTCTTTGCTCAAGTTGTGTTTTCTTTACTTAGAGACTAATTTTTGGAGAGGAGCTGTTTCTTGCTACAGAACAGTAAACTCCATTATTCTTTATTGTGGGGTAGCATCTGCAACATAATACAATCTCCTAAATGTAAATCTTTTTTGCAAGCCTTGGTTTACTCCATTGTTTAATATTCCCAGAGTAAACAGCAGCCATAACAAGACATCCACTCGTAAACGTGTCTCTTGTGTTTTACTGTTGACAGCCAGTGCTGCTGACAGCTGCTGGAAAGCTTAATGATGTAGTGCTGCTCCACACTTACCAAGCCATAGATTTTACTCAAAGCAAATTCCATTGATTCAAAGTCTATTCCATGGTCTATCACGTGTCCGGTAAAAGCTCCACAGTTCCAAATAAACGCTAAAAACCAAACTGAGAAATCCAAAAACTCATCCATGGACCGAGCTGGTGTGTAGAAAGTGCAGAAATAGCCCGAAAGTTCCAGAGAGAGGAGCGGACTTGGTGATTGAAAAACTGTGGTACCACCCAGGCTCTCCTCAAGCTCGAAGTGAACACAAAAAGCAGCACTATTTCTTGGCAAAAAGGAGAAGAGGCTGCCAGAAAGACGCGCGCTGCTGCAGCACTCCATCAATCAGGACTTTATGGGAGAATGGTCAAAAGCTGAAGCCACTCCGCTGAAAGAGCCACATGACAGGCCGCCTCAAGTTTGCCAAATGGCACCGAAAGGAGCGCGAGAGCATGAAGGGAAAGATTGTCCGCTCCGATGGGAGACAAGATTGAGCTTTTTGGCCTGAATACCAAGTGGTGGATGTGCAGAGAGCCAGGTACTGCTTATCATCTGACCACTCCAAGAAAACTACAGAAATAGGTTTTAAGTAGCAGAATCAGAACGATAAGAATAGATTTTCTATTTTAGCGTGCTATTTTGTCTCTTTTGGAAGATACACTCTCATACTTTTGTCCTGTTGACAGAATTCAGTTTTCTTGTGTAATATTTTAGTCAAAGTTCATGTCCAAAGTTGTATGCGAATGATCAGGTTCTGTTGTTAGTGTAGTACATAACGTGGAGGAAAATTAGGCTATCTACACTATCCTAGGCTATCTCTTGTCCTCCTTGACCTTTCAAAGCTCAGAAAATATGTTGATAAAAGCGAATTCTTCTTAATTATTTGACCCAACAGAAAAAAAAAACAATAAATAAAACGTGCATCCCTGCTTTTTCAGCGCTCTCTTCTTGATAACCTCATTAATAATCCATTTCTCAGAGCACTGCAAACTTGTGGCAGCTGATATCTGTGTTATCCCACAAGGTGCTGCTTCCGAGGTGTTCCTATTAGCTGGAGCATCCATCTCATGAGGAATTGGCTTCGTCTGGAGGCAAGGTTCCCCTGATGAGAGCTGGCAGGTTCAAACAGGCCCCTGACTTATGGCGTGTCACATGGGGCCTGAAATGAATGAGGCAGCAAACACGAGGCCCTGTAGCAGAGACCTAAGCTAACGCCGCAGCTAGTTCTGACTACCCCCGACACCAATTACACCTGGAGGATTGCATTAGCAAAGCTCGCTTTCACATTCAATTAGAGCAGGCCTAATAACTGCTGCTGATTTAGCGCTAATTGAGGGAGGCGAGGCTAGCCTGCGGAACCTTCCACATTATTAATCTGTTTATTACTCTTTTAGTGGCATTCATTTGATTCATCTCTTCATCTATTAGGGGTTCACACTGCCATTACAAATTTATACCGGTGGACATCATTGTTGGTGGAGCTGCACAAGACTTGGAGAAAACAGTGAGTTACAAAATCCAGCTTAGCTATCAAACAAATTCACTGAGAGCTAGTAATTAATTTAAGTTACATTTTCAGTTTAAATGGCAAACTGGGAATGAGAGGCCAGCGGGACCTGACACAAAACAGTGTGACTCGGGACACATTTTGAAAGCTCATTACAGGTGCTGGCGTGAAAGGAACTGCACAATGTGGGAGCAGACGGGTGGGATGGTAAACTGCAGTCCTGCAAACTAAATATGAGTGTGAAGTAAAATACAAATGATTCATGTTTGCCTATCATACATAATTTGTGCTGGATATTTTATTTGGCATTAATAAAAGCATTTTAAGCAGCCTAACCTTGCAGATGTGATCTAATCTCACGCACAGTTTAGACAATTCATTTCCGTTTCTCTGTGTTTGATGGGCTTCAAAGAGCCAATGAAAAGATCTTTCATGAGAAAGAAAGCAAACGTCCCCATCTTGCGGGATTTGCAGTCAGGAGCAGGACAAAATATCGCAGGTGCGAGCAGGAGCAGGAATGAAAATTACAATTTTTTGCAGGCCTGAAAATTCTGTCCTGCACAGACCTCTACAGGGAAAATCTATTTAAATTCACCACGTTTTTAACAGGACTGGACTTGACTGATGTTTGTGTACCAAGTGTTTTGTGTGTAGTTGTGTGTATGTCTTGAGTGTGGAGAAATAGGTGGAATGTGGGAGAGTTTTTGTTTTGTTTCTGTCTGTTTTTATTTTCGTTTGATGCTTGATTTCAAAATTGAAAAAAAAAAAAAAAGCTTAAGTTATTTTGGTCTAGTACCTGACGAGTTTGCCTATTGTGCATGCCAACCTAAATTAACTGCACAGGGACATGGAGAGAATTTGTTAACAGAAGGACCCACCAAGCCTGGTAATCGAACAAGAAACCTCCTTGCTGTGTGGCGAGAGTATTGAGAGTGTAGTATTGATACTTTACAGCTGATGCCATCAGCATTCACTGGAGTGTGATTAATTATAGGCACTGCTCTTTCTGCAGCTTTCTTAGACTTTGATCTGTTATGTCTTTGTTTTAACACAATTTTGACCAGAACTGACTTAGATGATTTGTAGAGTTAAACAAGTCTCTTACAGATCATTACAGTGACAAGCTAGCTCGCATTAGCAAACAGTTTTTCAGTTAGTCACTCTCAGTGACTAACTGAGAGTGTTTTTTGTTTTATATTGATCACATGCTCCTAAAAATGTGTTTTCTATTTTTTTCTGAGTTTTCAGATAATCTAAAACCTTTTTTTTTTGGCAAGGACTGAGTGCATTGTATCACCATGTAAACGGCTTAACCTTCCACCATCTACATACGTGTAAAACACCCCCAGCATAACGTCACTGCAAAGTATCAATAATTTGTTGCAAGGGTATAGCCACTCTAGGGCTGGGTGATATCGAGCAAAAAATATCTCGATATATTTTGCTCCATCTTGATATATGATATATATCTCAATATTTGTACAGGAAAACTAACCCCCCAAAAACTACTGCAAAAACAAAAATACCAAATTTATTTTAATAGGTCCATGTTCGTAACCAGCGGTAAGGAGGTATCCCACAAACCACTGTGCATACCAAACCAAACGTTTCCAAATACAATTGTACAAGTTCTACACTGCAGCAGATTAATTAATATTAATTAAAATCTTCTGCATAAATAAACTTTACATTACTAAACTTTACAACATATAAACCACTATAGAGCCACTTCAGCCCGTTTGATAATATAATTCTGCTTTGTGCACATTTGTTTACGTTTTACAGAAACAAAACTTAAAACCACATGGCTCATTTGCATAAACTAGAAGCGCTGAAAAAAAAACTCTTTCCTTATGCGACACGACTCAGTGGAATATGTGTGTTCTCTCTGTGACAGGATGTGCTGCTGATGGTGAGTCTGTAAATGGTGGGAAAGGTTCATGGTGCATGAATCTTTGGTTGGCACCAACTTTCGGCATTCACGGCACTAGTGAGAAGAGAATGAGACACACGAGAGGAAGGGTAACAAAATCAAGGAGGTGAAGGCGAGCGGGTTTGAGCACAGAGAAGGCAA